TACCAAGTCGGTACAGGAACGTCGTCGGCCGTCCTTAATGCCACGAGTGCGGTATCTTCCATCAGCCCAAACGCCACCACCACCGGCATCTCTCAGAACCTCAACAACCAAGACCAGCAGACAGGGTCAGCCACGGCAGTACGGAATGGGAAGGCGGGTATTGCCATAGGTATCTTTGCGGTGTTTGCAGTTCTGCTTTGATTTTGACAGTATCTCGAACCAAGAATTTCCCACCCGCCCTTTTACTCCACGTTCCTAATGCTTTTATTACAGATGACGATTTTACACGGCTACAGCCACCTTATGAACTATTTCTTTCATACACGCTTTCGTCTGGCTGAGTTGTAGACCTGTGCCGCTTCTATAGTTCGCTTGTAATAACGGCTGGTTATTTTCGCTCAACACAGAATGAGACGCCACACATCAAAAATTCCCAAAACGAGATGCTTGCACATATTTGCCAGTGAAAACGTCTTTGCGGCAGTAACCGCAAGCCCTTAGTCGCCTCTGTTTAGTTCTGCTTCAATTCCATTGGTGTCATCTTCGTTAAAAGTATTATAATATATGCAAGTGATAATTTTGTGCCATTGCTTGAAGTCGTCAATACCACGATTTTTGGTGCTTTGTAATTTGCACAAGCTCAGCGACTAGCTGAGAAAGGTCACTGGATGGGAATAGACCGAAACTGAATAGAAATGTGAAGTGCGGATATGGAGTACTAGGATTTGAAGCCTGAAGGCTAGCTAGAACGTTGATGTTAAACTCCGGTCCGAGAACTTTTTGAATTTTCAGGTCCACCTCAAAGGGGCCTTATCGAACAATTTGGGAAGCTCGTCTCGAACTAAGTATCAAGGAAACAGCTTCAAAACAATGCGTGTGGTAGGTCTCAAGGAAGTAAGTAGACATCAACTTATAATTGTACATCATAGGAGATCTTTTGTGCGGCGACCAACGCGATTGATAAGAAGCCCGTTAAATCAGCCGACATTTGCATGAATGTCAAAGCTGCGCAATCCGGGTATGCCAGTGGGACTAGTTGAAGTCTGGGAATCCGCTCAAATATACATCCCAATCATCCAGCCTTACAATATTGAGTCCAGAAAATGTTGTTAGTCAAGCAGCATCTATAGAAGTACCAAAAGACCAACCCAAATCCTGTTGGCGCATTCGACCACATGTTCATCATCTCGTCGTTGAAAACCCCGTCGCCCAGCCATTGCTGCGACTCGAGGGCATAGGGCCCGTTGCTTGAAATGTGCCGCCGAATAGGGACTTGCTGGAATTGCCCACTGTTGTGGCATATCGTCGTCAACGCTCCAGCTCCAGCAAGGGCAGGTGTTGCTATTCCGCTTGTTACGGTTCTCTCAGAGGTCGGTTGAGGAGCGCTATCAGGATCCCAGGCTTTCACTAGGTTGTACTGCGTAGTCGCGTCGATTGTGTTCTGCAGTAGAGGGGCAGCCGCTGAGGTTTCGCTGGATGATCCAATATGAGTTTGCTCAATCTGTTGCTTTAACGAGCCTGGGTTGTCGTCGTTGAGAATGCCATGCCGAAGAGGTTCGCTCGAGGGCCGCTGGATACGAGATGTTGTCAAGCTGTCTCCCATCTCAGAACAAGTATCGCCAGTTGAGCTTCGATGGTGGCACGAACTTTCGTGGTTGAGGATTTCTGGACTCACGAAGTCCACCTCGAGCGACACGCTATGCACGTATGGGTCTTCTTGTTCGTTACTGACCAGAGACTTTGCAGTTCGTCCTGTCTGCATGGGGGAAAGTGGGTCGCGAAGGGACGTCAATTCGTGTAGTAGATCCCTGCAAGAAATTTAGATCGGCCGTTTGACGAGGATAGAGCACTCGACTATACCAAAACCTGCCTGCCATATGCCACCGCTCCTCTGCAACTTTTAGGACTTGCATACACTTGTGGACGCTTTCCATATCCGGGTCACCTTTCAAGGAAACACCTGGTCCTGGCGGCTTCTCTTGCCAGATGTTAAACATCATGATAACAGCAGATGACAGTGTGGCAACCTTGCATTGAAGTCAGCTACGAGAGTAGGTGGAGATCAGTCGTTTAGCTAACCTGGACGGCAGGCAATGACGCTAACGTGTCGCGCTGGAGAAGGGTGTAGACAACGTGGCAACATGCACGAGCAGCGTTGGTGCATATAGTAAGCGAGGGGATAGATAGAGGAGACGGTCTACCCGGCAAGGCGATAAATGGGCGATGGACCAGAATTCGAATGTGATAATACATCGCATATAACATCGCGGACTGATTGAAAAAGTTGCCACGTCGACGGTCAGGATCCCAGCGTACTGCAAATTAGAGTTCGTCACCAGTACTTGAACCACAGAGGGACAAGGGACTAACGATGATCAGGCACAGAATCGAGCCATTTATTGAGGCTCGAGTCCAACTCGGTGACGATATGGAATTTCCATTTCTGCCCGACCAATCCAAACCTCCAGTTCGTGCTGCATAGTGAGTACTAGCCAAGTCAGCAAAGCAGAACAATCTGGGTAAGAGGGAACCTACAATTCCTCGAATACAATAAATTAGAATTTGCATTAATTTGATTTGCAAGATGAATGCAGAAATCAAGGAAGGTTGGCCGGAGGGTTGCTTGGATTCTTGCTCCGTGTCTGGGTGATCCAAATACTCGTCGTCGCAGTCGATAGGCATGTCCACGTCATAGCTGAAGACGCATGTGAGCGATTCTTTCTTGAACTACGGTCATAGGTAACCACAAACTCTTCCTCCTGTATCGCGCAAGATTGGCCCACTGAAACGCTGATGGTTCTATCGAGGTAGAGAAGTACCCTGAAAGACCTGTTTACTTCTGAGCAGACGCGCGAGAGGAAACGCTTACCAGAAGGCGCGTTTCCATAATTCGTTCTCCAGACTATTTGTAAAAGTTGTTTTACGCCTATGGACACCAACGCTTTGCGCCGACCGAACGGCGACGCCAATCATCGTCCAGACTGAGGATACGGATGATGAGAATTGCAAGAATACCACGCTGAGCTACAATATGCGGCACCCGTGAGTTGGTCAGTACCATCACCAGATAAAAATGACTCACACAATAGAATTGGAGGTTATACAAAGTCGGAGAGGCGAGAAACCCCGTCGTTGTGCTCTCCACCTGGACCATTGAGAAGATTTAAACATTTCAGAAAAAACCCTTGGGTCCGCCGAGAACCGGGATCCTATAGCACAGACGGTGAGATAGACGACCGCAAAGTCGTCATTGCAATGATGGAGTCCATCTTGAACGGATTTGCAGAAGGATGGCCGATGTAAAAGTGGCAAGTAAAGGTTGATGTGTTCGAAAAAGAGATCGAGGAGAGCGGTCGAGAGGTCAGGCTCAGGGAATATATATCGAGCCGATTGGGAGACTTCAGGCTTTCTTTCCCACTGAGCAATGTTAGCCTGAGAAGAATACCGAATAGAGACAAAAACGCACTGGTCTAGTAGTCCAGAACTCTTCTCTTCGATTGCATAACACCGACAGCCGCCCACCCTCCCATTCGTTCTTCATGTTTAAAGCTGTACGAACCAGAGATTCTCCACTGGATTTTCCAAAGAATCGGTCAGTGGTTGGATTCATAGCCTCAGCAGCAACTGGGCCGTCGGTGTGATCATCTAATGTGGGCTGGTAATCGGTTCCAACCAAACGGATGGCGCGAGAAATCCTATCGACGAGAGCTCCTGGTCTGACCTGCATTGATGATCGCATTTGATGCCTTGGGCTGAAGGCGTGCTCCTCAGAGCCTTCCTCGAGTGAACCTAGCCAATGTTCATAGGTTTGATCATCCGGGCACAACTATGTAGACGAATTCAGGGGTTCGTCGATCGGAGTAGATGGGTCACGCACTAGGCGAATAATATTCTCCAAACCCTGAACCCGATGTTCAAGGCCGGCGACATATCTTCGTTGGGGATAGATCAGCAAGATGTTAGTAGGTGGATAAGAGAAACGCACCCTGTCGACGGTGTTCGCCTCTATTCATATATGTTCAGCTACCAGACGCGAAGAGGGTAGACGGGAGAGTGAACAACCTTGGGTGTTTCTAGATAGGTACATTCGATACCACAAGCAACACAGCTTGAGCACCGTGCTCCTGGTGTTAATAGAGCGTTGCCTGAGAGCTAGATAAGCATAGCCCGGAAATGTCATTCACTGCCTACATCGAACTGCGGATACATGGTCAATGAGCGACAGACCATCCAATAAAGGTTACGAACTTTTCTTCTTTCGACAAACATCGCATGCCCTGGAACGCTTCCGAGGGGTCGAGCTATGAATGCCATCTTCCTCCTCACTGGAAGACATGGTGGTAGGAGAGAGAAACCGGTGTTTGGAGGGATGCTACATCTACGACTTACATTGCTTCGCAGGGCCCGAGATTGACAACAATGTATTAGGCCAGTGCGGGGCCTGTGGTTGTCACTTCTGGAGAAGCCTATTGCCATTTTTTTGAGGTGAAGTGGCAAGTTCTTCGCGCATTCAACATACGGAAATGGTCGTCGTCGTTGTTTTACGGCATTTTAGAGCTCCAACATAGCACAATCGAGTCCTTAGGTTAAAGGCATAGAAGGTGTGGCCAAAGTGTTCTTGTCAGACGCATTACGTGTGTGGCCCGTGCTATCTTATCTTATCGTTCTGACTACTTACGTCACCGTTGAAATATGGTTGGCAAATGCGATACCTGCAAAGTCAGGTAAACGAAACATGATTTAATATTAATGCATGCGTGAGCGTTACTATAGATCATCTACCACGACATCAGCATATAAAGACTAGTACTGCTCAAGCGCTCAATGCTCATGCCAACTAGGGTTTTGCCCATCACCAGAGTAATTCATGCTCGCCAGAAAAGCAGCCCAATCCCCGGACCTAAGAGAGTTAGAGAGCAATTCAGACATGGCAATCAAGGAGCAACACACCCAAAGCCAGTTGGTACATCAGACTGCATTGTCGTCGCGTTGTTCAAGTAACCTCGCCCTCCGAGATCGGCTGTCGAGAACAGTCGCCCATCCGTTGCAGCTATGGGAGCATCGGTGAAAAGGCTAGCACTTGTGTTCGAACGATCCAATGGCTGCGAAAAACGTAGGTTGTAATTCGGCCGTTCCGGGGCAGTCAGATTGTTCATGGGTCGATATTCTGGGTCAGGTGCCGATACCTGATGCAATGCGCCTCTTTCTTCTGTGATCTCGCTCAAGTCTGGTACCAGAAACATCTTCGAGAGTGGAGGATCGGAGGGTAAGTCTTCTGGAGAACCAGCACTGTTAACAGATGCGTCCTCCGCTCTGAAACTTTCGAAGCGTCGATTTCGCCTTTGAAGACCGAAGAACAACTCGTCGAATTCGTCGATGTCCATGGGCTGGAACAGCTGCCCTTTGTATTGTCGATATGGGTGACCTGCTTGATTACTGGATGGAAGTTGATCCTCAGAGGGAGTGTTGGCTCTGGGCCCGCCTGTTTGATTGTCAGGAGAGTCATCCCGTAACGAGGCAAGCTCTCGCAGGATGTCGCTGCATGTATGTCGGCTCAGGGAGGACAGAGCTTGCGAGAGATACGAACCTGCTAGATGGCTGCCCCCGGTTCTCGGCTGCTTTCAGGACTTCAATGCACTTGTCCAATTTTGCCAGATCGCCATTTCCATCCAACGGCTCGCCCGGCTTCTTTCCACTCCACAGGTTGAACAATAGCATGAGTGCAGATGTAAAGACGGCTGGCTTCGGGTTCCACATGAGCGAGGATGAAAACGGAGGGCCCTGATGTTAACGAACCTGGACAGGTGGCGGGGGTGCTGCCTTTGGGTTCCGTTGGAGTTGTGTGTATCCAACCTCAGCACATGAGCGGGCAGCGTTGAGGCATATCGCCAGTGAAGGGAAGGGCAGTGGAGATGGCTTGCCCGGCCATCGGATAAATGAATGATGGATAAGTATCCGGACGTTGTAGTAACTCGCATGTAGCATGGCAGAAAGGTTGAAAGCGTCGAGGTTTTCTCGATCTGGATCCCATGTCACTGCAATCAGGTAGTCAATGGCAGGATTATGGCAAGAGACTGGAATGCCTCACAATGGTCAGGGATCGAGTTGAACCATTTATTGAGACTAGAGTCGAGCTCGGTGACAATTCTTGCTTTCCACCCCTCGCCTGACAACCCTAGCCGTGCATTGGTTTTCCTTAGGGAGTACTGAAAGACGCATGTAAGCCGAAACGTTGAAAATACAAATAAAATGGCATACTATTCCCCGAATACAGTACGTCATGACCTGTGTCATTTTAATGTGCATGATGAATGCTGATGCTAGAGAAGGTTTGTTTGGAGGCTGCTTAAATCGCTTTGCAGGATCTACATGTTCCCAATATTCGTCATCGCAGTCAATGGGCAGGTCCAGGTCATAACTATATGGACATATTAGCGCGTCTAAGTTCGTGAACATCCGCCGACGGAGCATACTCTTCCTCTAAAATAGCGCACGGTCGTCCCAGGGCGGCACTAACCATTCTGTCGAGGATAAGGAGAATCCTGCAAAAACATTAACTTAGCCTTCTTAGATATTAGAGATAACCAAGTACCAGAATGCTCTTTTCCACAGCTCGCGTTCTATCGTTGGAGGTTTGTCTGTCGTGCCCTTTCTATGAGCACCCACATCCTGCGACAGACGAATGCCGATGCCAACCAGGCTCCAAAGCGCGAGTGGCGCGGAAGTGGAGTGCACGAACAGAGCAGTAAGCTAAAGGATATGCTATCAGAACCGGAAAGTGCGGGCAGAAAGAGATACACGACATACGCAGTAATCTTGGATGCTATACAGGGTGGGCGGAGCAGGGAAGGACGTCCTCATTGTCTGTACTTGGTCGAACCACTTCCACCCAGAGGAATTCCTCTTGTCTGAGCCTTCAACTTGGACTCTCGGGTCGTCGGAAAATCGTGCGCCGACAGAACAGACTAGCATGTATATTGCGGCAAAGCCCTCATCGACATAATGTAGTCCTTCGCGAACCGACCTTCTGAAAGACGGCTGGTGAAGAACGGGCATGTAAAGATTGCTGTTCTTGAAATATAAGTCCACAAGGGTAGAGGCGAGGTCGGAGTCGGGGAAGGAATATCGGGAAAGTATTGGTATCGAAGGCTTGATTTCCCACTGATAGACGGAGACTTAGATGAAGATTAATTTAGCGAGGATCAGGATGCTTACTGGTCGAGGCGTCCAAAATTGCTCCCGTCTGTGAGATAGAACAGGCCATGTTTCACCGCCTTTTTTACCCGCGTATTCACTCTTCAGGCTCAATGCGGCGCGAGCTAGCATCTCGCCACTAGATCTGCCAAAGAATCTATCCGTCTCAGGGCTCAAAACTTTCGGGCCAGTCAACGCCAAAACTTCATCATCCCAAGAAGGCGGATTACGAAGGCTAATCGTACGAATCGCAGTGGTGATTCTGTCGATGGGGGTCGCCGTCATCGCGAGCCTCGGAGGTTTTGAGAGCTGGCTTGGGTCACGTAAGTCCTTGCCATCTTCATCCAGTGCATTTACCCAATCTTCATAACGTGTTTCTTCTGGACATAGCTGTAGCATGATTGAGCTACGTGAGGTTACGTGAAGGGCAAAACATAATAACAAAACGCACTTGCTGAAGGATTGCGTCTAGCACCTTTGCCCGCTTCTCCAGATTCGCGATATATCTTTGGTGCACGTTGAGTTCAAGCGCAAAGAAAAAAGCGAGACTGGTTCATGACAGGCTTACTTCTTAGATGGAACACGTCTCTGCAGAGACTCAGAAAAGCGGGTAGACGAATCTAAGATGCTTACATACCGTCGAGACCTCGAGGTAAGTGCAGTTGTAACCAGTGGCGATGCAATTCGTACATTCTCCTCCTGGTTTTTCTGGTCCATTGCCTGGAACTTACATGAGGGAAGTTGACGTTTAATAGCCATGAGAACATACAGCGAACTAAAATTGCGTTGAAGCTCGAGACATAGATGAGTGTGTGAGAGACACACCTTTCTTCCTCCGGCAAATATCACACGCTCGTGGTCGTTTCTGCCAACTCTGGTTGTCTTCCTCCTCTTCGCTGGAGAACATACTGCCAGCCGACGTTGAAGAAGAGAAAGATGATGTCGCAATAGGTCGCAGTGAAGTCCCGAGCAGCGGCCCGTTCCAATTAAGTCATTTGGTGTGCTGAGCAAATGGCTTGACCTCAGCGCCCGACCACCAAGCCATCGTTGCCCTTCATGGATTCCCCTATGTCAAGACAAGTAACTGGCCATCCCCGTGTCACCAGGCATCTCCATAGACCAACCAAGGCCAATCGAAAAACAGGAGCACATCGGAATCATTGGGGCCGGACCAGCAGGGCTTGCAGCGCTCAAGGTTGTGCTGGACTCCCCACAGTTCAAGAGCGGTACTTGGAAGCCGACAATCTTTGAGGCTAGAGAAGATGTTGGAGGTGTCTGGTGAGCCCATTCAAGATAAGCTTTGACAGAATAACCAGTTGACTCCTTAAGTCAGGCTCCCAGCTGAACACGATGTGCGGCCGCCGCCAACACCGCTATACGACTCATTAACGACAAATCTCCCTCATCCAATTATGGCCTTCTCGTCGTTTTCCTTCCCCCCTTCGACCCCGTTATTCCCACCCGCCGCCACCGTTGAGACATATCTCTGCGATTACGCCTCTCATTTCCATCTCCGGCCTCATATTCAATTCAGTACAAGCGTTGAGGACGTTTCGTACGATGGAGCGAAATGGGTTGTGGTCACGGCACCGACCTCGCCAGATGGAACGGTCTCTCATTCCCTACCTCGAACTTACCGCTTTGATTTGCTTTTCGTATGCAATGGCCATTATAGTGTGCCTCGCTACCCCAGCACTCCTGGACTTGAACCCTGGCTGTTGTCGCGTCGCGCCTCACACTCTGTCTTCTACCGCAATCCTTCAATATCTGGAGCCCCTTTTTCCCTAGGCAAATCCCACAAAGTTCTTGTCATCGGAGGTGGTCCTAGTGGGCAGGACATCGTCGCGGACTTGCATGGTGTCGTGGGATGCATAGTTCATTCAGCTTCTACGCATCTTGCTGTTCACCAAGACCAGGATGAATCAGAACCGGCGCTGAGGCTGCGCGGAAGGCCGACACACTTTCTTGACATGGCCGGAGGCAAAGGAAAGGTCGAATTCGAAGGTGGCATCGTGGAAGACAACATCGACTACTGCATCATTGCAACTGGATACCAAGTTTCATTCCCATTCTTCAAAGCGCCATCGATGTCTCGATACCTGATAGACGGTCTGCCACCCTCTCTACCACTCCTTCCGCAGGAGCTATTCAACACCACTTATGGCGTGTTTCCTCTCGTTAGACACACATTCCCTTTCCCTTTCTCTAACTCAGAGTCTATGCCTCCTCCATCCCCGACATCGCTCGCCTTCCTCGGCCTCTTGGTCCGCGTCGCGCCGTTTCCTTTGGTGGAAGCCCAAGCGCGCGCCGCACTCTCAGCCTTCTCCCATCCTGATCGAATTGACTGGACACATGAATCTACCGACATCATGGAACGGTATCGAACGCTCAAAGGTCAACTAGGATTAGAAGACAGTGCTGCTGAAGATAAAGTGTCAGAAGCACAGATCCAGAAGGCATGGTGCCGCTTTGAGCCCATGGAGCAGTTCGATTATCGCGATCTGCTGGCTGATCTTGTCGACGAGCTCGATGGAACATCGCCCTCGCACCCTGACGGTTCCTGGATGCCGGTCGCCCGTTCGAAGTCCTGGGAGCGAGAATTATATGACCACAAAGACGTGCTTAGAAGGACATGGCGCGCGTTAGAGGCCAGCGGGGAAGCAGAGGATTGGGTGCGTGGCATTGGTACTGGGGATCACAGCGAAGAAGAGTGGGTGGATTTAATGTGGCGCGTTGTGCGGAAAGGCGAAGGTGATGAGAAGAGTGGCGAGAAAGCATAGTTGTAGACTGATCAGTTGGCCGCCCACCATGCAGTTCCATGTTTCGAATGTCATCGATGTCATCCTCCATGGGTTCTGTGGGTCCAGCATGAACAAATCCGTCCTGGTCCATCGTCTTATCTCCGAAGCAATGACGAGAATCACGGAATTTGTCGCCCACAGCCTATGATAAGCGACAGCATCGCAGGTTTCTTGGACGAGTTGGGAATGGGCATACCGGTATGCCCATTCCCACGTCATGAGATATATGCATAAGTCATTATAGGCCTGGGCTGTTTCAACCTCTTTTTCATCCCACTGCTCTTTCCTAGAGCAACATCGGATTCTTCCAAGATGACAACCCAGATATTGCTCTTGAAGAACGCGACAGGTACTCTATGTATGCCCACCGTACGACTAGTGTTGTTGCTAATCCATTCACTCCAGATGCCCAGATCGAGCAGGCAGTTGAACTAAGCATGCGAGCATACGAAGGCGGTAAGCGTATTCTCTCCATTTTTTACCGTTTGTGGGCGTTGAATATTTGAATTCTTATGGTAGACGAGTCTGTGGTGTCCATGATAGGTGGTGACGAGACCCTTCGCATCCATATGTTCCGGGCGATGATTCGGGCGGGAGCGCGTGAAGGAGCGTTCTACGCCGTTACGGATACCATGTCGGGAATAATACTTTCCTTCAGCATATGGTTTGCACCAGGTCGGAGGATATTTGACACGTAAGCTCTTGTCTACGTTGTTTGAAATTGTGGACTGAGTAGACCGCGCCCGAAGGGAGGCGCAACGGAGCCTTGACTGGACCGACTTTGTCAATGCATTGCAACCCAAAGTTCAGGAATGGTGGGTCAATGTTGTGTGTGCTTCCTATGAATTTATTTAGAGCGCCTGACTTACTAACCCGAACCCGTCAGCTTGGACCTTTGCACCACGAAGCGATGGTGAAGTATGTGGGTCCCGAGGTCAGTACGCATTCCAGAATCCTGATGCTGCCAATCTGATCGACTCTTTAAAATAAGTACCCTGACAGCTGGTATGCGAGTATCATTGCCACAGATCCGGAATACCAGAGGAGAGGATACGCCAGTTCTTTAGTCAGCACGGTTCTCCAACGAGTGAGCACCTATCCGACGTCCTCTCCTAACTCTCGTGTGAATGAACGTTAGGGCACCAAAGAAGGAAAACCTGTCCTTCTCGCAACTCAGACTATGGGAAATGTCAGATATTGCTGTCTTACACAAGTGGGAAACGCTGATTTGTTTTCGACAGGCCAAATGGTATCAATCTTTGGGCTTCGAGCTCAAGGGAAAGACTACGATTCCCTCAGACTACTTCAAATTTCCCGACTATATTCTCCGCTGGGCATCATGCTAACTCTCAGGCTATGTCAGATTATACTTTCGTATCATGTCGTGCAACAGAGCCCCCCTTTGTACGCAAGATGAACTGAGTACCGATATGCGAGCTCACACACATCCGGAGAGTCAGGCGCCTGCACTGCGTCCGAATTCTTACAAGCGTGCACATCGCAAGGTATCTCGGCGTACAAATCCAAGTTTAATTCCGTAAAAATTAGGATGATATAGGCCCTTTATTTGGTAAAGTCTTTCATCAGTGACACTAAGTTGATCTGACTTCGACATACCAATGCAGCCATCGTTTACAGCTGGCAAAAACTATGAGCCCACGTCCATAAATGAAGAGATGGAGGTGATCACCTCAGCTCCGAGTGCCGGACTACCTCAAAGCTCAGTCGATAGTGTTACCGTCGGTGCCAGTCAGCCAATCGAGTAGAGCGACGCCGTCCGAATCCTGGCCTTCAAAACCATAAACTCTGTCAATACCTCTGAAAAAGGGCATATGGAAGATCAAATACCTTCGGTCCTGACCGCGACTGCTCGAGCGAAGATGGCTGTGGCAATTATCGCGAAAGAAACACGGTGAATAAAGCTTTGGAAGTTCATATTTGCGAGGGAGCGTTGTGAACCCCAACCAAAACGATTTATTCTGTCATTTATACTTCGACAAGTATCGGCGGCTAGCACGAATCATGTTGAGGATGCTGCATTCTCGTGTTCATGCCACGCAAGCACTTTCCGATCAGGACACGCCGAAGATAAAACGCATGAAAGTGCTGGGGTAATGAACCCACTGTTGGTAGTGTATTTGATTCATGGACACACTAGCTGTCAACGTTAGTTTAGGTGAAGACCGCTTTCTGTCAGTCATTGCAATTACTTGATTGGTACTGTTTCCATGCGTAGATACCGAACGCGCAACGCCGACTACCTGAATTAATTCCTTCTTACAATCATACAACCAAGACTATGTCAACGCGCCCCGTAGAGCGAAGATGCTCTCTATGAGCATAGGATCCATTAAATCTTCTTGTATCCGAGGTTTAAGTGGTAGACCACGTATCAGGGCGAATTGTCCCTCAGTTTGGACCAGTTCCTCCAGCTTGTGGTCATGAAATCTTGAATAGATGTCCAGTCCCTGCAAATGTGGACGCTTCCACCACGATAGAAGCCTTCGGAATTAACCATAGGAAGTGGCCCCGGTTCCAAGGTCAAATCTGGGCGGCATAATATAATTTGGCGAAAGACGTTCAAGCAGTGTTGAGTGTGTTCCAAGTTCCGCGTATTGGGGCTATCTCCTACAGCCTCGCGTGCTATTAACTGGACACAATGAAGTTGATGGAACATTGAGGCAAATGTCGCACGGTAATCGGCTCCTTCCTGGTAGGTGCCAGCGCCAGCGGGAAAGCCCTTGAGCCATTCTGATTCAGCCTCCTCCGTGGTGTAATTGTATCGAATAGTTTCTTCAGTTCGGAGTCGGACGAAGGTAAATTGGGATGGCAGTGAAAGGGCCTCTTCCACTATAATTTTGTCGTAAACTCAGTGACTGCTCTGCCCATGTACTGCAATATAGGTATTGTCTTACCTTGAGGTGGAACGTGGTACAATGGAACCAGACTTCCGTGCGCATTGCTTGTCCAAATCCACATATGGAGTCCAATGCTGTGCCACAGGGATAAAACCGCCAGTGTCAAAAAAGATATTCGTAGGAGAGTGGCGCGACGGGACATGGATAATAAACCAAGGGGGGTGAGGAACTGATAAAATGCTCGAGACTGCTCCGATGTTCTGAGTTTGTGCCTGCGTCTAAACTGATACTTATTTTGGAGTCACCGGCAGACGAAACTTCCGATCAAATGTCGCTTATTTGCATCTGATCTCAGGTCGCTCTATAAGCGCCCACAATTCCGTTTTAGGAGGTTCAAAGACTTGAATGACTCAGATGTCATTCTCTCAGCCGAGAATTGAGAGCCCTTGACTGAACTAAAATAGGTGAATTCAAGAGAGGTATGCCACCCGTACACACTCTGAACCCCCTTCACGGTGGGTGAGGCCGGTGTATGGTCGTCGCCGATATCACGGTATTTCTTTCTACAGACAAAAAGAGCCTCTTTCCCTCTCCGTCGCCAAAAAATCGTCGTTCCCTTTATCTCTAAGCAAGAATGGCCACTTCTTATGGCGTTCTCTGCATTTTCACTATTAAAATATTTGGGATCGCCTGGTTATAATTATACTCCCCCATGGCCCGGCCAGACGCTTTTCTGAACGCCAGAGGTGGAAATCTCATCTGTGAGTCTTTGGATCTGTATTGATGCCGGATTTTCACGCTTACGTCGATAAATAGAGAGAAGAAAGGTCGAATCAATGCTCCCTATGAAGCCCTTGGGACTCGTGCACATTTCGGTTGAAGACACCGTTCACTACCAGATTGAAGGGGACGATGCAGAATGGGAGAACCTGGTGCCCGAGGACGGCACCGTCCGCTTCGGTACGGGGGGCATGAATTTCACTATCTCCATGTTCCATCAACTCCGATGTCTGGATATCTTACGACGAAAAGTGCTAAGTCCGGGAATCCCTGCCTCGAAAGTGGACTACCACTGCATCAATTACCTTCGCCAGATGGTGCTTTGCCGCGGGGACATAAATCTCGGGCGTGCATTCGGAAAACCCCAAAGTATCCCAGCTGTTCGTTGGGGTCTGTATCAGTGCTTTGATTGGGAGGAAGTTTATCTAGCATTCAAGGAAAACCAAGGACATGATGCCGCAACACATGCATCTTAGTTATTTAAACCCGTTATACTGTTATAGTAAATACCCTGGGCTCTATAAAAGATCTTTATGATTAGAGCCCTGCAGTCTGCAGAAGGCCCGCCTTGCCCAGGCTATAAACATCTGCGATATGAGTCCACGAAGGGTGCACTTCTAAAGGGTTTGAAGCTCCCACATGGCCTACCTGTAAGTATTCGTATTAACTTTGCATTCTCCCAGTCGGGTTATTACCGGCTACAGGTGACAGGACCATACGAGGGGACCGGGACGCCGCGTTGACCTGAGCCTACTCAACATTGTTTAGAAGCTGTCAATTCACATCTTCGTGCGAGATATCTACCAGTCATAACGACCCGGCATCGTGCGCATGGCTGCCAGATACTTCCATACTAATGTTACATAGAGTATCCACGTGACATAAGCGCCCGCGGTTATAGAAGAAAAGAAACATTTCATAGGTAGTGCACTCGAAAAGTAGGAAGAATAGAAAAAATCAATTTACACGTCGACACTATCCACCTTTCCACCTTTCTCCATCTCGATTTCGATTTCTGTGCTCCGCGGGACCGAGGGATCCAAAAATGTTGTCGATCCTCCCATCTTGTTGCCATTGTATGAAGGCGGGAACTCTCCTGGTTTGAACTTGATCGTATCCGTAATTCCTGTTGTGATATGGGTCATGGGATCTCGCGTCCAGGATTTTCCAGTTGTAACACGGAATATGATAAATTGCGGTGAGATCGCCTGTTTCATAAGAACGTCAGGAGAGAACAGTAAATTGGGAAAATATAACTGACGCTGAATGTGCCCCAAAGGAATGCGAATGCTGGACCCACAGATAGGTTCTTGCCATACGTGATTGCGAAGACTATGCCGAGCACGCTGAATGGCAAAGCAGATTCGATAAGAAGGGCGGAGACACCGGTGTACATGTTCAAGGTATCTCGAGGAAGCAGACCCTTGCAATTTTGGCGTAGAACCATTAGACGCGTGATGATCAAGGCGGTTACAAAGACGTTCAAGGAAACCGAGAGCGACGTCCATGGCACTCCAAAGTTGACTGCCAGTCCTCGAAAAAATTGGCTGCCAGGGAGAGCACTTTGGACAAGCGTCACCAATGCCATCGCTAATTCAATGTGTTAGGTATGACTACTGATAAATGCTGCAGGAATAGTCCTCACCGATAGAAGCCAGGTACAGAAGAATTGGGAATGAGACAACGAGCCAGTTTCCAGTCCATATGAGGTAGCACCGATAGAGCTACACGTGGGCGTATTAGACAGTGTATTTCTGCGGCACAAGGGAGCATACCAGAAGACCATCGGCCATGAAGTTTTGAACTTGGCTTGCCGCTGTCCCAAATACTTGAAACCATATTGCATTGTTTGCCACGAAGTATCCGAATGGCCCGCCTTCAACATCCCGGTGATCGATCCACATGAATTGCATGAAGACAACGTTGACGAATACTGCGATAGTGCACAGGGAAAGGGACACGGTGGCGAAAACTATGTAGGTGGTGTGCAGACGTCTGTCTGACTTCGAACTTTTGAGGTAGGAGACTAGGGAGTGGGCATACATATAGACGAGAAGCCCTAGAATCTCTGTGTTAGAATCACCTTTAGAATTATTTCTCAAGCTTACCATAGCAGATGGACATAAACACTATGCCGTAATACAATGAACGTTCCAAAATAATGTCTGGCGAAGGGTCGGCCATGGTGCGTCGAGATAAGATGGCAAGGGTATGGCGTTTTCTGCGAGACAAGAAATTGAGTCAGATGTAACTTTCCCCGACTGTGCAGGCGCCGAAAGACGACGACGAGGGGTCGAGACTAAAAGTACTCGGCCATGGACTGATTGGTCTCATTTACACCTGTGGGTGACAGCGAACAGAACTTTGGAAGCATTATACCGCCAAGCATCGCACACCCCACAACCTGAAAGTTCTAAATGTCTGGACAGATTGATGTTTTCTCGAAGAGCAACGCTCGTCTTCCTGTGGAATACGAGAGTCATTTGTGGGCACATCGATTTCCGCGAAAGGTGTACACGGTGAGCGGTTCGATGCAGCGAGGATAAGCCGAAGAGAAATTCATTCCGAGTTTGGCATGAGCTATGCATCATGATGGCACCTTTTAGAGGGTCCTGATGGAGTGGGTTCATGAAGAACGACGTGGAAGCGAATCTGGTTAAAGGTTACCGCCTTGTTGGGTCCTAATTTTATTCTTCTCACTTGCCTGGCGTTCAGACAAAGTAGATATGGAGGTCTAAAATTCGGACCGACAGAGTCCCGCACACATTGGGCGCGTGGGTGTCGGAGGGACATTACAATGATATCTGATATCTGCCAGCTGTCAAATGAAGAACATCAGTAGGCGTCAGTCAAAGCCATGCGCCTACGACCCACAAAGTGTTGACATTTCGCTATAGGGAAAAGGTGTGCGCCAACGAACACGAGGACGAATTCTACATGGAAGTCGATTATACTTAACAGGTCCACCCAAGGAAACGAGGCCATTCAAATGCCAGAAATCCAGTATCTCTCCCTACCACAGGGTGACAGCACGGAGGTATCTAACCTTGCTGACGATGACCGTATGTGCTTTTGGAATCCCTGCAGAATCATGCTGACTGGAGGTTTCGTTCAGCGTCAACCAGCCGTTGGTGGCAAGATCAGAAAATTCGCTACTGCCTATTCTTCATAGCCTTGTGCTCGTTCGTTGATGTTCTTGGAATCATCTATATTGTCCTATCACCTGGAAAATCGGCATTCCAGGGCATGCTTTACGAGAAGACCTCGATTTACTCTCTTCCATTTCGAAGCACATACTCGCATTTGTCAGACCTGTACAGGAAGTCTGGTAAGAAGAGTACGCCAAGAGGACCAATAACAAACATTCCGGCCGCTATGGTACAAGTTGACAGAGTCCACCCATCCCAAGTGTCGAGCCGGCGTAACCTCGAGATGTGGACCAGCCCTGGAGGGATGGTCCCTTTCAACGAGCGCCTACTCCGCGTTACACCGCAGGTAACGAGATTTGTTGTTCTGAAACCCGTTTGCTGATGCTGGCCTAGATATCGACGATTGTCCAGTTTCATGTCATGGACTTCGGGTTTGAAAATTGTAGCGTAGTCGTGCGATTGCATCAGCAATCAACGCCGATGGGCACCGAGCAGGGAAAGTCGGGTACGCAGGGTGATCGGAAGCAATTCGACTTGGACATCTGGAAACTATCGTCCGAACTGGCCCTCAATAGATCTTGAGCTCGATGGCATAAGTTGGAACTCCAAGCCGAAGCGCCAAACGTATCTTGGGGTGTTGACGATTCCCCCAGAGACACGCGGCCACTACGCTCTGCCGGGGTACTCTTGTACCATGGGCACTTCCCAGACAATTGAAATATCCTGTCGGGAAGGGCTGTGCGATATTGATGTGCCTGCGTCCGGAGACGAAACATTTGGTACTTTTTCCATTTCTTGTTATGTCCGAGATCTGTCCTCATCGCGAATCCACCTTTGAATATAGGGCTTTTCATTAAGCAGTATCAAACCATCTAGTATCTTTACTCACAGAAGCTTCGTCTTAACTGCACTGTCTTCTCGTATCACGATTTTCGACCTCTGTAGACAGCCAGATAAATGCTAATTGACTTGTCGGGGCTACCCTTCTGGACGTCGAGGATAGCGAAGAGAAAGTAGACCTCATCAGGAACCCTAATTACGAAATTAAGCTTTTGTAGGAAATCGAGACGTGAGGATAGAGTGAACCTGATTGTGATTTATCTAAAACGACCGTGATCTTGAATACATTGCGACTGGAGAGGGGGGGGTATTTCAGAAAAGTGGGAGGGACTAGGCGAAGGCTGGATAGAAATTGGAAAAGAGGCGATGAGCAGCAAAGCTACAACTCGGATGTGCGCCAACTAGAACTTTGTTCGCAGCTTGACTCGTTCATGTTTGTCAGATACATATCCCAATCATCGAGGCTATAAAGATTTAAATTCCCACAGTCAGTACGACGATTACCCATACACGAATAGTAATGACTCACCCAAACCCAGTTGGTGCATTCGACCACATGCCCATTGCATTGCCAGATTCTGGCCGTTCGAAGCTCTCCGAATGGAGTTGGTCGGTCGACCGGGCATTACTTCTACTCAAGAACGCCATAAAGTCGTCGGCTATGCTCGTGTTTTGAACGTCGCTTGATCCCAATGTCCCCAGCGACGTATCAAAAGACGGGAAACTAGGAGGCACAGAGGCGACGTCTTGCGCGGATCCCTGCGCGACCTGTGGTAGCGGCTGTGATAAGGAGACGCTCTCGTATGATTCGGTGTTCTGCTGGGGATTTTCGAGGGAAGAGAAGTCGTAGGAAAGATCTGACGACTTATTCGAGGTGGCTGCCACAGCGTCGTGCTGACCGTTCCGATACAACAGGTCAGACAAAGAGGGGTATTCGTCGGGTACCATGCCACCTGGTGCACGAGAAAGAGGAGGGCTGGTTTCTTCTGCCTCAAGGAAACCGGGCGACAGGCTACATATCGGCGACGCGACATCGACAGCCGATGACACTTCCTGCCGCGTATGAGAGCCCTCACCCATGGCAGAGAGTTCAGACAAGAGATCCCTAAACTCATGTCAGATGAATGATCTGTCAACGCAGGATGAATATTGAACTGACCAAAATTTGCCAGCCTGTTGCCACCGTTCCTCACTCTTTTTCAACGCTTTGAGGGCTTGTGATACATACACCATATCATCGGCGTTCTGTGACGGCGAGGAGCCCGAATGTCTTCCAATCCACATATTAAGCAGTAGGACAATGCCTGATGTAAAAACAGCTATCTGGAGATTGAAGTCAAGGGTAAGGATCAAGCCATGAACCCACAATAACGGAACAAACCTGGACGGGAGGGGGAGGTCCCATAGCGGTATACTTCCGACGTTGCGCATCCGCGATACGCACACAGGCACGAGCAGAATGGGCGCATATGGAGAGAGAAGGGAACGGGAAGGGAGAGGGTTTAATCCGAGAAGAGATAAATGGACGATGAATAAGTATTCGTATATGATGGTAAGTGGCATGGAGCTCTGCAGAGATGTTGAAGTAGTTAATGTTTTCGCGATCCGGGTCCCAAGTCACTTCGACCATATCAACGGCTGTATGAGCTAGCGCAGTAAGATAAACACCTACAATAGTCTGGTACGGAATTGAGCCATTTATTGAGGCTCGAGTCCAGCTCCATGACAATACGGGATTTCCACTGCTGCCCCACCAGACCAAACCATTCGTTTGTCTTGCTGAGCGAATACTAAGACAAACAAGGTGTGGTCAGTGATAAAAGTGATAACACCAGGGAAAATCAGCGCACAATTCCTCGAACGCAACAACTCATGATGAGCATCAGCCTCAGGAATAAGACGAAGCCTGTAACTGTGCAGGGTTTATTCGGCGGTTGTTTGAACCGCTGCTCAGGATCCGGATGCTCCCAGTATTCGTCATCGCACTCGACGGGCATGTCGAGGTCGAAGCTAGGTTGATAAGGTCAGTGGCGCTGACTGTCGGGATTGGATAGGTCTCCTACTCGTGCTCTTGGATAGCACACGGACGACCAACAGAAACACTAGTGAGCCTGTCTATGCAGATGAGAAACCTGTTGAGACATCTTAGCATTCGACAATGATAGTGGAGGCCAATGACAAAGTACCAGAAAGCCCGCTTCCAGAGCTCGTTTTCAGCCGTCGGCTGTGAGCTCCGACGCCTGTGCACACCCACATCCTGTGCCAAGCGAAGAGCTATGCCGACCATGGTCCAAACCGCTTGCGGGGCCGAGGAGCTTTGCAGAAACAATACGACCAACTGGGAAAGGAAATGAAAAGGAGCCAGAAAGACAACGTGAACAATGCGTACACACGATTGTTGGAGGTCGTAGAGCGATGGAAGCGAGAGGAGAGAAGTCTTCCCGATCTCCACTTGGTTGAACCATTTCCATCCCGCAGAGAGATATGACTCCACGCCGTCTACGCGGACTCTTGGGTCGTTCGAGAACCGTGCGCCAACAGCACAGACGAGGAGGTAGACGGCGGCAAAACCTTCGTTGGTATAATGGAGGCCGTCTCGAACCGATCTCTCAAAAGAAGGCCGATGAAGAAGTGGGAGGTGAAGGTTGAGGCGCTCGAAGAAGAGGTCGAGAAGTTCTTTGGCAAGATCAGGCCCCGGAAAAGTGTAACGGCGTGGTGGTCCAATTTCAAACCTCCTTTCCCACTTGGTATGAGAATCAGTCACAAGAAAATAAACAGCTCGAACGGCGTCAACGTACCGGTCGGAGCACCCAAAACTCTTCGCGTCTCTTACGCAATATCTGTTGAGGATACTGTTCTTCGCCAACGAGCTTCGTCTTCATACAAATGGCTTCGCGAATGAGCATTTCCCCGCTGGACTTTCCGAAAAACCGATTCGTGTCCAAGCTGCTCGCAACGACGTGTGGCTCGTCGTCCTGCTGGGGCGGAGCAACGTCGTCATTGACAGAACGGATGGCGTAAGCCCACCCCTCGAGCACCTCCCTTCCCAGATCGCTGGAGGTTGAAGAGTCTCGCACGAGATAGCTGGGGTCGGTAAGCTTGCCTGCAGTGCTTCCTGTGAGCGACTTGACCCATTCGTCGTATAATTTGTCGTCCGGACACAACTACTCAATTAGTTGTCAGTCAACTAGATAGGAAGAAGGGACACACCTGTCGTAAGACATCATGCAATTCCGTTATCCTGTCTTCGAGGCTTGCAATATACTTCCGGGTAGGCACGCGTCGCTGTGAACGTACCTCGTACCGCGCCGAATTTCACAGAAGGCACAAAACATACCTTGGATTCTTCGACATATGTGCATGGAATTTTGGCTTTGACGCAACTCGTACATTCACGACTTGGGGTTTCTGGCCCATTGCCTGACTAATGTGAGCGCAAAGTCGTGCAGGTGGTCGGAAATAACCAACATCTAACTGGGATTGTTCAGAACTTGAACGAAAAGAGATATGGCTCACGCACCTTTCCTCCTCCTACATAGATCGCACGCCCGGGGCCGCTTCTTGCGCCGTCCCTCATTTTCGTGCGTTTCCTCCGGTCTGATGTCTTCGTCTTCACTCGAGGACATGCCAAACGTTGGGTGGGGATGAGTATTGTTGCTGGACTAGTACTACTACTAGGCAACCAAGGGCCGCTGACAAATGTGCCGCCTGCCTGACGCAATGGCTCGACCGTGACATCGTTCTCCATGCAGAAGAAAGTGGTCCAGCGCTACAGCAGACAATGGTCAGCGAGGAAAGAGCCGCACTGCGAGCCTGGTTGTTCGGGTTGTGGATCAGTACCTCGTTAAATTTCATCAGGACTCGGCGCCTTGGATGTCATACAGCTTACGCTCAAGGGGGCTCAAGGCCACAATCACGGGTCCAATACTTAGAAAGAGCACCTGATATGATGTCATGAAGGAATCATCTTGAACTTGAGAATACCCTCAGATCCGATGCTTCCAGCAGACAACTAACTTGCAGCTAACGATTGCGAAACACGATTCGAGTTCGTTCTGCAATTGAACTCCTAGCAAGACAAAAAGAGCGGTTCTATCATGAAAAGCCAGAGAAACTCTGGCATCCGCATGAGTTGAACGCCATCGTGAAGGTTGCCGTCGATCGAAGGGGGTAGAAAACAGTTTTGTCTTCTACGGAGGGTGGTGCTGCACGGATCCATTGGCTTTCTGCCAGTGGCTCACAAACCAAACTCCTCAACGGTCACCTTCTGACTTGTACGTAAAGTTTATAATTTCTTCGATTACACTTTCTTCGAAGTGTTCGATTCCGCTTTATACCGGGAAAGCCCACTGCCAATCTGCAAAATCCGCACCCTATTACCAAGTCAAGAGTATAAGCTGAAGGGGATATATAATTTCAGAACAAATATAATCCGGAGAGACGTGGGGAGGGTGCGTGTTGAGATCAGGACTCGATGACCAAAGAAGATTGCGTATGATGTTCAAGTTGACTTACTATCCTTTTCTGTGAAAGGCGTTTGTCCCGACTCTTGAAGAATGATGTGTAGGGCCCTCTGCATTATTGTTCGGGTCGCTCTCAGGACTCTGACTTGACGGTGACATGCAGGAGCTCTCTCCCCAATAATCTCCACGTGGTCATGATCGATTGCCGAGCCCTGCGCCACTTTTTGCATCTTTGGACGTCGACATTTTCTGGGCCCGTGTCGCGTGCTGTAGAGGACCAACCTCTGAGTCGGACCTCGAGCAAATTCTGCAGTCAACTGCGGGGGACTGAGGGCACATTGATAATCTAATCTACGCGCACGTGTATATTTGATCACGATCTATCACTGTGTTGACCGTGACATCAGGCTGAGGAACACCTTACAGCTTCCTCCTATTGCCACCAATTACCACCATACGAGGCTAATCATTCGCAAGGTATGGGCGCGCTTAGTTCAGCCCAGGGCTTCTACTTACATCTTTGCGGGGGAAAGGCTCGAGAAGGACGAAAATGAATCGAATCAGTATTCAAAGAGTGACAATCAACATCAACAGGAGCCTCTCGAGCAGAACATTTTGGACAGTGTAAGCTCAGCCAACCATTCGTGAAAGAATTCTCATTCCCATTACGAGACTCTTCTATCTATTTGCTATTTAAGTGGCCCATGGCAAGGACAGATCAAGAACCCCGTCGCAGGAAACAGACCGCAGCCAAAGAAAGTAGATACGAGCCATACAACCAAAGTTCAAGACGACAAAAAGAGCCCAGATCTCAAAGAAAATGCCAAGGGGAAAGAAACTAAGGATGCTAGAAAGCCGAGCTTAAGTTCTTCGAAGTATGTAAAGTCTATATTCATTGCGAAGCAGCAGTAATACGTCTAATGCATAAATAAGATGATGTCAAACAGAAGTCTAACTGGACCACGAAATCAATTATCCTAAATTAAGGAAGTATCTATCCCACTCATCCAATCTGCAAATGGCATTGAGAAAACTCGTGACAACGCGCACAAGAAGGAAACTCACCCAAAGCTAGCTGGGGCATTTGACCACATGGCCACGACGCTCCCAGTCAAGTCCCTGTCACCCATTTCCTGATCTGGATGAGTCCCGTTGGGTTGTTCAGGTTGAGGTGGTGGATGCGCGAACGACGCAAAATTACTCGTATTGGCCCATGTGCTCGAACCTTGCGGAGAGGTGTTGGGAGGGTTGACTTGGTATTGGTAGGGGAGATGTTGGCCCACAAACCCACCGAAGGAATCGGCAGGTGGTGCGGCCTGATCATGGCTAATCCAGCCGTTCTGAGCTGTTTGGCTGGAATGGCCGTTTCCTTGTTGATCAACTTCCTGTCTATAGACATGAGGGAGTGGAGGTTGGGGAAGAGACATAGATGCCGGTTCTGCACTCTCTTGCGATACCTGCAATATCTGGAACCCTGACAGGCCAATTTGCGACTGCCTTCGCCTCTCAGGATGATCCGGTGACGAGAGCTCTGATAGGGCATCCCTTAAGTAAAGTCAATGCTGGTTAACCGATAGAAGTACAGCGTCCAATCAGGCGTCGCTCACCAGAATCTGCCAGCGATATGCCATCGTTCTTCGGCAGCCTTCAGAATCTCTAGGACCTTTTGCACGCGATTCATATCTGGGTTCTTGTTTGGCGGCAAACCAGATGCCTGCGCGCCCCAAATACCGATCAACAAAACAACGGCCGACGCGAATGCGGCCATCTTCAGGTGAGGAAACGCGGGTCGTTGAAGTTGAGTTGGAGATCACAGTACAACATCAAGTGTAACGAACCTGAACAGGAGGCGGAGGTCCAGTCTTATTGCGCTCAAGCTGGGTGTAGGCGAGGTGTATGCAAGAACGAGCTGAGTTGGTGCATATGGCTAGTGATGGGAAAGCTAATGTGGAAGGTTTATTCGGGGAAGGAATAAATGGGCGGTGGATGAGGATTTGGGTGTAATGCCACATAGCATGCAACGCCATGGACTGGTTGAAGAACTCGTCGCTCTTGACGTCGTCCGAATCCCAGCGTACTAGAGTCGATCTTTTGAACGAAGATATCCCAGCAAAAGAAGAAGCACGGCCTACAATGTTCTGGCACTGACTGGAGCCATTTGTTAAGGCCCGAATCCAGTTCAGCAACGATATGGGCTTTCCACTGCTGGCCAACAAATCCAAGTCGCATGTTCATTTTGTTCAACGAATACTATCATTAAAAGTTTATCAGCGACAGGCCAGTGCAAAAGGTGTGATTGTAGCGACGAACGATCATGCGGATACAAATTCCAAGGATCTTATTGAGCTTCAGCTGCAAGATAAATGATGTGATCGAGGAAGGCTTGTTCAGTGGTTGCTTGAATCTTTGTGTGGGGTCGGGGTGTTCCCAATATTCGTCATCGCAATCGATAGGTAAGTCCAGGTCGCAACTGGTTGTACGTGTCAGAAGCCTCAGCGTAAAATTCACGCAGTTTCGCTTACTCCTCCTCTTGAACAGACAACGGGCGGCCGAGTGCGGTACTAATAAGTCGATCGATGGATATAAGAACCCTAAGATATTGTCAGCATATACGTCATTCAATGAGAAAGGAATGCTCTACCAGAAAGCTCTTTTCCAGAGTTCATCCTCGACGGTAGGCACCGAACTCTTGCGTCGATGGACACCGATGTCTTGAGCCAAACGTAAGGCGATGCCAACTAGCGTCCAGACGGGCTGCGGCGCTGATGAGCTTTGGAGAAAGATGACTGTCAACTTATGGAACAACAAGATTAGTCCAGAAAGCGAGCATAAAATGAACTCGAAATGACGCACGCAATATAGCTGGAGGTCGTAGAGAGAAGGCAAGGAGATGAAAGACGTCTTTCCTGTCTCAACTTGAGTAAACCATTTCCACCCCGCTGAATGATATGATTCAAAACCATCCAGAAGGACCCTGGGGTCATTTGAAAAGCGTGAGCCAACAGCGCAGACCAGAAGATAAACCGCGCCGAAACCGTCGTCCGTATAGTGGAGGCCATCATGTATGGACCTTTGGAAAGTTGGTCGATGGAGCAAAGGGAGGTACAAGTTGGAATGAATGAAGAATAGGTCGACAAGCTCTTTCGCGAGGTCAGGCTCAGGGAAGACGTATCGAGGTGGTGCGACGCGTTCAGAACCCCGCTCCCACTTGAGCGACATATAAATCAGATGTCAATGGGAAAAAGAAGCCAACGTACGGGTCGGAGGGTCCAAAACTCTTCGCGTCTGTCACGCAGGATGGGTCTTCCATGCTCCTCTAATCCAATAAACTCTCGCTTCATCGACAGTGCCGTGTAAACTAGCATCTCATTGCTCGATTTGCCGAAAAACCTGCTCGTATCAAGGCTGCTGGTAGGGCAGTTCCGTAGGACACCGGATTCCTCGTCCGGAGGATGGGAGATGTGATTCTGAGTTGCACGGATCACTTTCGCCAAATTTTCAGCAGGCTTCGCCCCAAATATGCTCGGAGGAATAAAGTTTGTATTCAGACGGGAAGGAGGTTCAGGCGTAGCAGAGGCGGAGGCGTCAAGACGGTCTTGATGCAGGGAAGAAATCCAGTCATCGTAGGTCGCATCCTTTGGGCACAGCTGCAGAATGTCGGAGTCAGGCCTTCGAAGAGGCGGAACGAGACGCACCTGGCGAAGAATCGTATCCAACCCTGATATCCGGTCCTCAAGACTTGCGATGTATCTTCGGAAGGACTGATGTGAACATAGCGTGCAGGTCGACAGTCCCACATAGCGAACCTTTTGGAAGGGGTGCGTCTCTGAGGCAATTATGAACACGAGAGAGGTGAGGATGAGACAAAAGACTCACAGTAGATTCTTCAACATATGTGCAAGTGACACCTCCAGTGGTGCAATGTGAACACTGGCCGGTAGGGTTTCCTGGACCATCGCCTAACGGTTATCTTGAGCCAGACTGCGACAAAGGATCGGGACGACTTGAACAATTAAACATACACCGGACTAGCAAGCAGGTAAGCCATTGTCTCCGAAGGTTGTTATTGGGCTTACTACCTTTCCTACGACGGCAAATATCGCAGGCCCTTGGGCGCCTGTGCGAACGCCAGTCATTTTCCTCTTCGCTGGAGGACATGGAAGGAAGAGTGCTGTGAAAGTGCCTGAGTTGACCATTGCCAACAGCGGCAGTGTCATGACGTTACTGTCTTACTCAAAATTAGGCTTGCGGCCCTGCTCTCGGGGCCGCTTATGTTTGCATCGGCTACTACTATTACTATTAGCGTAAGGGTAATACAGGGAGTCTGAGCCTTCGAAGACCTGTCAACTGGAGTAGGGGTCTGATATGTACATGACGGGTAGTAATAGCACATGATATCGAGAATCAGGATTAGACGCGAGGGGGATCGTTGAACCGGTGGAGGCAACTGCCCGCCCGGCAAAAAGGTCGAGCCAGTTATGGTCCTCGAGGGGTGGAGGGAAGAAGCTGGCGGAGTGACGATGGACGAAGGGCGAACGAGAGAGGCTTGAAGTTACGAGTCCGACATGTACCAGCTGGATGCGTGGTCACGACCTGGCTGGCTCATATTTGACAAATGCATACCCCAATCCTCCAGTCTATCGGTAGGAATCGGCGTCAGTTCGACTCATGGACAGACGAAAACGACAAGACGCACCCAAACCCAATCGGCGCATTTGACCACATTTCATCGTCATACGAGTATGCACTGGCGGACTGCTCCTGCTCCAAGCCTTCAATGTACGGTTCGTCGCTTTTTGAAAAATCCACCAAGTCTGTGATTGAACCAGCCGATGTTGAGTCACAATTGCCATCCAAGTCCAATGCACTAGGTGCCGTGTTACAAGGGGAGAAGCTAGGCCGGACAGAAACGATAGATCCCTGTAGAAGCATGGACGTATGAGGTGTGATCGTCTGCGATACTGGTACTGGTGACGCCTCTTCGTCATCAGTAAGCGATGGGCATGTCTCATCGCTATCGGGAGAGAGGTCGTAAAATTGAGTTGGCGCATGTGGGAAGGAGATAATCTTGGCTTCAAGGGGGTGAATTGTCTTGATAGAAGTCATCGTTGGCACAATGTCGACATCTGGTTGCCCATCCTTGGACGGAAGAGGGCACTCGCCCATTGCGGAGAGCTCAGCCAAGACATCCCTGAAAGCAAGGCATATCAGAGGGCTGAATACGATAGTCGTCACGGATATTGAACTAACCAGTATCGCCCGGCGTGGCACCATCGATCTTCGCTTGCTTTCAGCGTGTTCAGGCATTTTAATACATCCATCATGTCGTCCGCATCTTGCTCTGAGGAAGTATCCGACTTCTTCCCGAGCCAAATGTTCAAAAGGAGCATAATGGCTGACGTGAAAGTGGCTAACTTGAAGTCGCGACGAGATGATTAAGCATGGTGTTCGCAGACGATAAAATCAGAGAAAGCGAACCTGAACCGTAGGAGGCGGCCCAACCACATTGCGACTGCGAAAAGCGCTGGCAATACGAACACAGGCACGAGCGGAATTCGTGCATATCGGTAGTGAGGGGAAGGGGAAGGAAGAGGGTTTGTTTGGAGCAGAGGGACGGTGGATAAGAATTTTGAGGTGATGGTAGGCCGCATGCATTGATGCAGACAGATTGAACAACTGCAGATTTTCGCGGTGGGGATCCCAGGCCACTGGAACAAAAATATACACAGGAAAGGGGAGGAAAAAAATCGGTGAGTGTCCATTCGATACAGGAGCAGGAAGCAATGAGCGCACAATATTCTGGCACAGAAGCTAGCCATTTGTTCAGAGAAGAATCTAGTTCCATCACGATACGTTCTTTCCACTTGTTTCCCACTAGTCCACACCACTCGTTAATCTTGCTAATTGAATACTGCAAAAAGATATCAGACGCATTAGCAGAGTTCCTGAGGAAATATACCTACCACTCCCCGAATGCAGCAATTCATAATATGCATAAGTTTCAATTTCAAAATGAACGCCGTCATTGATGAAGGCTTGTTTGGCGGCTGCTTGAATCGCTTCTTAGGATCTGGATGTTCCCAGTATTCGTCATCGCAGTCGATAGGGAAGTCGAGGTCATAGCTGGGACAAGAAATCAATGCGACGACGCAGTAAGGGGGTTGATAAATGCCTACTCCTCGTCCTGTATCGCCACTGAACGTCCAACAGCAACAGTGTTGACTCTGTCAATGCAAATAAGGACCCTTGTGAATTGCTGTGGTCAGCGTTCGGAACTGCTTGAATGAATAAAAGTGAGGGTTTACCAGAAAGCTCGTTTCCAGAGTTCATCTTCGGCTGAAGGTGTGCGACTCCGACGTCTGTGAACGCCAATATCCTGTGCTAACCGAATTGCAATGCCCGTCATCGTCCAAACGGCCTGGGGTGTGGACGAACTATGCAGAAATACCACCGTCAGCTGGAGGCCTGGTTGTCAACAATTCGCTAGATGGAACTGAGAAAGGAAAACGCACACAATATAGCTGGAGATCGTAGAGAGACGGCAGAGAAAGAAAAGATGTCTTTCCGGTTTCAACTTGTTTAAACCATTTCCATCCCGCTGAATGATACGACTGGACCCCATCGAGAAGAACACGGGGATCACTTGAGAATCGTGAACCTACAGCACATACAAGAAGGTAGACACCAGCAAAACCGTCGTTGGAATAATGGAGACAGTCTCGCACTGATCGTTCAAAAGAGGGGCGGTGGAGGAGAGGAAGATGGAGGTTACAGTGCTCAAAGAAAAGGTCAACGAGGTCCCGAGCGAGGTCTGCTTCAGGGAATGTGTACTGCTGTGGCATTACGTTCTGAAACTTCCTTTCCCACTAGATCACTGCATGAGTCATAATGCGAGAAACATGACATGATTACAACACACCGGCCTGAGCGTCCAGAATTCTTCGCGCCTCTTGTGGAATATAGGCCTCTCCTCGCCACCAACAAGTGTCTTTTTCATGGATACCGCCTCGCGGATGAGCATCTCACTGCTGGATTTTCCAAAGAATCGGTCCGTGTCGAGGCCGCTATTGACTACAGACAGATGGTCAATCTCATCATGAGGAAGCGCAAGGTCGTCGTTGACCAAACGAATCGCATTGGTAATCCCTTCGATCATCTCCACCTCGCTCGAAGCTGAAGTCTCTTGCGTGAGGTGGCTCGGACTGATGAGGTTCTCATCATCTGCCTCGACGAGCGAACGGAGCCATTGGCTGTATATCTTCTCGTCCGGGCATAGCTAAGGGATGTCAGCGAAGGAAATTAAGCAAAGAGATGAAGACACGGACTTTTCGGAGAATCTGATCCAAATCTGTTATCCTATCTTCCAAACTCGCGACATACTTTTTGGTGGGCACGCGTCTCTATAGAGCCAGTTCGTAATGCGAAGGTTCAACGACGTAAGATGAAGCATACCTTGGATTCTTCAACGTATGTGCAGTTGACCTTGCCGTTGATGCAACTTGTGCATTCGCCTCCGGGGTTTTCCGGGCCATTACCTGATAACCATAAACATGAAGTCCACTGGTGGGATATAAACCGACGAACATCGCACTGCTATGGATGAGAAGCGCGAAACTGAAACCTGAGCAGAACGACACACCTTTCTTCCTTCGACATGCATCACACGCCCTTGGCCGCTTTTTTGGCCGCTCCGTCTGGATGACGTCGCGCCCGATGCTCTCTTCTTCGGGGGAGGACATATCTGGAGAAAGGGGAGGTTCGGAGGGAAGCGTGGCTAGACGGCACGGTATATAACCTGGCTGACAAATGCTTGACGGATTAGTTCAAGCATGGCAATGGCTGAGAATCCGAGGTATAAGGGGAACGAGGAAGAAGTATCTTGTCAACAATGGTGCTTGCTGGCTTTCGAGGACGACTCGGTTGTTCGTGGTTTCGTGTTGGGTGCCATCGCCGTACGTTGACGGTCACTGGAACCAACGGCAGATCACTGGTCCCCGGTAAAAATTTCGACATCTTGGCGGGCTTGGCTCAACGTCAATGCACCAAGCGCCGAACGAAAGGAAAGCTTGTTTTTGTGAAGTGCATACCAAGTGCAGACGACGCCCGCAAGCACTCCTTCGACTCAAGTAGCATTTGCCATTCCGGGACCTTATGTTAAGGCTACTGTGTCGAGTCCATTCTTGATCCGAGTCCACTGTAAGCCCGACGTAGCTGATGAGGGGAAATCACTGCAGGTCGAACGAAAAAAAAATTGAGTCGAACTCTGTTGGGTAGACGACGCGACGATATGGTATAGGTGCAACGAAAGAATCTACTGTACACGCAAGTGTCCGTAGACGTATCGTGTGACATACTTAGCGTGTGAAGTGACGACCTTATATCCGCAGCCCCTACGTAGGCTTACATTTTTCAGAGCTGATAACAAGACCCTTGCAAGATCCTACAAATATTTAGATATCATTTTGGCAACACCTTGAGGAGTGGGTTCAGGCTGCGCCTCGAATTTCTGACATACTGGGAACATCACCTGAACTTTTTCGGGGGGTCAGGGAACGGAGAAGACATACTTAAAGTTGGAGATGTGTCCAGGCCCCACCCTGATTAGTCGGAGGTCTACAAAAATGGTTAGAAACGGTAAAGTGCACAGCTAGTCCCTTGTTCTTCAACAGCTTGAATGTCCGAGAATCTTTCACATAATTCTTTGCCAACCCTTCTACAAGAATTCGTGCCTTCTTTAGTGGTTGTTGGCCATTGCCCGACCGCAGAGCAAAATGCTCGCAGATGAACCAAGATATGAGGCCACCTGCCGTAACGAAACCCTCCAATGTCAAAGATTCGAGGTCGGAGAAAACAGTGGCCTTTGAGCCATCAACACCAGAAGGGAGCAGGAACTCGATAAAACTGTACGGCAATTTGCGCCCCGAAATCCTGAGTATCTTGACAGAAGAAAGGTGCATCGATGAAAGGTATGGCGTTAATGCGAAGTCGGGGTCGTCAATGGGGTCATCAATGGGTTCACTGAAGTAATGGAGAAGGAACTCCTCCAAACAACAGCCGGTCCGAGCAACCAGCCCATTCACTTCACCGAGTTCTTCGCAAGGCGACAAATCGTCCAAGATTTGGAGAAAGCGAAGTCGAGGCGTCGTAAGCTTGGAAAGAAGGAACCCCCAATGACGTCGTCCTCGTTAGGCATAGGCGACGCAAGTGTGGAAGTACTACAATTGGGTGGTCTTCATAATCTGATTGATATTCGTCGGAAGAGATAGTGAGCTCCTGCAAGATTTCACACTCTGAAAGAACGGCTAGAAGGTTAAAGCGACGGTCAACCGCGCCAATGCTGAGGGTTTTCAATTGCTTCCATGGGATGGGCACAGGAGGGGTTTCCCATTCAGCCAACTTGAGAGAGTATGCAGAGTTGGACAGGTGAGAAAACTTTGACGCAACAAATCATCTTTGAATTCCTCTCCACAAGAGTCCAGGTCTAGGTCCAGTTCTCCGAAGGAAAGGAGGCAAGATTGGTCGATAACTTGTCCGAACTTGACAAAGTCCTCAGGAGGATTGGAGAACCGAAGCTTGAGCGCGGTCCACGCTTTGGTCGAGAAGAGCTTCACGACGGAGCTGAACGTCTCAACTAACAGTGAAGCCTCCACCTTGCGCATTGGGTTATAATGTAAGGTGATTCGCAGTGGACAAGACTTGCTACGTTCCAACCATACTTGCAGGCATCGGACGGAGGCTTGAGTGGGGTCTTTGACGTATACAGAATTCCAGAGAGTCGGAAGCAACAGCGAAAGTCGCCTCCAATGCGAGCAGATCTGACCCAGGAGGCGTGGATCTACTGCCTGGCTGCAGGCGTTGTGATCAATCGATGTCACTTGCTATGGTTCCGCAAGAAGTGCGGACTGCCTTGATCATCATCAACGATGTCTTCGCCGTGTGGGCACTTCGCCGCACTGAAGAAAATTTCTGCCAGCACCTCGGAGGGGAGGAGCCTGTTGATCATCGAGGATTTGCTACGGTTCGACTGAGACAATGAGCATCGCTGTTCCTTCGTACATGTTGGCGGAGTTCCACTCACATTTGCCATAGAAGATGCGGTTAGGTTTAGAGAAAGCAAAACATGCAACAATTTGAGTTAGACGCCTCGTGCCGAGAACCAATTTCCTTTTTAGATCCACCTCATGACGTATTTGCGTTCAACAGATTACTAGGCAAATACGAATGTTTCTCATTCCAGAGAGGTTTACATGAAAGCAGTTTACAACGGACGGGATTTCTTATCCTCTCCAGACAGCCTAGGAGGTCTCGTTTCAACAATACAGCACATACAATCCAAGAGGGCGACTTACAGGTCCGGGCTGGACATACGTCGTCGGAATGGCTATGGTAAAGTAAGTACGGCTTCATCACCAAAATTCGCGACTTACGCCAGTAGATGTTGATTTTGATACCAGGTTCCTGAATTCCGTGGATCAGTGCAACGGTACTTCGAGCCGAGGTCGAAACCTACATTTCCGTTGTAGACGCCCGGGATGGATACGAGAGGGCCGGGTGTTCCGTTTCCTCCTCCAGTAACCCTAACTTGCGCGCAACTGATATAGAATTGGGCTACGAAGTTCAAGGATCAGTATTGCCGCAGCTTCTGGGGTGGTCAATCTTACCTCCTCCGAAGGAAGACGCCGAGTGGAGAGCAATTTGCTCGATGCGGACGAGGTACTCTCCAGAAGGAAGGCTCCTTGGGATGGTGAAGGTAAAGGTGTCCACATCTGGGAGAGAGGTCAATCGAGTTGAATGGGACTGGAGAGCCGTAAAGAACGACGTACTCGATCCTGGGAAGGTGATGGTCTGGCCGTTCGCAATTGCGGGTACTTCATGAACCTAATAGTAAAATAGACGATCAAAAATAGACCCAGAGATAGACATAGCCTATCACGTACCTTGAACCAAACGTTGCCGCTTCCATCCCATCCCGCGGCAGTCGATGGCGCCTTGGCCATGTAGATATTGGCGACCTAACAGCAAGCTCGGTCACAAGACGGGTAGCATGCGGGGAGGCGAGGACGTACTCCTTGATGGTACGCATTACCGTTAGCCTTGATTCCCAGCTGAGATCCAGCAGCAACGTCGACGGTCGTCGCCGTCGCCCGAGTCTCGGAGGTGTAGCACCGAAGATCCTGGCTCGTCACATCGGTGACCTAGACAAGGAGACACTCAGGACATAGAAACTGAAACGTAAGGTATAGACTGACAGGTGCCTGGGTGTTGTAGTTGTTGGTCCGGCGAATGTTGACCCATTCACCAGATGGGGCACCGTTCACGATGAGGGTCGGGAAAGTGTCTACAATGAACCGAGGAGAATGAGTATCGGACCCTTTCGATAAAAAAACTAGAAAGCCTACAGTGGCACGCCGCGAGACTTGCCAACGAAAGCACAACGGCAAAAACGGACTTCATATCGTTGCTGAGCACTGGGTGTTGATCGATGATCTCTGCTGGGGCGTTGCCCACAAACCGAGCATGCAGGGCGCCTTTTAAGTGTTGTCCGCACCTGCACAAGAGTTCTTGTTTTCATTTGGTGTGGCAGCTGGTCAAAGTCATCTGGGCCGTCTTGGTGTTTTCGTCATGCAGCTGAGAACTTTATGCAGCCAATAGGAATCATGGCTCAAATGTGGGTTTCCGACAACTTGACGAGACTGACCCTGGGCCACCTGAGGTCGTCCGCGTAGATTAAGGAGCTTTGTCGAGGTTGATTGTGTAGCAGTTCGCAGCGGGCGACTTGGAGAGATCGACGGAGTCTTTCTTTCTGGTAGGCAAGAACAGCGTCTCTAGATTCCGTCTAACTGCACCGAAAGAAATGAGAGAGTTGGAAAGAGCTCGGTACCAAGACGTTGAAGATAATTGACTCACCACTACTTCTCCGATCCAAGATTATGGAGCAAAAAGGATTATTTTCGGCTGAATCGCGTTTGAATGGCAACGCAATTGATCTAGAACGAGGTGAAAGCAAGCATTTGTGCCATGCGGCTCGCGTATGCGGGGTAACGAGGCTTTTTAGGGCAGCCTTAAGAAGCTAGGAACGACGTCGAAATAGACCCAAGCATTCCAAGAATAGGCGTCCTTCCTGAGTACCCACGCGAATTCGCCGACGCCTTCCTTTGAGACAAATCAGTGGGTAAAGCGGCACCTCGGCCTGGGGTGATAGGATTGAATGCTCTTCGTTCTAAATACACCTAGTACAAGGTTAGACCAATTATTTTCGTTGATGATTTAACTTCAAGCACCTGAACATACCTTGAGCAAAATGCGAAGATGACCGTTCGACAACTACTAAAGTCTGAGAATGTCTTGGTCCGCTCATACCTATGGAACAACGACCCCTCCATAATTTCCGCGACGGTAACGCATGGCGCGTTGGCGCTAGTGTCGAGCAAGAACACGAGGGTGACGTTTCCGCCCAGGTGCGCCATTATTCACGAGGTCGAAATCTCCGAAAAGCGCTGAGAGATGCCCTTCTCCTACTGTGACTACCAAACATGGCCGGGGTTGGCGTAATGGAAGCAAAAAAACCAGCTAAGAGGGAGTAATCTCAGTAAAAGATTTAGGCGGGTTGATATTAATGAGCACCAGATGAGCAGAACCTGGTCGTTAAGGCACCCATTTTGCTGACTGCACCTCCGATGCAATGCAATAATAGCCACCCCATAACATACTACGCCTTTCAAACCCGGGACACGCTCGAAAACTAGTTGGACGGCTAACAGTGCAGCTGTGACGAGGTTGGAATAACTGGCTTTGCGGCTCCATATCTTCTGAGAAAGCAAGCACCGAGTACGGATGATGTGGCCCTTGAGCGGTCCTTGAACGCCATGTTCAGCGCGCCCGGGAAGAAAGAGGTGTCTCCCGGGGGCTTGAAGCAGTATACCGCGTATTGTAGCGATGAGTCGAGGAAAGTTCTAACGTCGAAGCGTTGAAATTACGGGGCTAACTTCGTCTTAGTGCAAATGTAAAGACAACAGTCTGATGAGGACTTACGACCAGCACTCGAGCTTCACTAAAACTGATTCTCAAGTTGAAAGCTTGGTTTCGTCGCGGCATTTGTGGAGGAATGGTGCTGGGATGTTGACGTTGCAAAGAGGTTCCCGCTGGGGATCATCTCCGCGGTATCCGGTATTTCCCACGGGAGATGACGTAAGATACCATTTGCGGTACGAGCGGCCCGGCACTGCCACCACTCGTACCTTATCCAGCTCGAACCTCGAAGTATACTTCGTTTTCGAGGCCGTATGTATGGTACGAGATGCGGAATTGTTCCTTTTCGAATTTAAAGCTCATGAGGGACCGGACGGGGTCATGTCCAATTCTTCGAGAGGTGAGCGCCAGTATGGAAACTATTTTCAGCGCTCGTTAATCTGATCTCGCTGTGCTCGACTGAGGGTTTGCTCTAAACTCCTCGCATGACAAGGTTGTCGATGATTTACCGAACGTAAGTTTTTTTTTCTACTTTCTTTCCCTCCTCATAAGGTCGAAGAAAGCAGTGTCAGTCCTGACATCATATATTCGCACTATTAACCCCGACATGATGCGTCCGGAGGATTTAGGGACTTGGAGAAGGACTAGATTCTCTGGCCAGGTTGACTACTTTGAAACCTAGTCCGGAAGCATGCCTCCTCGGGAACCGTATACAGAGCAGTCCCGCGGCGGTTTTCTCTCGTGTGAGAAGGAGGACGCGAATTCAGACGCAGTGTACCGAGAATTCGTAAACAAGGGATTCATAGCCTTTCTTGAACCTATAAAGAGTTGATGAACTGGTCGAGATCAGATGTCAAGAACCAGCATAATTGGATATTCAGGGAAGAAAGTGTTCGCTGCTTCGAACCTCAGGTTCTCAAGCTCGAAGTTCACTAGTAGCTTGAGTGTAAAGTTGGGTTCAAGCACACTAGAAGCATAGTAAATATTTTTGAAGTAGGAGAAAAGACGCCTCTAGACATGCACCGTTAGGAGGTGCTTCAGGAACGGTGTGGATGAATTAGGGGAATCGGACCGCCTCGTGTCGGCCTAGACAGGTTAAAATCCAGGAACACGCACAGGACTGCGTGCGATGTCCAATTTTCCTAGCGAATTTGCAGACGGAGAAAGCGAGAGAGCGAGGACTCGCAGCCACAACAGAGGATCATGGATGAGACAACTAAGGTCCAGAAATGTCGTGCTGGTCTCATGCCAGAAGGTGGTTGACAGTCGAGACAAGTTTGAAAGCTTCCATGGAATGCCAGTGCTCGGAAGGCTGTGGATGTGGAAGCCTAGAGGAGAGAAAGGCTTAGTGGGCTTGCGGGAGACGGGATGAACGGAAAGGACTGTTCGGATCAAGGCCGCTAATTATTTGTATGATGCTTGAGTGTGGCGGAAGCAAACAGTTGAACCACTGAGCTGCAGGAGCTGGCGTTGGTGAGACATCGGGACCGGGCTTGTCAGTGCGGACAGACTCTCGTCTCCAAGAATCGACGATGACGACTAGGAAAGAAGCGCTGCAGAGGTGGAGTCGTTATTTTTAGTGACGTCGTCGATTTCCCACGAAGAAGACGATCGATCGCTTCCCGATCGGGAAGAAATACGTCAACAATATAAAGAAGCTCCGCCCCCCTTTGCCCTCTTTCTCACTCCCCCCCACATGTACGTCGTCTCTGTGCTGCTCGTCGTGCCCATCAGCTAACCCTACCTAGGTCGGACATCGAGAATGCCACGGCGGCGTCGACCGCGACGTTCGTCACGGCCCTCGTCTTCAACGCCGCTGTCTTTGGCGTCGAGCTTGCCGTCTTCACGATCGTACGCCCATATTTCAAGTCTATCTATGAACCCCGTACTTTTGCACCACCCCTAAAGTGTGTATTTTTACCACTGCTCTATTATTTCTGCTCAGTACTTATAGAAAACGCGTCAAACCCCTATCATCAAACATGTTCCTGTGGCCGGTCAAGGTGTTCAACGCAGACTTTCGCAACATCATCACCGCGAACGGTCTCGACGCATACTTCTTCGTCCGGTTCTTGCGCGTTATGGCTATCGCCCTCCTTCCCATCTGGTTCCTGTCATGGGCCGTCCTCCTCCCCGTCACATCCGTCAACACTAGTGTTGAAGGTCTCAGCGGCCTCGACATCTTCACGTTCGGAAACGTCGCCAAAGACAAGCAAGTCAGATATGCGGCCCATCTAATTCTAGTGTACTTATTCACAAGTGCGTGTACTTTTTTCCTCGCCTCGTGTTCTGCTCATTGCCCGCAGTCTGGATCTTCGTCATTATCAAGAAGGAAATGCGGCACTTCGTCTTCACGCGACAGCAGCACCTAATGGAGCGCATCCATGCGAAATCCGTTCAAGCGAACACCATTCTCATCACGGGTATACCTACAAAGTACCTCACGCAAGACGCCCTCTATAAACTTTTCAATGGCCTTCCCGGTGGCGTTAAGAAAATTTGGATCAATCGGTGCGTCTCCTTCCGTTACTCTCTTGCAGTGAGCTTACCTTCGCGGTGATGATAGAAACCTCAAGGAGCTTCCGGATATCTACGACCGCCGTCTGGCTGCCACTGCCAAACTCGAAGCGGCCGAGACACAACTGCTCCGTATCGCTGCAAAACGCCGGCTCAAATCCCTCAAGGCAACGTCGAAGTCCAAGGAACCGAAACGAACAGATCCGGAAGCGGACCCTGTCCAGCATGCGGAGCACGAAGTTCCTCAAGAAGAACGCCCGATGCACAAGCTCGGTTTCCTGGGTCTCTTTGGAGAGAAGGTGGACACGATAGAATGGTCAAGGCAGGAAATCGCTGGGTGCACTTACCTGTTGGACGAGGGTCGCGCAAAGATAAGAGAGACGGACGAACGCGGCTCGGCCTCGCCATCGCCTTCTCCCGAGGACAGCGAGGAAAATGATGTCTTGGGCGACGGCGCTCTAGACGCAGACGGTAACCCGCGTCTGCGCGCTGGCCAACGGAAGGGCTTCGAAGATCTTAATCCCGCAAGGGTTGGAAAGCATGCCGTGGGTGTGGTTGGAGGAGCGGCGAAGGGTGTTGTGAGCGGTGTGGCGAGGGGTGCTGAAGCGGTTAAAGGAAGGGTGTTAGGCAGCGGCAAGGGGGGCGAATATCCTCCCATGAACAGTGCCTTTGTTACGTTCAATCGCCAGATCTCAGCGCACCTTGCGGTTCAGGTCCTCATGCACCATGAGCCATATCGCATGAGTACGTATTTCCGCGTTTCAGAAATCTCGCTCCGGTACTGACCTTCACGTAGGCAGCCGTTACATCGAGGTCGCACCAACCGACATTATCTGGACGAATCTGGGCCTGAATCCGTATGAGCAAAAGGTTCGTCGATGCACTATCTCCTCTTTTATGTTCGCTACCTCACCTTCACCTCAGATCCGCCTAGCCATAAGTTACGCTGCCACTGCCGGACTGATCATCCTCTGGTCCATTCCCGTTGCATTCGTCGGTGTGATATCGAACATCTACACGGTGTGCTCGACGGCAAGCTGGCTTGCGTGGATATGCGAGTTGCCCAAAGTGGTGGTTGGCATTATTTCGGTACGTACCGTCGTTGGCGACACCTCTTCTTTGCTCACGAACGATGTTTAGGGTATCCTCCCTCCGGTGCTCCTTGCAGTGCTGATGATGCTCCTTCCAATCGTGCTCCGTCTTCTGGCACGCTTCGAGGGCATACCGAAGTACACTGGCCTGGAGCTCTCGTTAATGACGCGTTTCTTCATCTTCCAGGTCATCGTAAGTCGTCTTCTTATGCATTCGAGTTCGATTCTAACCACCGGACTAGCACTCCTTCCTGATCGTGACGCTCTCATCTGGCCTCATCGCCTCTCTGGACGACCTCATTAACAACCCAACGTCGATCCCGAGCATCCTAGCAGAAAACTTGCCGAAGGCGTCGACTTTCTTCCTGACGTGCGTTCATGATGGTTGTTTCCTGCATGCGTAACCGCTGACCTTGCCTTCCTTTTTTTACTCAGTTTCATTCTTCTGCAAGGCCTCTCAGGCGTCGCAGGAGGGTTCCTCCAGATCGTGCCGCTCATTGTGTATTACGTCAAGCTATTTTTACTTGGGTCGACGCCACGTTCGGTGTGGGGGATCAAGTACGGCATGGGCAAGGTCGCGTGGGGCACGGCGTTCCCCGGCGTCACCCTTTTGGTTGTCATCAGTGCGTATTGCTTCCGCGCTCTTCGGGACGGGCGCTAATCTTTATATATCCACTAGCGCTCGGCTACTCGATCATCTCACCGATCATCAACGGCCTCGCGTGCGCGACGTTCTTCATGTTCTACCAACTGTACAAATACCTCTTCCTGTATGTGTACCAGCAGCCGATCGAGACGGACACGGGCGGCCTGTTCTACCCCAAGGCTATTCAGCACGTCTTCGTGGGGTTGTACGTCCAGCAAGTCTGCCTGTGCGCGCTGTTCTTCCTCGCACGGGATGAGAACGACAACGCCAGCTCAATACCGCAGGGTGCCTTGATGGTCGTGCTCATCGTCATCACCGCCGGGTTCAACATCATCATCAATAACTCATACGGTCCGCTCCTCTCCGCCCTCCCACTCAGTTTGCAGGACAAGACGTACGCTCAGCCCGAGCTCGATGTGTCGATAGCCGCAGCCGACACTGACGGTGCCGCTGCCACTGCTGGCCCTTCCTCGTCCTCAGGACACGACCCCGAGTCTTCGACTACTGAGTCCCCTGTCAGGGACAAGGCGCCACCCACAGCCGACGCGGCTGACGTGGCGGCGAAAGAGGAGGAGGAAAGCTATGGATTTGCGCACCCGGCTGCTTCGCGCCCGCAGCGGACGGTGTGGATTCCGAAGGATAAGCTTGGGTTGGTAGAGGAGGAGCAGAGGGCGTGCAAGGAGGCAGGCGTCAGGGTGGGCGTCGACCATGCGACTATGGACGCGAAGGGAAAAGTAGATATTTCTGGCGGACCACCGGATCTGATCTAATGGAAGGAGTGGAAGTTCTTTGACGACTTTCTTGTTTCGGACATTGCTTTATGGTTACGGTTGGACGGTTTTGGGGAGCGACTGTTGGCTTTCTATAAGTGTTCTGATGACTTACGATCTTCATTAATTCATTGCTTATCTATGAATATTTCCTTCATCTTTTTTCTTTCAACTCGCGTTGCAATTTCAGTCCTGCTCCATTTTAGGTACAAATTCACTGAGTAGTTCTTTCCAACTCATCCTTACGAACTGTAATGAATTCAAAAATAACAATTCTACCAAATGGTGATAATGATCTAAGAGGTACTGTGTTCCTTAATCAGGAAAAGGGCATTGTAGCAGAAAAGAATTCAAGCAGTCTCTTGTGGACGAGCAACGAGTTTAACTCCCGATACTTGATCAGCCTGCATCCTCTTCAGGCCCTCCGGAATACCTGACAACCCGTTTGGAAGAACCTCGACTCTCGTGGGCTGTAAGTACATTCATGATAAATTAGTTATATTCATACGAAGACACGAAGAGAACGACGAAGAGACTTCACCTTGATAACTCCTCTTTCAAGCAATCCAGCGATATGCCTGTTGTACAATTCTTCCAACGGTTCAAGGTTGTTCGGCATTCTAAGCCCTGAAAGGACGGAGACGATAACTTTGCCATCCTCCGGCTCCACCTCGGCCGAGAGGACAACAATAAGCTGTCCGCCAGGGCCGACTAAATCCCATGCTAGCTTCTGGGTAGCCGCGAGAGAGATTGCATCGTATACGATTTTGACTGCTTTACCGCCAGTGATCTTGTCCAACTCTTCCCTAACAGCGTCCAGCTGAAGGTTACGGTCGAGGACGTGAGTCGCGCCGAGAGATTTCAAGAAGTCGGTGTGCTTAAGGGAAGCGGTCACAATGAGGGGCGAGAATCCCGACAGGCGGGCGAGCTGGATGGTGAGCTGGCCGACAGAGCTGGCTCCTCCAATCACAATGAGAGGCTCGCCGATGTATTTCCCTTCGCCGGCTGGGGTGAAAGGAGGGGTGAGCCCCGCACCATGCGGTTTCTTGTTGTATAACCCAAGATAGGCAGTGGATAGAACGGCAGGGATTGTGGCCACTTGATCATAAGAAATATTAGAGGGAATCTGAGGAGATAGAATCATTAGAAAGTGAACACAAAGGTCAAGTGGTGGATTGTGAGTACCTTCGCCGCTGTCACTGCCAAAGAAATTGCGTATTGCTGGAATGCAGCGTGAGGGCTCTTCGTCCACTCAGTATGACAGAATCTAACAAATAGGGATTGAATATAAGTCTTAGCTTAAAGGGCGTGAGGGGAAATACGCCCGAGGTGGTGACTTACATCCGCTCTCCGACTTTGAACTTCGTGACGCCTTCACCAACGTCCTCCACATCTCCCGCAATATCTACCCCAAGAACAGCAGGGAATTTCTCGATGATGGCACCGTATCGTTGTATCTTCCAGTCCACTGGATTTAACGCCGCCGACTGGACTTTGATTAGGATCTCATCGGGGCCGGGCTTGTATTTCTCGGTGGTACCAACGAAAAAATCGCCAAACTTCTTGTCGAGGAGCAGAGCTTTTTGAGTTTCGGTCATTGGAAAGTGGATTAAGAGTGGTTGGTAGGTCTTGATTGATCACTTGAAGCAAGGCATCTTATACAATTGCCCAGGGTAGACAGGGAGAATACACGAAAATCTGAAATGCCGCCCGAGTCGAAGAAGTATTCTCTCTCACCAAGCGAATTCCAAATGAGAACCTTGCGGATGCACAAGATTAATAACGCAAAACAGAGTCGGGCCGATTGGAACAGCGTGTTTGGCACGACTCCACTCTCCTACTCAGCGCAGGCGGCCGAGTTCGATAAGGAGATTATGTCGATGTGAAGATAGCCACTAGCATCCTGCTTCGAATCGCATTTCCGGCCTCGCTAGTCATCTACCAAAAGTTGACGCTTGCTATAGTGCTGCCAAGTCAGAAATCCCAAGGGCTGACATGAATGAACATCGAGAAAGGCCGGGAGATCGGCCGTAACCTCATCCTGTCTTCAGCCATGTTCGACACGTTGCATCAGAATCCGAAGTGTGGGGTTGGGCGATGGGCGTTGTGGATATCAATAGAAGCTTGCGTGGAAGCTACGGCAGTAGATAAAGCCTGGTTTTTGATTCTCGTGGATGATAATCATGAACAATTTTTACGAATTATGCAACTCACGTCATCGACATAGTCAAATCGGCAGCATCCCACTTCTTCTATTTCTCTTATCTTAGACACCCTGTGCTAGCATGTACGCCGCTTGAGTTTCCAAGAGTCTTTAACCCTCAAGGATCGCTTGTAGGGGAAGCGGCGTTCCTCATCGGGGCATCCCTGCGCGGCTGTTTGATTAGTGAATCCGCTGAGAAGCACGAGAGAGGAGATCAAAGATATTTTACGATATGTTCAACTCCAAAAATCATGAGTAGAATGTGCAGTGCGAGTAATTGTGTAGGAGTGGCGACGCACCTAGGCACGGAAAGGGCGATACGCGCTAAGTGAACGAGCGCGGCGTGGAGCCATCAAGGGAAACGTCGGTTACTGTAAGTAGCAACCACCCCGCCGCCCTCGAAACCTTTCACAAAATCACATCTCCAAATGGAACTCCTACCATAAACAACGGTCGACGATCACCCTCGAACCACATCACGATATCACATCACGCCCGACAACGTTTCGAAATGGACCGGTACCGACCTCCTCGCGCGCATGACCACCCAGCCGACTATCTAATCCAATCGCCTCGTACCGGGACACGGCAACACCATATGGACCGTAATTTCCTGACTCACAAATTTATTTCACGAGCTCGAAACTGTTGAGGACTTGACTCACTCAGTGGCTAAGGATGTGTATAAATACCCCCTCTTTGTACTGTAATAGGACAGTGAAATACACCCCAAGTTTCTACTCAAACAACCAGTACTCCAAGGCAGCCATTCAATAGATAAGCAGTAGCCAGACCGTGCCCAGCACGTCGCTTACGAACAAAGCAAGAATTTAAAGCCAGAAGTTTCCCACGGTTAACGCGCACGCAGAAATCATCATCGAGCGAGTTTATTATCGAAGATCGGACATCAGACAGTATCTAGGACTATAGTAAGGACACAAAGGAAGACATTCCCGAAAACCCCATCCCGAAACCTCGTCTACACGGACCACAAAACCCCTTAATTCCCACGACCCTTCGCCGCAGACAGACGCTGCGACCAAACTATAATCCTGCGCCGGGGATATCCGAACTCAGACGACACGCTCGTCTTACAATTGGACGATGTACTTTGAGACAAGATGAACAACTGGTGCTAGGTGCCCCGGCGCTTGATATGGGCGCTAATCGTACTCATCTTTCCCACGCTTTATTTTCTTGGTGCCATCTGACCACTTCCGTTTTTCTGTCCATACAGAATAGTCAGACAGAGCAGACAAAGAATTTACTTGCATAATTAGGGGTATTTGAGAGGAAAAGGCCCTGAAATTTAGCTTCCTTCGAGTTGGCGTCTGTTGGGACGCGCTGGCACAATTTCGCTGAGCGCATCGGGCTACGGAAATTCAGCCGATAGTCCAGATCTCAGAGCAACCTTCAAATTTGTGACGCTTCCCGTGGATCTGCAAGACGCCAACGTTTCCGCCGACCACGGCCGAGTCAACGCGTCAGAGCCGGGTCAGCCCCATGAGAGCCAAGTCGACTGTCAGAAGCAAGTCCACTTTGGGACTTTCAATCGAGAACATCTGTGAAGCGAGATGGTAGAGTATAAGATCCCGGCAACATCCTCACAATGCCTCAGCATTCTGCTCTTACATTCGCATACACCTCAACATTCCCACGACCCACATGTCGGAGATCGATACCACGAAGTTCGCTTTCGACTTCAAGGGAGACATCATCACCCCTGGCCACCCCGCATATACGACGGCCATCTCTCGCCGGGCTCAGAACGCAGCACGCAAGGCTAAGGTTGTTGCGTTCGTCAAGGACAACCAGGACGTTGTTCACGCGTTGAAGTTCGCCCAAGAGAACAAGCTTCCTATCGCTGTTCGTGGGGGTGGCCACAACGCCGCTGGGGCATCTTCGATAGAAGGCGGTTTTGTCATCTACCTTTCTCGTTATCTAAACGGGGCGAGAGTCGATACTTCTAAGAAACTCGCCTACGTTGGTGGAGGTGCGGTATGGGAAGCCGTCGACAAAGCGGCCATTAAGCACGGGCTGGCCACCGTCGGAGGCACTGTGAACCACGTCAGTTTCGTGTCTTCTTTGCTTGTGGATTATACTAACAAATTTTATGGGCTATCAGACCGGCGTCGGAGGGTATGTTCTTGCGGTATATGAGCCGATGAAGAACTGACGAAACTTTCAGATTGGTCCTCGGAGGAGGCTATGGATGGTTGACCGCATCCTACGGCCTTGCCACTGACAACCTCATCCAGGTATGCTTGCTTCATCCTTGATTTCCCGCAGACCACTTATAAAATTCTTCGCAGGTGACCATTGTAACCGCCGATGGCTCAATCCTCACGGTCAATGAAACCGAGAACCCCGACCTCTACTTCGCCGTTCGGGGTGGAGGCGGTAACTTTGGCGTCGTGACCGAATTTGTTCTGCGGCTGCATCCACAGCGGCCGACTGTGTACTCCGGCATTGTCGTCTACCCTGCCAAAGCAGCTGAGAAGTTGCATGAAGCAAGCGAGAAGTGGTGGAAGCAGGCAGCTGACGATGAGAGCATGTTAAAGATTGTAACGGTTGATCCAGATGGCAAGGTACATGAATCTTCCAAATAAGAGGTAAAAGCTCTCTTCTGATGGTCTGGCCCTGTAGGCTATCATTGCCGTTCTTCCTTTCTACAACGGCATCGAAGCCGAAGGAAGGGAAAGGTTTAAGGGGATTATTGAAGCTGGTACGTATCTCGTTGCACTGTCTTCGCCGCATGAATTGACTCGGAAATTAGGTTTGGTCAAGGACATGTCGAAAGAAATCCCATACGAAGAACTCAACAGCCTTCAGGTCTGCATCAATTCCAAAACACCCCAATGTCTATTTCACTGTCTCTTTCTAGAATCCTTTGGCGAAACATGGAAGCGGTGTCTACATGAAGGGAGTTGCCCTCAGACGCGTGCACCTCCCCTCTTTCGTCAAAGCCCACAAACGCCTGGCCGAGATCATCAGTGGTGGCGTCTTTAGAGGCGCTATCACCTATGAGTTCTTTGGTCTGAAGAAGGTGAACGCCGTGCCCATAGATGCCACCGCATTCAGACGGGAGATGGCGGGAAACGTCCTCATTAATATCCTCTGGGATGTCTCGCAGGACCGGACCGAGGAAGCGCGAAAGCTAACGCATGAGCTTTGTGCCATCGTTCTCGAGGGTCAGCAAGGGATATCAGAGTCGGAGAGCTTGGGGTACAGTAACTACGGTAAGTGTTATGGTCTCATCGTCGGTCGAAGTGCGTGCCGAATGTCTCCAGATCACGACACGGCGATTAGTGACAAGGCTAAACTTGTGTTCGGAGCGAATTACCCTCGCCTTCAGGGTATCAAGAAGCGTTACGACCCGGATAACGTCTTCGACCGGTGGTTCCCTATTACACCTGCTTAGTCCCGACCAACAAGCACTAAATCTGTCCCTCTGACCATGTGAGCCCAACCGCCACTCCTCGAAATGTCCCATTAGTATTCTGTGATGTAAACTTTGACTCGTCTCCGGAACGAATAGATGTTTGGCTCGGGAAGAACGTTTCGCGCAGAATTGCAATTCCCAGTCTAATATCCAATGGATGACCCAGTTGCAAAAATCTTCGTCAAGCTTGTCGGGCCGCGAAGCAAGTCTGCCAAGAAGCACTGTTGCACTTGGGAGAAAATAATTAGTCAGGGGTGGCGGGCTCTTCAAGATGGGCACTAAGTAATATTGATCAAATATATCAGCGCTCAGCCCTCTCTAGACTCTGGGATTTTATTTCGTTAAAGATTCAGGAACAAGTTGCTCAATCTTCACAAATTTCTTAAGCAACCATTCGGACCTTTTGAAGTCAGCTGGAAATCTTTGTAGCTTCGGTGCCTCGTACTCCCACTGGAGTATCGACTTTGACTTTGCTCTTCAAACTTCAAGATTCAAGATAATTATATAAACAATCGCTTGACATGCGCCTCGCACGAGTTACAAATAGGTGTCTTCATCACGCCATCCTAGTTTTCTAACTTGCCGTTTGGGGATCCCAATAAAAGCAGACACTCTAATGTCCTGCCGACGCCAGACGTACGCGACGCATTCTCATGGTACGTCAGTGGTGCAAATCTTAAGAACGCTTGAGTGCTTGACCCGTGGGCCAAGGGAGCCAAGGAACACTTATGTGCTTGGAAAAAGGTATCTGACGGGCGCCTAATCAACATACGACTTGGCAGTTTAACCGGGCCATACAAGTTACGTCCAACTCGTAATTCTCTTCCGTCAGTCGGCCTTGGGAGTTCAAGTTGAACGAAATCGGGGCTTCAAAGCTTTAACACGTGGCATAATGAGTCCGATCGGCCCGGAAACCCGTCCCACTTCAGGTCGCTTTTCACGTTGAACTTCAAGCTCAGCCAATCCAGTTCCGCTATACATCTCTTCTGAGGTGTGTTGTCTTTTCTCAAACTTGAGCTTGAACATCCATTGGGACACCCTCAGAGAACGCAGGTGAGCCATCTCTTCTGGCTTGTGGCGTCGTTGTCTGAGAAAAGCTTTACAATCCATCGCATCCGCGAAGCTTGCTGACTGTAACGACATAGATCCCTGGCGTTCGCCGCGACGCCCAATTCAACGTTTACGCACATTTAACGTTTTAGCCTCCATCCTCTAATCGAGAGTCGTAAAAAATGCGCTCGATCTTCCACCGACATCCACGCACCGTCCTGCTACTCATCGCCGCCCTCATATCCACGTACCTCTTCTTCCCATTTACCATCGGCACCTTCCAAGCTCCCAACTATACAGCCTACGTCCTGCGGGACGATGGACTCCCGAGTCGGATCGCACACGCCGAGGAGGAGTACGCCAACGTCGTTAGAAGTAGGAGGGAGATGATCAGGAAGTACGGGCCTGAGACAAGGGACATCGAATTGTGCGTCCTGCCCTTCATGTGCTATCGAGTTGTGTTGACGAGAATGTGGGTACATGGTTAGATTTCCCCCGGATAAGTCGCCCTGGCCACCGTACACAGTGTGTACGTTCTTCAGCCTTCATCTTCGCCGAGCGCGTTCACTGACAACCGTCACGGCACGTAGGGTCCTTCTTCCCCGCAGCATTCGATTGCCCACACGAGGTCCTGCGGCTCGGCACGCTTGCAGACGGCGGTAAATGGGTCTGTGGGCTCTCACGGCTTCTCTCCGCATCGCCCAGTCCGCCCTCATCCAACACCGACAACTCTCATTCAGACGACGCCGACGACGACAAACCCATATCAATGTCCGCAGCTTCACTACGGCCCTGCGTAATCTACTCTATTGGGCTGGGCTATGACTCTTCCTTCGAAGCGGACTTGTTGGGACGTGCACCGCACTGTCGAGTGTGGGGTTACGACAACGAGCCGCGGGTCAAGGGATGGGGTTGGAGCGGTGAAGTGGGACGCGGGGTAAAGGCGAGGGCGAGTTTCAAGCCGTGGAGCCTCGTAGGTAAAGAGGGTGACGGAGGCGAAGATGAAGGGAAGTATACGCTCGAGCGCCTGATGGAGATCAACGGTTCGTGGCTCTCTACTGGTTATCTACCCGAGGAACGCTGATTCCAAACGATGTTTGAACTATACTTATTTAGGTCATACGCACATTGACATTCTCAAGATCGACCTGGAGAGTCGCGAGTTTGATACAATGCGCACGCTTCTCCGACCATATATCGCCTCGGGAAAGCCTCTTCCATTCGGCCAGCTCCTCCTCGAGATCCATGTCTGGGACCGCGGCTTTCCTGAACTTCTAGCGTGGTGGGAGATGCTCGAGGCGGTAGGGCTGCGGCCCTTTTGGACGCAGGTACGCTTTCTCCCTATAACTTGAACTGCAGTGCCGTCTGGGACGGCCGCACCGACGATATCGTGATTGTGGAATGTTATTGAACTGACTTACCTTCGACGACAGCCGAACCTGGTTTACCAAAACTACAACAAGAAGAAAACGGCCGAGTTGGCTGAGGTGTGTTCGGACCATAAGCCTTCGCCCTTTCACCTTCTGACGATGTCCTCGCTCCTAGTACTCTTTCCTCAACGTACAAGGCGAAAACATCTTCATATCCGACCCGCTTTCGAGTTCCCGTCTTTCCAAGGATGTCAGGTAGTGTGGCTCATATGGGTTTTCTGATGTAAAATGTATATCATGGTGTGCGTGCTGTATTACCACCTTTCTTCGGTGATTTGCGTGTAACGGCCGTGTTCATGCATTGACACTTGCACGGGCAAGATACAGTCCAAGGATAGGACCTTTCGTCATGAATGTAGTCAAAGGGCTCTTGAGTAAGCGGTCTGAACAGTTCTGTATTATTGAAAGTAGAGCCTGAGACACTTTTTGTTATCTCGATCAATGATGATGAACCTTATCCTCGTCTCTAGACCTTGGGAAGACCATTTTTGGCAGCCAGACTGCCGAATTAGGGTCGCTCAGCGGCAACGCGAACGCAACAGAAGCAATAATGTGGCCCGATTTTCAATGTCAAGCTTTCAGCAGTTTCTATGTATCCCTTAGAACCCAAGATCACTAGAAGAATTCTCCAAAGGAACATTTGCTAACCAGATTTTTCTTCGTTCTACCGCCCTGCGCCACACATCCCTTTTAGGCGGAATTTACCTTACGGCTCCCTGGCGCAATGGTAGCGCGTTTGGCTTCGACTGCTTAACGGCTACTAGGTACCAAAAGGTTGCAGGTTCGAGTCCTGCGGTGGTCACTTTTTTGGCTGTCTCGAGATTAGTCCGCTGATGGACATGTTCTTGTTACGGGCCCCTACCCACGCCCTTTCGGAAACCACTTGGGGAACCACTTGACAGTTACCTCTTACGCTTCATAGCTCACACAGGGAGGGCAGTTCTATGGCCAGCACTTTTGGGATTAACTTTCCGAATGGATGTCGTTAGTATGCAGAAGATTCAGTCTTGATTATGATCCTCTCCAGGAGAGACTACTTACTTTGAATCAAAACTGGTGGTTACGCTTGGTTCGAGTGTTGAGGGCGTCACGGTTATTAAATATTAGGGACGAGTCATAATATAACGGTTTATGAGTAACTTGAATTTGGTTCCTCCACCTTTTCCTTCTCCGTCGTCTTCGCATTCGGCCGCTCCCTCGCAGTTCTCTTTTTCGTCCTTTACGTCTCTTTACTGTGGTTCGCCAACGCGTCGTCGTTCAGTAGGCCCAAAGACTGTTTTTCGTTTCGTTTAAAGTGGAGGTCAGGCCTCCGGAGTCCGACGCCGCAGAGCGGTGCGCCACACAAACCGAAAATGTACGCCAACGGTTCGCTCTGTAAGCTACTTCTAATTTTTTTTTTGAGGAACACTAGACGCAAATGAACAAGCATCATATAGCAAAGCCGTAGAGTGTAAACCAGTCTTCGAGTCCGAAGTCCTCGTCGGCCCGTGAACGCGTAGTAATCACGTGCTCAGGATCGCACATTCTGAGAGTGTCTAGCACATTCCTTGACTCCGATGGCTTATTAACGCTCTTTCTTTCTTTCCACCATCCTATCCACCGATGTCAGAGGCAGGACGCGGCCTACCGCTACTTAGTGGCCCTGTGCCACTGCCAGATTCGTCTGCTTCTGAGATCGCTTGTAGGAAGTGCACCAAGGAGTTTAATATGATCTTCGCTCGGTCCAGGCGATGTAACCATTGTGGCGAGTGGCTTTTCCTTACTTTCGACGCCATCCTGACTTCGACGATCCATAGGATATGCCTACTGCCACAGTTGCTCAGATTACCAGGCCCTGATGCCTCGTACAGGCAATGAGACCGGATACGATGCAATGAACGTCTGTGCATATTGTATTGAATACTTGACCAGTATGTTTCCAAGCAATCGTCAAAACCGCAAGACGATTGACTTCATTTCAATCCAGTTACCGCTGCTGGGAGAACAGCGCTTAAAGCCCTGTCGTTGTCAAAGCTCAGGAACTACATTAATGCGTATGGGATCAAGACGGATCGTGTGGTCGAGAAAGATGACCTGATAGACGCGATTTTGAATGCGAGGGTGCGTTTGTCAAGGTTGAATGAATGGGATGTGGTTGTGACCAGTGCTGCAGGCGGCGAATGGATGTCTAGGACATGCCAACGAGGTGAGTGGCGTACGATCAATCTCTTTGAAGCGACTGATAGATTTCTTGAAGACCTACTACAGAAGGTTCTCTGTGCCCAATAGGGCCGCTGGTGGTCGCACTCGAGGATTGTTCTCGCGTCCAGGGCAGAGTTCGAGCACCCTACCCCAGCCACCTCCACGACCAGCGACAGCTCCCAGACCGGAGTTCGCTCGACCTGATCTTGCACCAGATGATCCGCCTCCCACGCACGCTTATTCGAATCCTCCCTACGTTCCACGAAACCCTCCACCGCGACCCCCTCCTCAACAGCAATACCACCCACCACCCCATCCTCCTCCTCAGCAACAATACAACCCTCCACCTCAGGCGCAGTACTACAACCCTCCTCCAGCAGGATACCCACCTGGTGGACCTCATGGGTATTATGGAACGCCTCAGAACTCATACCCACAGTATCAACAGCACTACAATCCACAGTACCCGCCGCCGCCGCCGCCCCCACACTCACGCCCTCAGCCGCCGCCGCCGAACGCGAATACACGCCCGCAGCCTCCGCCTCGGCCAACATCTGCTTCCGGCCGTCCAACTCAAGCATCTTCGTCGTACATGCAACCACCTTCTCCACCACCCCGTCCACGTGCGACATCCTCTACGTACTCCCGCCCCTCTGCCCCTCAACCACCACCAGCAGCGTCAAGACCTCCACCCACGCTAGATAGCCTACTGCAGATGAGTCCTGAGGAGATCCGCGCCTTGAGCATCGGCAACTTAAAGGCGATCCTTTTCACGAACCACGTAAATGCGGGCCAGATCTTGGAGAAGGGAGATTTGGTCAGCAAGGTGCTCGTGCTTGTGGAAGATGAGAAGGCGGAACGCGAGCGCGCTAGACGCGCAGAGGAGCTGGAAGAAATGGAGAGGGTGCAGAGAGACCAAGAAAGACAGGAAGAAGCAAGGCAGGAACGTGAGAGGAGGGAGAGATCAGAGAGCGAAGCGCAAGAGAATGCAACTTCGAGTGCAAGTGCGAGTGCCAACGACAGTTCGGGAGAGGTGAGACCACAGGAGGATGGAAGAGACGATGATCATATGCCTGCCCAAGAACCGCCACCGGCGCCGCCCTCTAGTCCGCCGAAACCTGCGGTCGTTCCGCCGCTGCCGAGGTCTCACGCCGAGCGAACTGGTCTCTGTGTGGTGTGTCAGGATGAGGAGGCGAATATCGCCATCGTCGATTGCGGGTATGTCGTTTCTTAGCTCGGTACTGCCGATGTACCTGCTTGCTAACCAACCTCTCTTCCTCGTCCAGGCATATGTCGATGTGCAGAGGGTGTTCTGACCTCATCATGGCCAGCTCCAGAGAGTGTCCCCTGTGTAGGACGCGTATCGTCACGGAGGCCCGGTTGTTGAGGATTTTCAAGACTTGATTTTGGTCGTCTCGATGCATATTGAGAGACGTGTTACTCCTGGCACGTCTGAACCGTCTTTCGTGTTCACGACTGTACTATTTCTCATTCAATCACACATTCCTGCTTGTATTTATTCCATCAATGCTGGACCTCTGCTATCATTCTTGCTCGCCTTCGTACATCATAACCATTGCTAGAACTTGTGGAAATCTGCTTTACATCTGTTTAGGTGTTGTACTCATTTATATTTACTAATACAATCAGAATTTCGACGCTCAACTGTCGCGATTTACACTACTGGAAAAGAACTGCTCATCGATCGTTTATTTCCGTCTGAGACGCTTTGTTTACGCGTTAGCCAACCTGCCGAAACTCTTCTATCTTGATCTGTGTTCAAACTTCGAGCCAAGTTTTACAAGAGGACTTTTTCATCGAGGGATATCATCGATCATCGATCTTCTTCGTCACAAGCAAGTTTCCACTACGCCACGCCTTTTTCGGTGCGCGACGATGCCACAATTGCCGTTTTCGGACAGAGGCCCGTCAATGACGCGTTGACAATTCATTTGTCTTTGCTGCTCGTTCGTATTCGACCCCTGGTGATACTAACTTATGATTGCGATTCCCAGGTGTTGGTGACTTGAACTCGACTCTGAATGTTGAGCATGCTGGAATGAGCATAACTTAGAGTACATCAAGCCGACGTAAATTATGGGAGAATTCATTCGGAAAGAGTCCAAAGTGTTGCTACACCTCATTAATGTACGCAGGAGGAAGATCAGAGGCCCGGATATCTCGACTCGACGGGGGTGGTGTTGACGTGCTTTGGTTGGGAGAATGCCAGCTTGTCGCACCACTTTTAGCTGAACGTGCACTTGTAGGCTGTGTGCTGAGTGAATCACAATTTATGTATCCCGGTTGCACGAATGGCGTGATGGTATCGCTTCCCGGGGAGGGAATTTGGGTAGTGGGTGCCGGTGATTCATAGCCGTCCGCGGGAACGTCTTTCGCGTTCATCTCCCGTCGGCGTCTCCTCATGAATATCCAGACTACAATGCCAATTACGATCACCAAGACAGCGAGCGCACTAGAAAGACCGGCGATGAGAGGTGTCATATCGCGCTCCGATGAAGTTGAGTCCACAGTGCCTAGTTGCGTTCCCTGTGAAGGAACGTCTGAGCTGGTGGAGGTTTGATTCGGGGGCGGCGAGTCGAAGGTCGTTGAACTGGTCATAGAAGTCGGCGTCGGTGGTAAGGAGGTGGGAGTAGGAGGGCTGATCGTGGTGGAGGGAGGGCTGGCTGAAGAGGTGGATGTGGCTACTTCAGATGTGACTGTCAAGAAATCCAACCAATAGTAGCCGTCATCGACTAGAGTTTGGATGACTAGTGTGTGAGTTCCTCGTGGGAGCGTCGGGGACTGGAAAAAGAGGTGTCGGTATTGGTTTGACGACACCCTCGGCGCAGTATAGTTGACTGGAGACCCCCCGTCGATGGTATAGGAAGATACCGCCAGGATATCATTTGTACCAACGGTCCCATAAACTGCGACTGATGAACCTATCGCGGAAGGATGAGGTCTGTATGGGGATCGTCAGCTGAGAGAGCGCACCTTCAAACGTGAATCTTGCCGTAGCACCTTGCTTGACACTCAAGGTAGCCGTACGGTTGTACTCGTTTGTGCCTTCAAACCTTCCCCAGTCAATGCCTTCGTTGGTGTAGACAATTGCAGGGTTTGTATCATCTATCTGCCGTGATCCCATTGGCGAAAGCTACCCCCCAACATATGAGCAATTACTCCAGCTAGAGAAGATATCCTGACATGAAATCAGCTTACCGAATGGCTCTTGCAGCTCGAAGCCTGCAGAGAAAGGAGGTAGGCAGAAAGGTGGGACTGCGGTGCAATCATCACGGGCTTTACTTATAGTAGCATTAAAGTGAAGGGCCGCCATGATCTCCATCGCTTGCTGGAGACTCAGTTGGCATTCCATCAACTGAGCTGTCAATCGAAGCCCTCGTGTTACGTCTTGACTCCAGGCCTTGCCCCTTTGGAGACGTTCATGCCGAAAAGCCGATCGAGCGCTCATCACTCAAAAGGCGCCCGACCTCCCCTTGAGCGCGAAACAAGGGTCCTTTCGTCTTTGCACCAGCAAATTTCACCGACGGACCACCTGTAGATATGTTGTTTAATTTTAAATAGCCCTAGTGAAATTGAGTCATACTATTGAAATATGCTTTGTTCCTGAAGCTAGATTTTTCACACTGTAGCGTTATCGTCGAAAGCCTTGTATTGTGTGAATTTGACAGCTGCTCGATTACGTGTACACGTCAATGTAGCTTCGTCGACTATTAAATCGTGAATGTTGTTACGTTCTAGCCCCTTTGAAAATATTCTGGAGGACTATCAAGAGGTTCTTGATCATGTCCATGAGGCGTCGAACGCTGAGTTGGCGTAGTCCCCGACGTGAGAATGGGCTCCGATCCTGGCATAACTTTCGTCAGATGCGCAGCCATTGGCAGATTGTCCCTGGAGCTGTCAATGAATGGTGTGATACACTCGCGACCGTGATGTCGACTTTGAGTCGCGGAGCAGAAACCCGTTGCACCTGTCGTCGAATGTTCAAAATGGACGGGAAGGCCTTCAATCCACTTCTGTAGGAGGATCCTTTTGTTCCATTTTCGTAACAAATAGGCACCGATGCTGGAAACAAGGAGAATGACGATCACTGCTCCTAGTACACCAGCTGTGATCGCCAGTGTATTGGGTTGCTTTGGGGGAGGAGATGGTGTTGGTGTGGTTGTTGCGGAGACTGCAGGCGCGCTGGCGGAAGCGATGGACAGTGTTGTACTCTGCGATGAAGATGGGGTTGGCGATGGAGGAAAACCGACGGAAGAGTTCGTCGGGTGTATCGCCCGTGTTACGGTGATGAAATCCAACCAGTAGTATGCACCTTCTGCTAACGTCGTAATAACCAAGGTGTGGTTTGCCTCCGGAAGAGTGGGCGACTGAAAGAATAAGGATTGATAGACGTTTGCAGTGACTTTGGGCGAAGTTTGTATTATGCGAATGTCGTCGTCAATGGAGTAGGAAGCTGACGCAAGGACATTCCCAATCGCAGGTGTCGTCCCATACACCGAAACTGAGGAACCTTGACGAAGGAACCATCCAACGATGGACACTTGAGCGCAAATACAGGAACGCACCTTTGAATGCCAGAGTTGCTGTTTCCTCCGCTTTGACGCTGAGGGTGGTAGTAGTGTTGTATTCGCTTCCACTGCCGAACCTGCCCCATCCTTGAGAGTAAGCGATTGCAGGATCGGTGTCGTCGAATTTTTGCGTTTCCGTTGACATTGAATTAAAGATTGGTGATGGAGGGTGCCGACTATAGCCCTACAACCACGCTTAGACTCGATCGATGGGCTGTCCGGACAAACGCACAGCTACTCACTGTTCAGTGCTCGGCTTGCGAGCGTCTGTTAGATATCTTGCACGTGGATGTCCAGGACGCCTGAAACGAATCGCGGGGAGTGGCCACCGGCGAGACAAGGAAAGGAACACCCAAAGACATGAAGCCCACATGTCTTGCAAGGCGAGGGTGTTTTATCCTCGTGCCTGCGAGTGCAAAGTATGATCTCGCCTCCACGCAAGGTCAATCCGTTCTCGCTAATCGAACTCAGTCCCATAGTTGTTTGCGGCCGTCGTGAGGTCGTATCGAAGCAGTGAGGAAAAATCAGCCCTGTTCAAGCGTGTGCGGCGTCGGTGTTTGTATCTCGATCAACGATTTGCGAAGCTGATCAATCGTTTTCTCCTGCGCGTGTGGCGGCTTGTAGAGCTTGGGCATCACCATATCCCATATCCCTCGTGTTCGAATTCTCGGACAAAAAGGTACTATATCATGGCCCCCGACGGCAGATCGATTAGCTATACTCCTCCAGATCCTCTTTAGATGGTCTCTTGAGGATGAGCGACGAGCTTAACTCCTGACACTAAGCCGTCCGCCATCCTTTTCAAGCCGTCCGGTATCCCCGCAAGACCATCAGGCAGAACCTCGACTCTATTAGGCTTCATGATCGTACGTGAGCTGGAGCCTCTGCGGACCAATCTAACAAACTTACTTTGATTACCCCTCTTTCCAGGAGGCTACTGGCTTTGTCGTGATATAAAGACTCCAGGATCTCGATGTTGGATGCCGCTCTAAGACCAGCGACAATAGGGACGACAGTCTTGTTATCCTCGGATTTTACCAGCGGGGGCAGGACGAGGATGAGCTTTCCTCCAGGCGCTACCAGGGCAAGCCCGGCTTTCTGCGTCGCCTCAAGGGAGATGGCATCGTAGACGATCTTGATAGGCTTCCCGGCCGTCGCTTTGTCCACTTGAGCCTTGAGCGCTTCCAAGCTGAGGTTTCGGTCCAGTATATGCGTCGCTCCGAGTGATTCGAGGAATTCCGTATGCTTCAGAGACGCGGTGGTAATGATGGGCGAAAATCCAGACAGTCGGGCGAGCTGGATGGCGAGTTGTCCAACAGAACCTCCGCCCCCTAGAACGACAAGCGGCTCGCCTGTATATTTGCCTTCCTTAGTCGGGGTAAGAGGTGCCGAAAGCCCTGCGCCGTGTGGGGGACGGTTGTGCAACCCAACGTAAGCGGTGGAGAGGGCTGCTGGGATTGAAGCTGCCTCGTCGTATGAGACGTTGGGCGGAATCTGACGGAAATTTAGAACTTGCGAAACGTGAGTGTATGCTAAATTTTGGTACCTTTGCCGTCGTCGCCGCTAGAGAAAGCGTGTATTGCTGGAAACCGCCCTTGTTATTGGCATATTGGCCTTGACAGAGTCTGGAAGATGTCGAGTAACAATCAATACAGGGGGAAAAAGCGTCGTCAAGATATAACCTACACTCGATCTCCCTTCCTAAACTCGCTGACATCCTCGCCCACCTCTTCAACGTCACCCGCGATGTCTAGCCCAGGAATGGCAGGAGTGTGTTCGAGGACGACCTCTGATTTCTGAATCTTCCAGTCCACAGGATTAAGGGCAACAGCCTGAATCTTGATGAGGATTTCGCCAGCACCAGGTTTGTACTTGTTGACGTAGCCAATAACGAGCTTCCGAGAGCCCTTCTCGAGGAGTAGAGCTATTTGTGTTTGAGCCATCGAGGAAGATGTGGGCTTCGAGGTGGCCGAATTCTTTGCTGTGGGGTTCTGAGGTGGGTTTCGAGGTTATATCTACGTATAGGAAAGAGCTTAGTGATCTGTGTCATCAAGAGACAGGTAGCCTTACTCAGTGAGAAACGATATATCAATGGCGCAAGTAGCATGACAAAGGGACCATTTGAACAGTACGAGGCAAGCACAGGCATATCCTGCGCCGCCGAACTATTCGGGAGGGGACAGGTCTCCATTGAGAGGAGAAACTTGAAGATGTGTTAGTCAGGCGCTCAGTCATATCTTGAATGATGACACACCGCTACAGCACGAAAAAGATCCCCATTCTAGATACCCACTAGACAATATGGCTGCGTCGTAGAAGCGTCTTTTGGCAGAAGTACCTAGCAGAGGACTTGGACTTTAGTGTGGTGTGTTGAAGATCTCAACGTCGAACTCCTCAATCACGGCGACGATAACTTTTGAAGTAGACGCAGAGTGGGGTCATCGTCGATATTCAAGTTGCAACGCTGGGAGGAAACTGTGACGCGACGTCACGGTAAACGGACGGCGGACCGGGATCTGCCGGTCAGGACAGCGTCTTCCTACTGACATCAAAGCATTCTGTGTTTAATTTTTGTGCCTATGCTCATACATTGCTTCAATGGTGTGCGGAACTTGAATGCATCTTGTACTTATCACCGCGATGGTCAAAGAGTTTCTTGCGGATGAGCAATAAGCTTCAATCCCGAAATCTGATCAGCCTCCAACCTCCGCAAGCCGTCAACAATCCCGGCGAGTCCGTTGGGGAGGACCTCGAGTCTCGTGGGCTGAAAAATAATCAGCTGCGGAGAAGGCAGCTCAGCTAGCATTCAAAGAACTTACCTTGATCACCCCTCTCTCCAAGAACCCAGCAATCTTCTCGTGATACAAAGTCTCCAGAAGTTCCAGATTGTTTGGCATCCTGAGCCCTGCCAGAAAAAAGATGACGGTCTTGCCATCCTGCGACTTCACAGCAGGAGTGAAATCGATAACCAACTGCCCTCCTGGAGCGACCAGTTCTAGGCCCAGTTTCTGCGTCTCCTCAAGGGAGACCGCGTCATACACAATCTCAACAGGCTTTCCGATAGTAGCCTGGGCTACCTCGGCCTTGAGAGCGTCGGATGACAAGTGGCGATCGAGGACATGCGTCGCTCCTAGGGACTTCAAATATTCGGTGTGCTTGAGGGAAGCGGTGGTGACAATGGGCGAGAACCCCGACAAGCGAGCGACTTGGATCGTGAGTTGCCCCACAGAGCTTGCCCCTCCCAAAACAACGAGGGGAACGCCCGCGTATTTCCCCTCGTCAGCTGGGGAAGATGGCGGAGAGAACCCGGCACCGTGCGGCTTTGGGGTGTAGAGCCCAACGTAAGCGGTGGAAAGCGCGAGAGGAAGCGTCGCAGCCTCGTCGTAGGAAAGGTTTGTCGGGATCTTATTGTGGAGGATTAACGCGAAGGTGCCAATGATGCGTTTCGACACGTACCTTCGCCGCCGTCACAGCCAAAGAAATTGCGTATTGTTGGAAGCCGCTCTTGTGTTTTTCCAGGTCGCCTTGGAAGAACCTGCAAAAACAAAGTTGTCATTAATCCTATTCCATCGCCCGTGGAGCAGGTAGAACACTGGAGGAAGCGCCCACTCACACTCGATCACCTAGCTTATGTTCGGTAACTCCGACGCCCAACTCTTCGACTTCTCCAGCGATGTCAATCCCAAGCACTGCAGGAAACTCATCCATGAAGAACCCGTACTTTCGCATCTTCCAGTCCCTTGGATTCAACGCTACCGCGTGGACCTTGATGAGGATCTCGCCCGGCCCGGGCTTATACTTCTCGGTCTCACCAACAACGAAGTCGCCAAATTTCTTCTCAACGAGGAGAGCTTTCTGGGTTTCGGGCATGACGAGGACAGGTATGTTCTTGCTACGGGACAAATGGGATGAATGTACTGCCTTTTATGACGCTGGAGGGCTCTATGGAGGCTGTCTGTCCGACTCTGACTAAACATTGTCAGCAATTTCGAGGCATAGTGCAAGCTGAATGACGAACTGACCTTCAGTACAGCTGTATTCATCTCAAAGCTAGATGGAAATGAGACGTCGAAGGAAATCTGTTCTGTACTGTTCTGAGTGTGCCGAAGATCTCGCCATCTCTTCAGTGGTGGATGACAAACAAGCTGACTCTCCTTGATGGTCTTACGCGTCACATTTGACACATCAACTTCTGGCTTCTCACTATTTGCTCACTCAGATCGCACTATAAATAATCGAGATCACTCGCTTTCTCCTGGATGTCGACGGAGGACACTGACCCAACAAGGATTCATGACATCGAGGCAGTTGTTACACTTGGAATGCTGATTTTCGTCATTCATCGACGTTCAGGAGCCGCGGAGGACGGGCCGAACTCCTCGAAGCGCCCATCGAGCGCCTGTGGACGAATGCAATACAGGGGGTTTGCCCATAATGAAGGGATGAAGGCCATTCGACCAAGAAGCAGACTACCCGTTATACCATATCCTCTACAAATTCTAGACCACAGGCTGTTCCCGAACATCCTCCGCCCTCGATGGTAACAGAGTAGACAAGAAACTCCGTAGTCGCATCGTAATGGCTGTGATAGACCGTTTTGCTCTTTCCCGCCTTGACTCTTCTGGCCGAAAGATAGGTTGTTCCCAGAACGGGAATGCCATCCATAGAACATGGGAAGCAATAATAAAATACGTGACGCCAACGATCAAGCGCGTCGCCAGATTGGCATGCTGGAAAACGGTCAAGCATACCGCCAGAATGAGGAATCCAGTGCTTTAAATATAAGAACATCAGACTCGTGCATATACGGCAGACATAAAATAAGGAAATTACCACAGAAGAGTGAGGGCATAAGGAATACTGTAGAATATGGCCAAGCTTTCCACAGCCGTAAACCCACGGGGAAGTCTCCGGACGATCCATGCCATTGGATGACTATTAGCCTGAAAAAGAATGTAGAACCCGTGTTCGTTGATGCGTGGAGAGAGACGCGACATACCATGTCTGCATCCCCTCCCATACATATGAATTCATTATTTCCGATCAAAAGCAGACTCGAGAGAATAACCCCAACACTGGTGCCAATTGAAATATAGCTCGAAATCTGCGCAGGCGATCTTTCTCTGGAAGCAGTGTCAACGCTACCAATCGCCAAGAACGCCATATTCACATTCAGGATTACAGCTCCCTTAGAAAGTAACTATCAGCTTCGATGAGAGAACCTACATACGGAAACAATGCACTCTCGCCACTCGATGACCAACTTTTTCGCCACCTTTTTCCATACGGGTTGGTATAAAATGTCATCAACCCATACATCGTTCAGTGTTTTAAAATGTCGGTCTGGGATACCTAGTAGCAAAAATCGAAACAACTGAAAGGACCATGACTGTTGATCTCTATCAGACTTCGAGTTGTACACAGAATCGTTGCGGTTCAGGCGAGCGTGCGCTGCTCCGTAAAAGGATAAGTACCGACTGTTAGCTAGACACACGTTAGTATGAGTTCCTTCGTCGTCACAGAAATATCTTAACCAATCTCGCAAAGGCATCGCGCTAGTAGAGGGGTCTCCGTAAACATCTTGAATCATATGGTTGATATCCTGGAGTACCTACCCAAGCAACACATTGAATGGATCGACGCATTTGTTCCGCTCTGGAGGACTTCTTTTTGACAAGAAATAGTGGTAGTCAGATACTTTGACCCTCCATTGTGGATGGAGTTGCTCACTTTCTATATTGTCGGTTAATGCCAACATTTTCAACAACTCATCTTGATCACGAGGCACGGTTGAGAGATCTGAAGTCATGTTATCTTTGCAAAGGGGTTAGGTTACAGCTAGGGATGGAGAAGTGCTAATGAACACTTACCAGTGATTGAAAAAATGACCACATCCCTCAGCTCAGAGATGTGTGCCATAGACAGTGGGACACTATCTGGGTATAGTTGCACAAAGTACCTGTCAATTAAAGGAATAAATGAGCCCCCCAGCATGTGCGATATACAGTTCGGGCAAATTTACCAATATTCAGATTCAAAAAAGTGGCCTGCAGAGTAGAGTGCAGTCAGAAGATGTGAGAAGGTGGTCCAGAAAAAGGGCACAAATTACTTATGAAGGTGCCGCTCTGATGTAGATTCTACTTGCAATTGATACTGCCACATGTCTGAGAGTAGGAATTCATGTAAGAAGCAAATGGTCCGTGAGGGATGGTCCACAAAATAATAGGTCGTCACGAGAGCTCCATCCAGTTTGGAACATGTAATGTCAAGCACGAGGGACGTTCGGTCGTCATCAGCGTCAAAGTTGTCAGTCAACAGGAGTATTTCTATGTCTTGCATCAGTCGATCCAGAATGGCTCCATCAAGTATATTTGAGTCTGAGTAGACCTTGATTCCCTAAATTATCACCAGGCGTTGGCAAGCTGGACGCAAGGTAATGGTAAAATAACGAACACCCTGTGTTTGATATCAGAAGTACCGTGCTCCCTCCGGGCTTGCGCAACATTCCCAACCAGCCGGTGGGGCTTGCCTGTGGGTACAATGAAGTTTAAAAGCGAGGATAGAGTCGATAAGTCACGTATGCATCGTAAGAAGTTTTCATTGGTGGAATCAATATTTCCCTATGTATTCTCTCCCTAAAAACCGTGATATGTTGAGAATACCACCCAAAGTAAATGACGTACAGTTTAATGTCCCTGTTGTAGTGATTGGTATCAGATGGCAGGACTGGGATGAAAACATGCTGAGAGATCGACTCTGGAGGAAGGCTAGAAGTCCTGCTAGAGACTGCATTATTGTTGTATGAGGGAGGGTCTGTTGCAGATACTGCGGCAGGCGAGGGTTGTGGGCTACCATTCATTGACCCAAGACCATGATCTCGTCCCAGGTCGTCCATGGGGATTCCAGAGTGCATTTCTGGGGAAATGATTTCATCAGACGACGTCACAGTGGGACCACCTGCGTAGCTTGCACTTGATGTGGCTGAGATTGGGGAGATGTCATTCAATGGGTTTGGTTTTCGGCGCTGAAGAGAGAATAAGTGCCTGATGATGATGAAAACCATTTTGGGAAGACGAGACAAAGCCTTAGCCCACCGCCCATGGAAGACGATGGTGAGATACTTCAGTAGGGATGCAGCGGTCATGACGGTCAAGAGTAAACCACTAAGACTCCTTCGGCACAATGGCCTGTCGCATGCCATGTACAGCCACTGGTCAGGGGCTCACGGCGGCGACAAAGATATGTTAACATGGCTGCCTTAGACTGGCTTTAAGTGTAGCCCCGATCTGAAATAATGGACATAGCTGGGGGTCGAATTGATTACAAAACAAGGTTATAAAAGCAGCTATGGTACACACTTCGAAATAGCCTTCCAAAAACCACGAACTTCTGCCCCGTTTGAGCAGTTTGAGCAGGTCGTACGGATGGCGTCGCAGGCAATGTGTGATGTCCAGACTCGAGTCCGTACTGGATGCGCACAGCCACATATAAGTATATCTAATCTAATCTAGCCAAGCCCTGGCAGGACTCCCAGCTTACCGTGAGACTTGCTACTGGCAAAGGTCGTCGCACAGGTTTCGTTGAACTTTGACAGCTGTAGAAATCCGAACCTAGATAGACAAATAGGAAAGGGTCTCAGTCACCAAATACTTGGACTGTATTAAACATGGCTCTGTACCTAGATAGACAAATAGGAAAGGGTCTATGGTACCATTAGCTAAAGTAAGTTATGAATGAAGATATAAGTGGCTCACCTCAGTCACCGAATACTTGGACTGAGGTGAGACCATCTATACTACCGGTATATATATACATTCTAAACAGACAAAGAGAGGTAGGTGTTGCAAACGAGAGAAAGAGGAGGGGGCGCGACACATACGCGTCGTGATAAAGGGGGCAATGGTCCTTTGATCGATGGTGCGGTGTGATCTAAACGGTCAAGCTCGTAACAACAGCTTCACATACTAAGAGTATTTGGCGATGTGTTCTCACTAGAGTGAGCGGTGGCTTTCAGGAAGCGAGGAACAATAAGCAATGTCAATTTCCCTTCAATTGCTTTTTCCTGGTACAATGACGACGGAGGACACCAACCCACAAAACCTTCATGGTATCGAGAATCCCGGCGAGACTGTTAGCAATAACCTCAGGTCTCGTGGGCTAAAAAAATTAACTAGCAACAGTGAAGGCACCATAGATGAAATTCGAATGACTCGCCTTAATCAACCCTCTTTCCATAGAACGTAGTAATCTTCTCGTGAGTCATGTAAGAACATGGATGGTAGGAGAAACGGTGACCGTCACTGTTTCTCCTCAACATCCTACTTTAATAATTCCAGGTCCAATCCACATCATATATAGCAGTTGAGACTATTGTGCTAACATTCGACAAGTATGACGATTACTCGAATGCAACCTCTGTCCTCACATCCTCTTCTTTCCCCGCCCCCACTTCACATCCAACAAGAACGCAACGCCAATCACTGGAAGAACACTTACAACCTCTCCTACACCAGCCCACCTCGGCTCAATTCTAACCTTGACAAACACCCCAGAAGCAAGCAGAATTGCAAACACATTATACACCACACACCAACCTAAAGCCAACAAGCAATGCCTCTTCGCATCTCTTGCGATATGCAACAGCGTGAGCACCCCTCGATTGAGGTCAGAACCCAGGAGGACCGCACCGGCTGCACCTAGAGCAACCTCAGAGCCAGAGGCAACAGCCAAAGAGACGTCAGCACGCGAGAGCGCTGGGGCGTCATTCGTCCCATCCCCAATGAAGCAAACACGGCTGCCTTTAGCTTGTAAAGCAGCAATGGATGTGTCCTTGTCCTCTGGCGTACACCCAGAAAAGACATCGGTAGAGGGGAGGCCAAGAGTCTCAGCGAGACGATGGACGGAGGAAGGCGTATCACCACTCATGATGACCACCTTTTTACCCCGTTTCTTGAGTTCGTTGAGCAGTGTTTTGGCTTCAGGACGAGGTGTGTCGACGAGTCCAAAAATTACGAGAGGCTGACCTGCAAGCGTGACGCTGAAAAGCGAAAGACCCGAGGTTTGGAGTTCGACCGAGATGGGATGATTGCATGCGCCTGTGAAGCTCGGACTGCCGCCAAGGAGCGGAAACCCTTGTATGGTAGCCTTGATTCCTTTTCCTGGGAGAGACACAATGTCGGAAACTTGAACCCCGCCTTTCTCTAGCAGTTCCTTGCCTCCAGTTGATGGGCGTTGAGAGGTAAGGTATCGATAGACACCTTGCGAAATCGGATGTTTATTATCTTTGATGAGTGCCATTATAAGCGGTTCGGCGCCTTTAACTAGGACCTCCACCCGTTCAACGGAAAACAACCCTTGAGTTAGAGTTCCAGTCTTGTCAAACACCAGAGTATCGACGTTGTTGGCCAGTTGTAGGACGGTAGGTGAGCGGAAAAGTACACCCTCCTTCAGTGCGATGCGAATCGAGCGAGAAATCACCATGGGCACCTGCAAAACTTGATGAGCACATATCGACCCCTAGAGCTAAGAAGAAGACGTACTGCGAGCCCAACTGCACAAGGGCAACTGACAACGAAAACAGCAATCATATACGTCAGCGCGTCCACAGATGCCGCTGTCTTTGATAGGTGTATAACATAAATCCCCACCAGAACCCAAACAACGAACGCGGTGAAAGCAGCAAAAGTAGCTATCGGAAGTATCCAAGCCGACAACCTATCCGCCAAATCCTGAACTGGCGACTGGGCGGCGCGTGTCATCTGAGCGTGTTTGACGAGCATGGTGATTCGCGAAAGCGAGTTCTCGTGGATGAGACGTGTAACTTGGACGTCCAGTGTGCCGTTCAGGTTGAGAGTACTAGCGATCACGCGGTTTCCTGTCTCCTTGGGCACTGCGACGCTTTCGCCTGTGATCGAGGACTCGTCTACATCACTGGATCCACTGATGATGATGCCGTCTGTTGCGATACGAGTGTCTGGTGGGATACGAATGACGTCTCCGTAGAACAATAACCGCGAATCCAATGTCACCGTCATTGAGTTGCTCTCTCCCGATAGGAGCAAGACGTCGTTCGGCTGAAGTCTCTCCAACTCACGCAGGGCAGACATCGTCGATTGTCGAGTAGCAGCGGCAATGGTGCGACCTAGCAGGATAAGGGTGACGAGGAGGGCAGTAGTCTCGAAGAAAGGAGCTGAGAAAGATCGGCCTGCGACCTCGAAAGCATATGCGATGACCGAGAAGAGGTAAGCTATGAGGGTGCTGACGGCAACTAGGACACTCAAATCGATTTGACGAAGATAAAGGATAGAACGAAAAGCTGATGAGAGGATAGAATATCCAAGAAGTTGAATGCCGGTAGCGAGTGCCACGGAGATGGCACCATGGAGGACCGGTCGAGGAGGTAAATCAGCCCACGCGAGAACAAGAATGGGAGTCGAAAGGATGGCGCTGGCCAAAGTGCGGAGGCCGACGTTGATTAAGTCGCGCGTTGCGTTGTCGCGTTCGCCGCGAGGTGCATTGGGGGCAAGTTCGGCACCATATGGTTTGAACTGTGCAAGAATATCTCGTGGCCGTTGAGGTTTGTCTGGGCTGACTGGAAAAGATATGTCTACGACGCAGGGATCTGACCCTGGGGCAGTATCTAACCCTGCGAATGCCTCCGCTGGAGGCTTGACGGCAAAGGAGAGAGGGAGAGTGACGATGGCCGATTCCCCATTCGCTAGGTTTGTCAATGGCCGAACTCCGAACCCTGTCGCGCGTGCAACATAAGAGGCGATTGCAGACGGTGAGATGCTTTCTGGATCATGATAAAGTTCAGCCATGCCACTGAAGTAGTCAATGGAGCAGCCATGAACCGATGGGAGGTGGGATAAGGCACGTAGGACCTTGGGTGTACAGTCGGGACAGTCCATGCCTCGGACCTCGAGGCGAAGCTTCTCGCGACCTGCAACATCCTTGGGCACTTCGCTGATGGGGGTAACGTTTGGTCCGCGTGATTGGTCCTTTTTGACTGGACTCCGACTTGTCGAGGGTTTCTTTGGGTGCGTTGGAGGTGCTACAAAACAGCAAGAACGACCGACACAGTAGTCCTCGAGGGTCTTGCAGCATGCTCGAAGAATGCGAGCAGATGATTCTAGCCGCGATCTCGCGGATTCGACAACGTCGTCGAGAGGAGTGTGCGAGGGTGTGGGCTTCGCTCTCAGAGCTGATCGGAAAGAACAGAACAGTCATTTTCCGATCCAGATTGAACGTGAAATGCGCACATACCGGGTTCGTTGATAAGCACCTGGATGCAGCACGGGCATGCCGAATCTCAACGCGACATCAGAAACATATAGAATGGGATCTGGCATATCAGCCCACCTTCTTCCATGTCGTTCTCCTGAGGTGCACTGGAAGATCCATCTTCCTCCTCTGGCGCACAACATCCACAGGCATCCACGGATTCTTCATCGCATTCCTTGCTGGTAATCTCGACCGCTTTGGTGCAGCATGCTTTCTCACAGGCGGCATCCTGCTCACTGACCCTCTTGAGCTCCCCACAACAGCCGTCCTTGCAACTTTCGCTTGTATCTTCCTTCTCAGCATTTTCCTCTCCGCCACAGCAACTATCACCGCATGCACTCTCCAACTCTTTTGCTTCATCTCCTCGTTCGACCGTTTCACCCTTTCCTGCACAACAACCGCACTTATCATCCGAATCGCCTCCCTTGTTGTCTGGATTCGATGTCGGTGAGTCACTTTTGGGAGCACAGGACCCTGTATCACAATGATCCTCCTCGACGTCTGAGCTTTTGCTGATGTCTCCGATTTGTCCACTGCAATCGTCCGACGCGGTATCGATGCCACCAAGGGCATAAAGAAGGCTGTTGTCACCTCGTCTGCTCGCATTTGCGTCGTCCGTATAGCAAGAGGGTGAATTTAGGGATTGTTCCATTCTTCTTGTAGAGGTGAGAGAGTAGAGAACAAAAGGAGGGGGACCTTATCTCGACGGAACTTCCCCACAGAAATGGTCGATTTTCGGCCTCAAACACCAATCCTATGCGAAAAGAAGTCGTGGTGAATCTTGCCAATCTCCGATCACCAAAGAAAATCCCCACGTTCAAAACTATACTTTTTAGGAAGGTCGAGCGAATTGGATCTTGAGTTGACCCACAGAAGTTGACCCCCCCAAAAAAAACGATGAGGGGTTCGCCGGCATATTTCTCCTCGCTGGCCAAGGAAGTTGTCGTTGATTTGTTTTGGTTGTCGCCGACGGGGCAAGAAGCCTGATGATGGAGGCCTTATAATAAACCATTTGGGCGGAACAAGTGACCAGGACGTGCTTCGAGTATTGTCTTGACATAATGGCCGTAGCTGAGCGTTGAATGGATCAAAAAGTTCAAGAGAAGTGCTATGGTACACACTTCGAAACAGCCCTCACAAAACCACAAAACCACAGACTTCGGCCCCGTCTCCCATTAAAAATCGAGATAATCTCTCTCCCTTCCCCAGCGTCCCGCTCCTCCGCCATACGGATCATCCGCCCCTGGTCCACCCACACCTCCAACACCTCCTGCACCGACACCCCCAACAGCGCCCTCGACGTCCTTGTATGAGAACTCGCGCTTGAACTTGGTCTCGAGCGCGGCCATCGTCCCAATAAGCTTCGTGCACGCTTGCTCGAGGATGGCTTGTGGGGTGATCGTGCCGTCGGTCTGGATTTTGAGGAGGAAGTAGGGGTGCAGCGGGTGAGGAACTTTGTAGCCAGCGAAGAGGACTTGGGGCATTGAGAGGAGTTGCCTATGGATTTGGGTAAGTAGCGAGTACTGTGGCAAAGACAGAAGGGGAAGTCGACGCACGCCCGCAGCATGTTTCCTAGTGTATGGTCTTGCTTCACGATCTTAATCGTCGCTGCATTGGGGATCTTGGTGTCTTCAGTCACCTCGACGCTGTATTAGACAGGGAATGAGGCTCTCAGTACCCATCTTAAATGCGCGACGTACCCCTTCTCGCCATCCTCAAGGACATAAAGTTCGTGGCGAGCAGGCGCGTTCATGATGGCTTATGGGTTCAGACTTCTGATGTTGCAAGATTATGGTTTGTCGCGTAAGGTCGTAGGATAGATACAGAATGGATGATTGCAATCGTAAGTCGCCAGAGTTATGACGATATAAGGTAGAAGTACTTGAACAAGGGTCTCCGTCGTTGAACTGGCTGCTACCAGTAGAATTGCTGCACAAAGTGGGTTACCAATCAAGGTACCGCTTGCAGACACGAATATGAAAAAAATACTGCAAAGAAAGCAGGAGTTAATCAGCTTGCTGAACGATGAATGAGACAAGTTAGAGAAGTCAGCATCGAAATTTGCGATCATGTGGATTCACCGACAATAAATAATGATTGTACCATCATTTTAACATGAAAACGAACGAGAACTCACCGAAATACAACCCCCAAACAGCAATAGTCGAGGTGGAAAGGGACGCGTCAGGCCAAAATTTCAGGGACAAGAGACTGTGTTTGACATTGTTTGTGTTGTGGCGATCAGGTGCAAGATTTCCAAGGCCATCGCAGGCTCACCAAACCGACAACCTCCCTCAAGGTGAGCATTCCCCGCCATATCTCTGCCCGACACGTCGTCAGTCGCCTTCATGACGTCCAGAGCTGCTGAATCCATGTCTTTCGAGCAAAAACGGCGGTGATCACGGTTGGATGGGTCCCGAGGGCGTTGGATGGCGTGTATTGGGTGTTGGGCATAATTGGGATCAGGTCGACTGACATGTTCTTTCGCCCGCTCTCTCGCAGAAACAATGCCTTCCCGGTTCTCGAAGACCCGTAAACATCGCGGCCATGTGTCGGCCGGTCACGGTCGTGTAGGAAAGCACCGCAAGCATCCTGGAGGTCGCGGTCTCGCTGGTGGTCAACATCACCACCGGTGCGTCTATCCCTTTCTTCCGCGTTTTATCCTCATCATACGATGGCTCAATAGAACGAACTTCGATAAATACCATCCTGGTTACTTCGGTAAGGTTGGTATGCGCCACTTCCACCTCACCCGCAACGCCCACTGGCGCCCAATCATCAACGTCGACAAGCTCTGGAGTTTGGTGCCCGAGGAGCAAAAGAAGGGTCTGACTGAGAACTCGGATGTCGTCCCAGTCATTGACACGCTGAAATTCGGATACGGAAAGGTTCTGGGCAATGGACTGTGTGTCTTTCTTTATTCGTCGAGTTTTCGTGCGATTAAGGCTTCTTTTTGTTACAGGCTACCCCAACTTCCGTTCATTGTAAAAGCTCGTTTCGTTTCGGCGAAGGCTGAGTGCGTATCTTTTGTTTCTGATACAGGATCGCGATACTGACGTGACGTTTGTTCGATTAGGGCCAAGATCAAGGCTGCTGGAGGTGTTGTCTCATTGGTGGCTTAAGCTTCTACGTGCACTATCATATCTCTTTCTCGCTGTATGACCCATGAACCAAGCACATGCCCTCCATGCCGCCATGCTGAAAGCTTCGAGTGTTGAGTGATCGATATCTCTAAATACGCTCGTCAGGAACGTACATGGATTCGCAACACTGCCTCATACCTTAACTTATAAATCATGATGATTTTGCGCTGACAGATGCCCATGATTTAAGCCTTTACTTCTCACTGAAGTTCCCCACGACCGCGAGCATAAGAGCACTTTGTTAGCCGTCCGCAGTCGTAGGACGAGAATTGTTGCCATATATAGGGCCGAGTCGAGGACAACGAAACTGTCTCGGTTTCTCACAGCCATCTTCTCTTCCACCATGAACCTCGGCAGCACCTGGTGTTAGTCCAAACAACGCACTCACCAGAGAAGGCCTCCCTCTGATATTCTAACAGATAATCTCCAGTTCAACCGCAACCGTCTTCTACCCCAGGCCGCCGACACGCCCGTTACACCCATGGCTCAACCACCAGAAACACCGCAGGGCGAACCCGCCATCGTCAACATCAATCCTGCGGGGGGGAAGGACAAAAAATCGAGCGAGCCACTCTTTGGCCCAAGCATAGGCTCCGTCAGCGCAGGACCAGCATGGACACTCTCTGGCGAGAAGAAGGTCGTGACCGATGAGCTTACGCAGGACATCATTACCAGCTGGATCGAGAAGAGCAAGGAGGTGAGTAGTGTCCTTGTTTCTGGACTGCTGTGCTGGGGATCTGGTCCGTGCGTGCTTGCGGTGTTGGTGCTGGTCTCGTCGCCGTTGTCGCTGTCTTCGGAGCTATCGGGATGTGGGGGCGGCGATTGGCATTCGCCATTCGGTTGTTCTTCGCACCATTGATCTTCCCATCTGCGCCGTCTGTCTGAGCATTTGGATCTACTTTACGTGCGCGATGCCAGGTGTGCAGACCACCCACTTCATAGCCGTTTAACCGCGATTGGCGGTATAAATAAATCCACAATCTAACTATACTCTTTCCTTGCAGCCGTCCCACCCAACCACCACCTTGCAGGCCCTAGTCAATCTCAAACGACCCACTCTCCGTCTTTCGCCGCTTTCTGCTGTGCATGACGACAGCGGCGGGACTAACACTGTCGATCAGCACCATCACGGGCTGGAATTTGAGTACGATTGCGATGCGCCCAAGTGTGGAATTTATGTCAACGTGCACCTCCCGAAAACGCACCCGGATGCCCCAGCGGCATCGTCCCACTCCTCGTCACTCTGCAAGCTACAGGTATTCGAGACTGTCATCGAGGGCGGGTTCGGAAATCGGTTGACCCTTGACGAAGGAGCCTTGCTAGAGCTGGGCCGCTTCGAGAACTCTCAAGCCAACGCACAGCAAGCTGAGAGGTCCCAGACGAATGCGGGGGAACCGTCAAGTGAGGCGCCGGCGCCTGGAAATCTCCCTACCAGCCCTTCGACTTTAGACCTCTCCGCTACGGCCAATAACAATGCCAATACAAATGCTAACACGAGCAGTAGTAATCACGCCCGCCGACGTTTCACGCAATTTCACTTCCGCAGGCGTCACAACCGAAGCGTCGCTGGGCCCGCGTTGACGGTTGTTGACGCCGAACCGGCCGCCGCGAACGAAGGCAAGGCGAAAGACGGCAAGGAAGACAGCGAAGACGGCGTCAAGGTGACGATCAGATTGGCTGCGCTCGACGAGCAAGGAACCGAGCTTTCCTCGCCCAACGAGCAGATCACATATCTGCATATCGTTAGGTTCGGGCAGAAGGTGGAGGGTGGAGATGGGCCAGAAGAAGACACCAGACCGTGGGTTGTGAGGGTTGTGAAGCGGGAAGCAACGGTAAGTGGTTGTCGTGTGCTACTTTCGGTTTCACGACGCTGAAAGAACTCAAGATTGGCCCGCACACTTTCCACCTGCATGAGATCTTCGGTCTCACCTCGACCTCCTCGCATGAGCACGCGCCTACCACGCCAATACCCACGGCTGCGCACACCTACCCACCTGATGAGAGCCAGGGCGTCGCGGGCATTGGGGCAGCGGACGACGACGACGACCCGCAGTCCGAGTGCCTTCTCTGTCTGTCCTCGCCGCGCGAAGTCGTCCTCCTCCCGTGCCGCCACCTCGTCGCGTGCAAGGAGTGCGCACTGAACATGGTCGAGTTCGGAGCGGGAGGGAATATCACGCAGAGCGAAGTGCCAGTCCCTGGCACGGCGACACCTGGCGGAGGTGGAGAGGACGGTGCGGCCAATAATGGCGCGACAACGCCTGCGACTCCCGCCCCGCCAACTACGAATCCACGCCGGAAGCGCAAGGCGAAGGGCTGGTTCTGTCCTGTTTGCCGACAGCGTGAGTTTTCTTCGGTGTAAGGAGATTGCAAGATTTACTGACGCCATATCTACCTTCTGCTCCTTCGCCGTTCATTTTCATCTTTCGACCCCTCACACGACTATCCACATCCGACCACATTTACCCTTCGGATGATTAGCCTACACATCCATGCTCCGTCTAACAACCTCCGCCCCGCCTCCAGCCGAGAGCAAGGAAGGCGACGGCTCGGGGTCGGAGGACGAGAGTCCCGCTAGCCCCGGCGGCATCACGCCGTCCGGGACAGGCCAGACGAGCGAGGTCCGTGGTGGGTTGCTCGGTGCGGCCTTCCGCCCTGGTTTCTTCCGAGGCCTGAGCATGTCGAGGAGCGCGAACTTGAGCTCGCAGCCGCCCGACGTAGAGAACCAGAACGTTGCGGTTAGATCTTGAGCCGCTCGACGCTGGCCTTCGACATCGACGTCGATCTGCTCTGGAAGGGTGTATGAAATCTACATCTCGGTCTAAGGTGTTTGGCCGTTGTGCTGTCTTCGAATCTGGAACTGTCTGTGTGGAAGGAAAGAGGTCATAAATTCTTGAGATTTGTATGTGATATGCGCGTCTTCTCGTTTACGGCTTCTTCGTGTCGCCCTTCATTCCCCTCCTTCTGTCCACGTCTAACGGCCCCACTCCTGGAGCCTTTCTGTGTTTTCTTCTGTTCTGCTTCTCTCTGCTATCGGCTATCGGTTATCACTTCTGCCTTTCTCCCTAAATGGACAGGTACCTGTATCCACATGTACAGCTAATATGCCCGCGTGTGTACAATCTGCCCGTACTTCTGTACATTGGCTTGTCTGGCATCTCTTCTTCTCGGAGGATCCTCGTTTTCTGCTCTGTACAATATAATGTAGTTTTTCTAATTCCGCGGGGTTGGGTCGATCTTCGGAGGAATTCGAAGCGACGCCAAGCGTGTGTGCGCTTATTTGTACATATGGACGCGCTCGCGTCAGTGAACAACAAACGCGACATGATCACCTGCCACCAGAACTATCCAGCGTGAACTCTACGACGGGTCGCGACAATGGAAAGCGAAAAGGTCGGTTGTTAAAGGCGCTATGTGGTTCTTTTTCTCTTACGGAATTAGGACTATCCCTCTTATGGAAGGACTACGAGCCCGCCCCAAGCCGTTCGTCTTTCCCACTCAGCCCGGTATCGCATGGACACTGGGAGTGGGCGACTAGGTAGTAGGGCATTACACAGGCCCAGCGGCGCTAATTTGGACTGAGAAACTTCCGCCCTTGTTCTTGGATCAAGTTGGAACATCAGGTGATGAGAATGGACGGTCAAAATTCCGGTCAGCACGCTCGTAAATTAACAGTCGGATGGGCGTCAAACGTCAGGCGCGCACCAAATGGAGAGATCAGTGTGGTCCGAGGCGCATCACCGTGGAAGTCATGTGGGCTCCTCATTGTATGGTGAATGAAATCAGTCAGTCTGCAAGGTTTCAAATTTCAAAAATTGCAACCCTCACACGTCGCCGTCGATGACGGATAATTTGGATCCGGACAGGCCGGCGACCTCCTCGTCGATGAGCTCGCTCAGATTGTCCAACAGCAGTTGAACGGGAAGCAAGACGGGAGGTCTCCCCGTTGGCGTCGGCCAAAAGCTAACAGACCTCTAGGCTCCTGTCTCGGTCAAACCGCACGGTAGATAGATGATGAACAGAAATATTTGGCGCTCTGACTTCCATCTCGCAAGTTCTCCCGTCTTTGTTCTCAGTAGACATCCAGCAACTATGCTATCTGATATTCCTGAACGCGGACCACGTCAGATGTCTACTAACCGCGTGCCAACCCACGCCTTTTATCAGGCATCACCATTATCGTCTAGACCCTCGTGTTACAACCGCAGGACATGTAAATTTGGAGGTCTCCGCCTCTATGTTATGTCTTGGATCACTTAGGCCCTGTCGCAGGACCAATATCAGGCCCATAATTTACAGTAGCCAGCGGGACAATCTGGTGCGTAGCACCAGGCGGTTAGCGTGAGGTACGGAGGCACGGCTTAAAACATGTAGCAAGATGCATGTTTTTGAAATAGAATAAGGTTCTGAAGTCAGAGACGTTCTTTGAGACGGCACTCGTACGATGAAGAACCGTACAAGCTTCAACATGAGAACACCGTTCGATTTCGATGGAGTGCTGTTTGACGTAATTACCAGCGGTGAAGAGTGTCGAGTTTCAATCGTTCTTGAAGTGGTCATTTCGAACGGTATGTCCATCGTAAGTGGTACATAGAAACGATAGCCGCCATATCGAGCTTGGCGCACAGGCGCTGGAATTGTTGCGGCCCCGCATCATATCAGCCGTCACAGGACCTTCGAGACAAAATGGCATAGGCACTTGGAACAGGCCAAAGTGACGGCCGGTGCTTCTCCATATAGGCCAGGAATGTTACGTCGACATTCCAAAGCGTCATTCCAGCATTCCATGACAAGCCAGTACAGCGGATAACGGCGATGCTGGGAATGCAGGCTACCTGAGCGAGCGGTGTTCTAGAAAAAGGGAGAATTTAAGCTCTTGCTTTAATTTTGGAAGATCAAGTGAGGACTAGATATTACGGATGGAAAGGTCCATAGAGGTAGGTATAGATAGATGGCGACGCGGTGTCCCCAACTCCTCTCGGTCGAGGGGCAAAAGGAGATACAGCCGTCCGTGACTGCCCGCCCGAGAGAGGAAGGCGGGGACACTCGATTACGAAGCTTCAATGCTGCCGCTTCGCCGCGTGTTTCAGCCTACGCTTCTCCTTCTCCTCCAGTATTGCTTTCTTCTTGAGCTGCGTGGGGCTGACATTATTTTCGTCGGCTTCCTCACTGTTGCTTTTGGTGAGGTAGTCGTCGATGCACCGCTCCATTTTTTCCTGGATAACCAGCGCCGGGTCCCTACCTGGCAGGGTGTCCTCTGGGAGGACGTCCCACTGGAAGTCGAACCCCCACCCTTGGATCGGCGCTTGGCCCGGCGGTGCGCTAGCGCCGGGCGAGAGTGCCGAAGAGGCAGCCAAAAGGCCGCCCTGTTCGCGCCACCACCTGACGAAATAAACTGCAGCCCGAGCGAGATCTACCTCTGCGCCACGCTTGATCATGCCCATCCGTCTGGCGAGCAGCTCCAAAAACTCGCTTAGTTCCGAGGTGGGAGCTGACCCAGCGGGAAGCAAGGACAAATATGCGGGAGCTGAAGACAAAAAAAAAAAGAGAAGAACCAAGGATTTCGTTAGTCACTTAATAAGACCCCCAATCAAATGTCAACGCAACACGAAAATGACACAACACAAGTGTCATGATGAGATGATCAAAAATCGAACGAGACAGAGTCGCGCTTTTAAAGGAACATTTTGATGGAGGATGGAGGGATGGGTGGGTTCAGACTGAATGCATGAGGTACTCACCGATGGGATTCAGGACGTTGAGTCTGTACAGTAGATACGCAGCCAAGGCATCCGTATCATAGAGTCCTTCTTTGATGCCCGCTGGGAGATGAATGAGGGTAGTTCTTATCAGTCTTTCCTGATCATCATCCTAATGGGCTGGAGTGGGATGTTACGTACCTATGAGTGCGAGTTTAACCCCTCTCTCGGCACCCTCCTCCCCACGGCCAAGGAAGGGCAGCATAATGCCCGGGGTATCGAACGCATAGACTAAAGGATCGAGCGACAGCTTCAGCCGTGTGGACAGGGCCCGCGTCATCCCCGGGTTGGCTGAAGTCTGAAAAGCTTTTGGCGTCGCTGACAACCAATATGAACGGGTGAACAAATGGGCCTACGGGCGCGGTGGAGAAGGCACTTACGACCTCTGATGCCCATGTTTCTGAGGGCGTTCAGCAATGTCGACTTGCCTACATTGGGCATGCCGATGACTAAGACGTTTAACTCCATGGCATGAGGATAATCCTTAGCTATGTCTATAGGATCACAACGTCAGTTAGCATGCCCATAGCTAGCTGAATTAGGAAAAAGGGGTAACATACTCACTAGGATCTCGCTGAGATTGCGAATATCCCGCGGCCGCTGCCACGATGCGAAGAGCATCTGCTGATGAGGAAACTTCTTTGCCATCGCCTTACGAAAAGGCTAGGAAAGGATCAACGATTCGTTTATGTGTTTAGACTCTACGTTGAGGTGTTAACAGACGGTTCGTGCTTACCTCCATGCCCCATTCAGGGACAAAGTCGCGCTTGTTCAGCACAACGATGTGCTCACAAGCTTCAACGGCGATAGTACGGCGTCCGGGATGATTCGGGTCCCATCCACGCTCCAGCCTCCACTTCTTCAACGCACCTACAGCACGAAAAGGTAAGAGTCAAAACTGATAGCCGACGGTGGAAATGAAAGCCCAACGGAGCAAGGCCTTGCGGCGCGGTTAAGGAGTAAAAAGAACGACCGGCCGGCCATGTATCATCGACCTGATCCCAGCGCGTTCATTAATACGCCAACCGCAACCCCTTTTCATAGGCAAGAGCACCTCCGATTACGACGCAGGAACGCAAATGAACGCACCTTCGAGGGTTCTGTTAATGCTCGTCAACGGAAGCCGCGAGTCTCGAATTTCGAGAACGACGTTCGTCCTCTTGAGCAAAGCGGGCAGCATCCGCGTGAACTTCATCATGTGTCCCGGGAACCATGATGGGGGCACCGGGAGGGCTGGCAGCTGCGCCAACACCATATCGGCTCAGGAGAAAGGCTAGGAGCAGGGTTCCAAACGCGTTCGGAAGTTGGAGCAGCAGCAAGCAGAAGCTTAACCAATAGCAAAGGGGCAAGTTAAGTACCCAATTCGACCTCGAGAAGGTGACTACGCGCTCCCTGGATGGTGCGCTATAAGCTTCTGGCAATGCGCCACTTGTCAAGTAAGGCTTTGGGTGTAGAAGCGCGGCGGCGAGTACTGTAAGCGAGCGAGCCTGCTGGTTGGCTTACTGGAGCCCAGAACTCCGATGAAACACGGATTTCTCTGGAGGGACCCTGACTTGTCCACGCCGACCCAGAACCTTGGGATCGCGTGGGTTGCTCAGACCGCAGGGAAGCGACCACGGTGTTCCAAGTGTATATGTCCCTGAAAGTGAAATTCTCGCGAAGCCTTTTGGGGTATGTACCGCAGCGGCGCCAGAGAGGGTGATGACGAAGAAGAAGGTGGTGGTGGTAGTGGTTGGAAGAGGACACGGAGGAGCGCGATCGGCAGACCCGTTGTTTGGCTTTGTTGGTGGCGGACTCAAAATTGGGATTTGCTTCCTTTGGGAAATTATTTATTTTTTCCTGATCGGGGCTTTTTAGTCACATAGCGAGCGTCATCGCAGGCAAGGACAGGAAACCCTCTCTAAGGCGTACTACGGTCTGTCGAATCGTCGGGTATCATCTCGATAGACAGATCTGCTTGGAGATTGCGTAGACACCTCACTGAATTCATCTCGGACCAAATCACGAGCTTATCTGGAGGCGTATGGCTCCCCTGGTCGTGGAGTAAGAAGGGCGCTCCATCGCCACCCTCATGTCATGATGCGCATCAAGCACACAAAGGAGAAAGCCATGTCATTGTTTGTTGAAAGCTATAGAACATAACCAACTCTTCTACTAGTAGCTTGGATATCGGACGCGCAAGTCATACTTGATTTTTTACCAAAACGGACGATACTCTTGGAGAAAGAAATGATAGACCAAAATCGGGGGTAAAGAAAGCAAGGTGTAGGTTCTGAACAAGATAGCAGTCCTAAAGAATCAGATTCACAGCATACCAGACGACGCAGAATGACTCGGAGTGACATAATGGGAGTAGGTTCCTTCCGGATTGCGCACGATGACGACGACGGCGAAACGAGTTGAGATGGGGCCCAAACTGTTGGGCGGGTAATCTTGGGGGTATACGAGGATCTATTTTCCTGAATATGAGCAAAAACGAACCGTTGGATCGCGTTTGGTGCCACTCACATCTACACCCACTCAGTCCGACCGACGCCGATAGCGTCAAAGCTCTTGCCACTTCGGGTGCGGCGCTCCTGCAGTACGGGGGGGACGTCGAGCTTGATGAGACGTTCCGAAGGAGGTGGGGAGCCTTCGATCTCGCACCAGCCCTTCCAGCCCTTCTTCGCCGCTTGACGCTTTTTGCGCGGAGGGCGCTGCATGACCGGCGCGGACACGGAGCCCATTTCCACGTCGTCGTCTGGTGTACGAGGTCTCTTCGACGACGTGCGCGACGTGCTGGAGGAGATGGAGGGGCCGGGCGTCGAGTTGGGGGTGAACAAGATGATGCGTGGCGACGAGGCGGGCGACGGCGTGACGGAGGTCGAAGGCTGGAAGGCGGGGATGTGAATGGTGGGCCGCACATAGATTGGCTTGCTGGTCGACGCGGTGGGCGGTGTCTGGAACGAGCCCGTGGTGGCCAATGTGCTTGGGGCCGTCGCGTATGGCCTCGCGTCGGCGATCACGTCCATCGGTGTCCTGACTGCCGCCTTTTCCGCAGCGCGTGCCTTCCTGCGCTTCTCCCTCTCCCTCTCCTTCTTCTCCTGCTTGCGCTTCCTCCTGGCCTCCTCGTCCCTCTCGACTTCGTGGTATGGACTGACGCCGTTGAGGACGCTGGTGAGGACGTCCCTGGAGGGCCGGGGGTCAAAGGCACCAGCCATGACTGCTGTGGCCGAGCGTCTGCAGCGTTTGAAAGCGGCAGATGGCATGTTGTGGCAGGGAAAGAGGATGGTCATTGTTGGTGGTGGTGGAGGGGATAAAAGAGAGGCGCAGTGGAGCCGAGTCGTGGCTTGGAAGCAATGGGGTTGTTGTACTCTTACGGCATAAGCGAAGCATCAACAAACACAGTCCCCTCCCAGCACGTGCAGACCAGGAACCTTCTTACTTTTTCCTGAACGATCGATGCAGAGATATCAGGATCTATCCCCACTAGGCTACAAGTTCAGAAGACCCTTTTCCTAGGCTCTCCTCCTCCCACCCCAATATTCCTGCCACAGCTTCACTAGAGCCACCAGCGCGGTAGGTCGGCCACAGCGGCACCAGGAGCCTTGGGAAGCTTTCGGGTGGGTCTAGCCCATTGTGGGGATGGGCGCCCTTCTCGCGTTCACACCCATTAATTTAGAACAAGTAGTCAGCTGTCCTACTTGGGAAGGTCGTCCATTCCAGCCAGTCGAAACTATCCTTGGCCCCGGTGCTTTCCCGCCGACTATCTTCCCACTCCCCGTGCCCTGATAAATATGTTGGGGAATAACTCAGCGAGCGCTGTACCGCCATTTTCCCTGGATTCTGTTCATCAAAATTCGGAGGCGCCGCTGGTGATCCCCGTAGCCACGGCAAGGGCCTCCGTCTTACCCCGCTTGCGAGCGCCTACCGCCATGGGTCCCATCTTCGCCTGGACGGAGCCTCTACTCCTGATAAGCGATAGCCCGTCGCCGCTAGATTTTCCACCGCGAAAGGTATTCTAGGAGCCCTACATAGCCCCACAAACGACGCCTTACGAATCCCTATAGATATCGATACGATCAGCCAATACAAAAGGTCGTTATTTTTGCGCCAAGGTATGTATGCGATGTCTATCGAGAACCCATGATGCGGCGCTAAGTATCCATTCGTTCATCAGTTTATCGGCCCATCTTGTGAGTGGATTGGTCTACAGATTCCCTTTTTCGTCAATCCGCGTGTCTCCACAGCACTGGCCCAGCAGCAGCACTGTCGTGGGATGGCGAGTCATGTTGCCGACAAATTCCCTTCACGGACGCGGGACGGCAGTCCAAAACTTCCTAATTTAAGAACCATCCGTTAATTATATTTTTCCGCCACACAGGAAACGGGAACGGGAGTATATTTGTCTTCAGAAGGAAACGGTCACCATGAGAGGGTATAGCTCTCCCACCGCACCTCATAACGGACCCTAGTACCACAGAAAGCACTCTTGCTCCCGGCTCTTGTTGCCCACAGTTGCTTCTTCCCTCGTTGCCCATTTCCACCCGGCAAGGCTGAATCTCTTCGGTCTGCAGGATGCTAGGAATATCCTCTGGCTCTGAGGGAATCCGCCGTATGGCCCGCACCACACGGTCTTACTTTCTGACTCCCTTGGGACCACGGGACCACGGCGTCTAAATCCATCAGCAGCCCAGGAGGGTACCGGGGACTATGAGATGGTTCTCTCATGACAGATTGGCGCCCCAGGTATTCCCCTGACTCGTTCTTGCTCCTTTTTCGCGCTGCTTCTTCCAACTAAACCCATCCTCCCAATTCCGAGTGTCTGATCTGCGACAAACACACAGCGTGTTCACCCTCTATCACGATCACCTTTTTCCTCTTCTGTTCCGGGCGTGAGTTCGCTTCTCATTGGGGTCGTCGTTTCGAAAGCCCCTACCCTACCTACCTGCCGGTTCTGTGCTGTGATATGTGATTCGTGGACGGAAATGGAATGAAGAGCTAGCGTTCGCGTTAGCGAGCGTGCATGCCTCCTCGGCGTGGTGCAATTGCAAATTGCAATGCAGCGCTCAAACAACACAACAGACCCTTTATTCCATGCATAAGGGTCAAAGGGGATGAACGATGTTGCTTGCGCCCTAGAACTAGAGCTGCTGTCTGTTGTCTTGACTCGAGCGTCTTCAAGAGGATGAAGATACCCTTGTTTCTGGCGACACGTGCTGGGGGACACTAACCTTGGCGCCGCATGCCTCAGCACACCGAGTCCCGAGTCATAGAACACCCAGCTTCTTGTCAGCCGTGTTCGTAATTAGACTCCGGGCTCCCCAGCGACCGTGCTGCCTTTATGAACGCGGTAAAGGACCCTCCCTTCCCTCTCAGGCCAATCGTCCTCGAATACGAGCCCACACCGCGGGCATGAGGCGAGCAGCCAGATGTGGTAAACGGCAAAACATTCTTCTTTCATCGATAGGGGGGTTAGCATGTTTCCCAACAATACTACTCACGCGGACGGGCGCTCGAATAAATTTTTGCCTGGCATGATATGCATCATGGATGGATGGATTATTTCAGGACGCCCGTTCTCACCTCACTGGTAGCTTCCCGGCGTCTCCCTCCAGAGCGTGCTATGGCGTAGGAGGGACCGCCGTCGAACCCAACAGTGACGGCTGATGTTCCTGGACCCATCTGCCCATGCATGCCTTCCAGGTGCCAACGGGTGAGCTCAACACAGGCGTCACCGCACGTGCATTGATTCTGCCCTGGGCGGCGAGCGGCGAGCGCCCGACGACGGCCGATTTCCGTGCCCGAAAACGGCAGCCTGAACGCCTGCCCCCCGTCCGGCCCATTGTTCGTGATGAAAAACGGAGAGTATCTCCATTCGCCGAATAACCCGGAGGACAATTGCAGAGAACTAGGGCAGAATGATATCGATGTGTACTACCACTCTAGCTACGACAGCTGGATGCGTCACTGTGATCAGCCAGTTCGCGCTCGAAGGGCTCTTTTCCCAGGTCATACATGCTCACTCGACATATACCCTATAGTGAGTACGTATACGACTGTATGTCTGTGTGCATCATGTCATGGGGAGGCGAGGTTCGGTGTTCGGGTTGCCTGCTTCGCGGCGTGCCAGTAGATCCATAGCGGAGTCTTTTGCTAGACGTCGAACGTACGTTCGTCATTCTTATTTTGATGGTCGCCGCGAGAACATGCCCTGTTGTGGGTTCTTCCGGGACCTTGGCCAGCCCCACCCACTTCAGGCCACCTGAGTAATTGTTGTACTTACTTCACCGCCATTCTTCTCAATACGACGCCAGGCTTGTTCCTCCTTCGAGAGGCCATCTGTCATGTCAACCCTCCTATTATTCATTCATAATGAAGGAGGGTACATACAGACGTCGACGTCGACGTCTAGATCCTATTCAAATGGGTGCTTCGAACACATAAATGAACCCTGACGGCTCACCTCCGGCCTAAGATCAGAAGGTGAGAACCCGTACCAAAAAACCGCGGGCTGCATTCTGTGGTGTGCTACCATGGGAGGATCCACTAAAATAGCTCGTACAATAGGGGGTGGAGCGAAAGTTAAGTGGACATAAGGAACAATAGATCCCATGTTTGCTGACTGATTTGGTGATAAGCTACTGCGGTTCAGAGGTCACGGACACCTGGAAGATCTTGTTCCATCCGCCGGTAATTTGGAGTGAATGTGGGTAGCGGTCCTCTTCTGCTCTAGACTGCTGAGAATAAGGAGATATCGACGAGAGTTGACTGGAGATCGTTCGTAACATTGCAGATTGCTTTAGGAACTTTCATTGTAATCCCTTTTAACGGAACCCAAAAGCTTATCCACCCTCTCCACCCTTTGATGAACAGCCTTGAGACGTTGTGTTTACTCACGTCAGTGTATCTATAGCTTAATAGCCACAGTTCTGCGCCCGAATACTAGATGCGCGCTTTGCCTCCGAGAGAGTACGGCTTGGGATATTTTTGTTGGAATTTATTTAATACACTCGAACGCCCGTTCCAATAAGGAGCGCGGGGGGGCATTAGGATGCTCTCCTGCTCTCTTCAATAGTTATAGAAGACAGCGGCTGTCTATTAACCCACTTTCCATCCCTCGACCGCCTCCTCAGAAGAGGTTGACACTTGTGGTATCTTAATTGCAACGCACCCCACGGCGCGGGTCTCGTTCACATCAAACCAAGTAAATATTTGAGCCTTTGATAAGCGCCCTGATATTGTAGCTCAAAGGCGGTGATCGTAATCCCATCGGCCTCTTCCCTAGCATGCGTTGGCCGCAAGAGGCCAGCGCGCCTCATTTGCGCTTGTTTCGGCTTGGCTTTGTTAGTAAATCTCTTGGCGTCCAAATACCGGAAGAGCGGCCCGCCTCCCTCCACGCCCTGACGGAGGCGCCTCGCCTGTACGCCCGTGCTAGCCCTTCATTTAAACCAGGCTTCGTTTGTAAAATAAGCAACCGAGGTGAGAAACGACGTATCCCAGCAGAGTATCCAATAGCCATGGTTCGAAATGGAGGTGTCCGAACGGCCATCCGTTATCAGTGTCACAGGAGAAAAATAAATTGTTGTACATATTCCATAATGCGTATTCTATGATATTCTTCGAGATGGGATGATGGACCCAGGCCGTTAACGCCGTAAAGCCTTGAGCGCCCCTCTGGGCGCTACCGCGTCCCGCCGCCCTCCTTACAATTTCCAAACAAATAATAAAATGTGGATACCATGCCTCGTTTGTGCCAGGTGGCCTGTCACACTCACACCACCATCCGCTGGCTCTCCGTATACGGCGTTCCAGGAATAGCTGGGCTGAAGCACGGGTACGCCGTGCTGGAGTCGCCATATTCTTCCTTGAGCCTCCGCCAGACCGCTCTGAATGTACTCATGGAGCCCTTCTCATAAACCAACGCCACCGCACACAGACACCCAGGTGGGAAGTCCCACTTCGCCATAGCAGGCATAGGACTTGGAAGTGGTGTCCCATGCGAGACTGAACGCCCAAGTAGCATGCTCCCGCGCGGCCGCGAGGAACCTGTCATACCGGGGCCTGCAGATGTGGGCGTCACAGCGTAGTTGGGGGTCTGCGGTGGCGCCGTTAGCAAATATGAGGGATCTTCACCGGAACCGCCCACAGGATGAGCTGACGATTGCAGATCGTGAGATGGACCAGGCCCTGCTCGAAATTCGACTCGAAAGCGGACGTTCTTGAGCGAGACGCCATTGGCGGGATCGACTGTCGGCTGATCAACACGACAGAAGAGAACCTCTGACTGTGTTTGCTCAGAGGTGAGATGCGCTTCACTTGGGTGGTTGGCGAGGACGATACCCAAGCCCTCGAGGATTCGCGCGACGTGCAGGCGTGTCCTATGGATGTCGTCAGACGAGTAGAGAACAGCCCCGTTGGCGCTCGAGTTCTTCCAGCTGAAGAGGTTCGAGAACCAGCCTTTGAACTCGCCCACCACGGGAGAAGCCATTATCCTGTTGGCGCTGGACGGCGGAGGATGAAGCGGCGTAGACAGGGCGATTGGCGAGCCCAACATGGCGAAAGTCGTGCGCTTGGGGTTGAGAGACGGCAGGTCGAGCGGAGGGGCTATGAAAAATATTTTTCGTCGGCCTAAAATTCGAAGGGGGGGGAGAACATCACTTACGCCGGCCTTTTCTCTCCTTTTCCTTCTTGCCTCTCGAGGGTGAGCTTGAAACGTTCTGTGACACGTTCCCGATCTCCCTGCCAACATCGCGATGGCCATGATTATGACCCGCGAGGCCGACGCCGAGCCCCACACCACCAGACCGATCCGCATCGCCACTGACATTAACATGGCTCCAGCTCTCCTCGTCGATGCTCTGATTCTCCTTGTCCTCGTCCGCCTTTGGGTGAGGGTGCGAGTGGCTAGATGCCCCATGCCCAGGGCCGTGGGAATGCACGGCCAGTGTCCGCGCACCGTCCTTGGTCTGACCTCCAGCGGGCAACAGAGACGGTGCAGGCGCGGTTACAGCGTGTTGAGAGCCTGCAACAGCCTGGACGAGCTCGTTCACCCTCTGTGTGATGTCCTCCATGGTGCGTTGCAGTTCCGGGTTGTCGGTTTTGGGTGCCGTAAGCAATGGCAGGTCCACCTCTACGAGATCCACAGGTGCACCGACGCTAGCACTGGCGTCAGACTGAACCCCGCTCACAGGCCTCCCAGCATCGTCGCTACTGGCATTGGTCTTGGCGCCGGTGAAGACGTCCAAGACCGGCGACGCGAACATCGCCCGCTTCTCGTTCTCGGTGAACGGCGAGAGCGGGCCGATGGACGACTTAGGCCGCTGCGAACGAGAGTGGGACTGCGAGGATCGCGAGGAAGACGAAACAGATGCGGCACGCGCCTGGATCTGTTGGAGGTGTTGCGAGAAGCCCATAGACCCGACCGTCGTCCCTGCGGAGGCAGGTTGACTAGGTTCCCGCCGTTCTGGCATCATAGAATAGGTCTGTCCCCGACGCGGTGCGACTACACGCCCACCACTTCGCCCTAAGAGATTGACACCTGCAGGCGCGGCGCCAACAGCAATGGTGGCCTGAGAGCTGACGGAAGGTTTTCGACGCATGTGGCTGTTCGCCGTGGAAGTGCTGCTCGCGCTGGACGAGGTAGTGGTATCAGAAAGGTTATCCTTCTGCGCCAGGAACTGCGCCTTCCAGCTCTCTACTTGCGTACGACTGCTGTTCGCGGCAGAGCGAGGGACCGTGTCGGACCGGTCTTTGGCGGGAAGGCTGCCATCCGTAAAAGTTCGTTTACGCGAGTTCATGCCAGGAGGTGGCCCAATTGAGATGTTGGGGTAGGGCTGTTGAGCGGCAGCAGGCAGAGCAGGCGAGGGAGTCGAGACTTTCTGCGGGCTGGAGAAAACGTGATGCGTCTTTGACACATCGTACTTCCTTAGACTGCCAGGCGCACCAGAATGGTCAAGCTCCCAGCCGAGGTTGAATTTGGCCGTTTCCAGATCGATGGAAGACTCCCGTTGAAGGTCAAATTCAGCGTCATTAGAGCGGTTTTTAGAAGACTCTTCGCGATACTTTCCGAGTAAGAAGTAGAAAGCCTTCGCATACACCCCTTGGCTGGCAGGCCCACAGAGATCGCGCTTGATAGATTCTCCTTGAGGATCCGCGTGACGTCCCCAGATGATACGAAGAGACGAGAATAGCTCTGAATCAATCAAGTCAAGAGAAGCAATAGGACGAGCGAGGATACTCGGGGAAGGAGGGAGTGGAGGTGCCAGTATTGTAAACTTAGAGCCATCCGACGCCGAAAAAGGGATAGCGGGGTGTGATATGAGCCAAGGGTGCGAAAGAATTTCTGGAATCTGAGGAATATAGACTTTAGTCAGTCATATGCGTTGTTCCCGCCATTCACATACCGTGATACGTTGCTTAACGTCAACGATAAGCATCTTGCTCAGGAGATCTTTCGCAAGGGGATCTATCCAAGCGGGCATGTCGTATTTCCCACTCTTGACCTTGGTGAGAAGAGTTCTGACGTTCTTGTCGTCAAAAGGCAGGCGTCCAGTGAGAAGAGCATAGAGTATGACGCCACAGCTCCAGATATCAGTAGCGTTCCCTTGGTACTTCTCGCCGTTGACGATTTCTGGACTGGCGTAATGAGGCGATCCACAACTAGTTTCGAGCTGAAGCGTAGGAGGAGCAAAGGCGGCCATTCCCCAATCAGCGATTTTGATTTGAGGAGGTGAGAGGGATGCTATGAGAATATTTTCTGGCTTGAGGTCACGATGGATGATAGAGAAGGTATGAGCGTAATTGAGGCCGTAGATGATTTGTCTGAAGTAGATGAGAGCCTCGCTTGGGGGAAGTCGGCCCTTGTTGACCAAGAAATCGAACAGTTCGCCACCCTCCACGTATTCGAGGACCAGAAATAGCTCCTTGTCACCCTCATAGACGTCGTAGATGCGCATGATGTTCGGGTGGTTCATAAGCTTCATCATGGTGATTTCGCGGTCGATACCGAGACGTTGTTTTTCTGATTTTGCCTGCTGAGTCGCCAGAGAAGCGCGAGAATTGACAAGAGGGGCAACAGGCAAAATCTTGACGGCGGCGAGCTGACCAGTGCGGCGGTGTTTCGCGATCTTGACCCGCCCTGACGCGCCTTTTCCAATGCACTCCCCGAGGATCCATGGTCCGATGGCCTTGGGGTCAGTGGGAAGGTCGAACGCGGTTGCACCGCCAGCCGCCGCCTTTTCCTTCGCCCAACGAGTGCCTAGAGGGGCGTTGTACTTGACCGGAGGAGCGCGGGGCGGGCTGTCGGAAACGGACTGCATTATTAGACAGGAATATAGTAGGATTAGGATGTTGTGTGGATGTGCACGGCCAGCGGGCGTTGTGGTAGATAAATTCCAAGGTTGAACGATGTTTTGGTCCGCCTATGAGACTGTGACCGTGACACACTTACATAACGGGACCTGTGGCTGACGGGCGTGACAAAATATTTCATGGTCAACACCGTCGCCGTCATCGTCCGGCACGACGTCGGGACTCTGAATGCTCCTAGCATCATGTGCCCCCCTCCGCTCGTCTCTCAGCATATCTCGTAATGTCTTGCGCATACATGGTACCCGCCAGGGTACAACGCTGTCGTTCCGTCACGCTCATTCTATCGGCGAATCCTCAAGGCCAATTCCTCAGCAGACGACGCCAACCACATCGGATAATGCCTTGGAATCGCCTGTGGAATTTTCACTGGAGTTTCCAATTGACGTACTCAACTCCCAAACCGCGTTTCGCAACCTGACGCGACTCATAGAGGAGGGAAAACAGGATCAAGCTGCGACAGCTATGACCAATTTTCTCGCATCGAACCCCTCCGATGACGCGTTTCACCGACTCAAGACAGTTCTGGCAGAAGCTCCAGAAGCCAATATTCCTCTCATTTTGCAGTTGGGGTCGGGCTACGCTGCCATGGGCCACGCGCAGCTTGTGAAGGAGGAACTTGTGCCGTTGGTCAGGAACAACGCAGCCATCGAAGTAGCGTCGCGGTTCGAGCAGGAGATCGACACCTCACACCGAAAGCCCGTGGAAGTTTTTGAAGAACCCTCGGATGATTACATGCCCTTCGTATCCGACACCCCTCCATCCGTCGCGGACCTCATTGCCGAACAACTACCCGCCATCCTTCCTGAACCGGTACAAACAGACGACGTCTTCGAAGAGGAAGGGCCGGAATATATCTACCACCCACCGACAACCACCGACGAAGCCCACGCTGCAATGCAATCGACTGGAGTCCTCGTGACGCTCGTCGAAACAGGAAACTACACGCAAGCCTACGCCCTCCTCAAGGAAATCAAGGAGCTCGAGATTCCTATACCCACCTCACATATCTACCAGGAACCAGCGCAGGCCGCCCTAAAAAACGACGACCTCCGCCCTGCACAAAAGCAGGATGTATTCAGCACGTGGTTTTCTCTCGTCCCAGCAGCACACGAAGTCGAACCAGGATACGAGTACGAAGAGACACGCCGGCTCGTTACCCAAGCCGTCGTCACTGACATCCCTCTCATCATCCGGTTCGCTCTTATCATGGCCAGGAAAGGCTACGCTGAAAGAGTGAGCCACCATACGATACCATATATAATTCGTTGGACCGACTGGGAGGTCGGTCAGAAGTTCCTCGACGACTTTAACGCAGCCAACAAAGCGTACGTTGACGAACTGCGGCCCCGTAACGGCGGCTATCTCAAAAGGAAGACGGCAACAAACTCTCGTGGCACAGCTATCCGTGCCCTTGCTTATGCTAATCGACTAGATGAAGCCATTAGACTCCTACCCGACCCAGACAATCCGACATTCCGGTTGACAACGTACACCTATAATGTTATCTTGAACCGCCTCACTAGGACGAAGAAAGATGTTCGTGATGCTTACACCCCCTTGGTCAAGGCTCTGCGGGATGACGATGCAACTGCAATTTATCGGAACTCCCCGGATTTGCGGACTCTGGCCCAGGAGCTCGACCTAGCAGCCGAGGCAAAGACCAGCACTCAAGTAGATTTCGGTGACGATCTCGTGGCGGCTCTGCGCTACCTCAAGAAGAACATCGCCACCTTCGATAAAAGCCAGCTGCCCCATCCCTTTACCCTTGTTAACTTCATGTCCATGTACCTCGCAACTGGACGGACGCGCGCCCTCAAGATGCTACTCGACAAGGCCATCCGGCATAGCTTCATTGCGACGAGCAACTTCGTCTTTGCAGAGATGCTGTTCTACCGACGGATCGGGCAGCCAAACCTCGTCGTTAAGACGTTTGTCGACCACTTCTTCCTGAGCGCCGTACCCCGCGAGGAAGTCGTCAAACGTATCGCTCGTATCGATTCCCAGATCAACAACTACGACCCTACGTCAGGAGAAAGCTCTCCGCTCAAACGTTTTTACCCCTTCAACGAATCGTTCACTCTTCCTCGAGGGAAGATATGGCCGTCTCGGATCCATTGCAACCTCATTTGGGACGCACTGTCCGAGTTGACCACGATCGACAGAGAGCTTGAGGTGTTGTACTACAAACTCGTGCAGTACGTCGCTGATGGGCGCGTGCTCTCGGAGACTGAACCCATCTCTGCGATTGATGAGCTGCCCACACCTGCCGGCTGGACCACCTCCGCGGGCTCAGCAGCTTTCACCCCGTTCATCTACCGTCTGATGTGCCTCCGCGGGCCGCAGTTCGGTGTGCGGATGCTTCGCGAAATGCTGCACCTCGGTATCAAGCCAACCGTGTACCACTACACCGAGCTCGCTGGATACTTTGCGCGCAAGAACGACTCCCGAAAGGCTTTCGCCATCCTCGACGGGATGGCGGCGCAGCAAAAAAACCCGTTCGGTCGCGAAACGTACGAGGTCGAGCAGAGGGGCATCTCGCCGCCCATAAGGGAGTACCATTTACCCCTGCCGACGGTCGTCACGTACGTTTCTTTGATTCGAGGGTTTTTAATTGCGAAGAACCTGGAGGCAGCAGAGGCCGCTTTCCGGAGGTTGAGGAAGGTGCATACCCATGTGCCAGGGGAGAATCGATTGCTGGACCTGGCGCTGGAAGATTTGGAAGCTTTCAGGGAGGACCCTCGTAACTGGGTATGTGGCTGCCCTTCTCTCTTCAGCGACTCTTCATTGATGTTTATCACAGGTCTATCCATGGGACCGAGATCGCCACTAAGTGTCGAATGCACACCTCAGCCGTGCAGCGGTTAGTCCGTTGACAGTATTGAAGTTCTACGTAGGCTGAGACCGTGATGAAGGTTATGTGCCGCCGCAACGTAATTCAATCGCAGTCCTGATGGGAAATGCCTTTCCCATCCAGGATATCAACACCCTACGTTCGAGTCGCTCAGTGCAAGCCCCGTGTGGAAGGGCACGCCAGGAGCAAGAGGCGGTCGATGATTTCCTCAACAGCGATGCGACGACGAACTTGTCGCCGTTGTGCGGGTCGTAAACGAGGGTCAAGAGTGGTGTGACGTAGAGACTGCAGACATGAGGTCCAGCACCAGCATTTTCTTACCTATAGGTATTCATATTGTGCTATATACTCACTTCCCTCTAACCGAACTAGAACATGTATATGCCAACAAGACTTAGAAACCTGCGTCACGATGCAAAGGGTTTACTCTGAACCCCGGTGGTGGCAGAGTAGAGTACTCCGGAAGAGGGTGTTCGATAAATGCAAGAATTCTAGTCATGTGCACCGCATGGAAGTCGGGCTAAAGACCCTGCACATCGACGACTTGGACGATGCGCACCCTCCCAGAGCCCGAGTTCCCCTCCGCCGTCGACAAGACGCTACAAGCCGCCCGTCCTCATCCTGCGGTTGCACCTTCCTATGAATCGATGCTCGGGCTTCCAATTGTGGATTAGAATTCGCCAGCAGAGGCTCTCGAGTCGGCTGCTCAGAGTGACTTGCGTCAGTCGCATGAGGCGGTGGCTCAAGCCCTGAAAGCATGGATGCAGGTGGGCGAGCAGACGCCGCTCCTTGGGGGTTGCTTTGGTTTGGGCAACGATGTGTTGTTTCTATTTCTGTTGGGTCGGGGGGCCCTTGAAGGTGTAATTTTTGTTTGCACCATAGGTATACAGACTAATGTGCTATGTTCAAAAAGCACGGTATAGAATAAATCAGGGCGTCGTCACGGTGCGTATCTCACCATACGTACAGAGATTGTAAGTTCCATAAAAGCTTCCTACAAGACGTCATACATAGTTCACTTCCCCATGAGCTCAGGAGGAGTAGAAGCCCTCAATAAAACTCGGTTTCAGGTAATGTAAGTCAAATCTGTATTATAAGTGGCTCATACAAATTTCTGGTTCTTCTATAGTATTTATCAAACGTAACTAAAAGCAATAAAGGATATAAGAGTTTATGTCTATGGTACATATAAATCGAGTCTAGCATGAAGAAAGAGGAAGCATTAAGCGAGATCTTCTAGAATAAGACCGGCAGCCTGCAACAGCTATCAGACAAGGAGACAGTCAGAAAGCATGGGTCTTACCTTCTCAGCAATAGCGTAAACTGTAGCTTGAATAGGTGCGCCAACGGTCATTGGGATGACACCAGCGTCGACAACGCGCAGGTTCTGTGTTCCATAAACATTGAGGCGGGGGTCAACGACGCCTCCAAGGCTCTGGCTGGCCATGGCCGTTGTGCCAATGGGGTGGTGTGTGGTGACGAGCGATTCCCTGATGTAATTTTGCCAGTCGGCATCGGTCACAACAGAAGAGTCGGGCACGGTTGGGGCGACGATGAAGTCGTTGAGGGGCGATCCCGTCACCCAGGTACGCAAGAAGTGTCCGCCGAGTGTCTGGGCTTCAAGGTCCCATTCCATGCTCATGTACTTGGGGTCGATGAGTGGCATGGTGAGTGGATCCGTGGTGTTGATGTGGACCGAACCTCGAGCAAATTCGTGCTACGCAGAGTCGTCAAAGGATATAAGTGGACAAATGGTAGAGGAACTCACAAGCAGATAGAATGCGACGGTGATATAGCGCTTATCACCTTCGGGGACACTCGTCAAACCTCCTCTGGGAAGCATCACAGGCATGACCCAGCCAACTTTGCCATCGTCAGCCCAGGTCTTCAGCAAGTCGTATTGCGCTTGCTGGAGGGGCGTGAGGGTCATGCTCTCCAGCGCAGCATCAAGTGCGGATCGCATCGCGGAGTACACCTCAGGATCCGAGATGGATTTAAGTGGGAAGGATCCGGATATTTGGGCGGTGTAAGTGAAAGCGCCCGTTCCAGTGGAATTACTGGATATACGTCAGCATGCAAAAATACGAGATACTGGAGGAAGACATACTAGAGAGCCTCTTGTTCGTCGAAGAACGTCTGGTTGTTAGAAATGAGGTCTGATTGAGTTAGTGTTAGGCATATGTCATAGATAGGTATGGTACAGACATACCGAGAGTGAATGTCCCATTCTGGACTTCGTAGCCAGCCGCGGTGGTAGGATGATCAATCATGTTCTCACCAACTTGAGGGAGGTCAAGAACAACGGGAATGTTCAACTGATTAAGGCGGTTCGCGTCGCCGACACCGGACAGTTCGAGGATCTGCGGCGATTTCAAAGAACCTAGAACACCGAGACATTTCCGTAAGAGGATATCACATTTCCAAACAGGGCGAAGACCATACCTGCGCTGAGGATGACCTGCTTCGCAGCGGCGACGCTGTATGTCTGTCCATTGTTGACGAACTGGACACCGATGGCCTTAGGAGTCTTTGACTTCGGGTCCCAAATGATGTTCGTAACCGTTGAGTTGAGAACCACGTTTAAGTTCGGCCGGCTCTGGATACTCGACGTGTAGTAAGCGCTTGCAGCGTAGCTTCGCTTGCCCGTCTGCGGGTCAACAGAGCGCGTGATTCCCGAGCGAGCAAGGAAGGTGCTGTTCCCGCCGTCAGGGTTGTTGTTGAGCGGATACCCAAGGGATACGGTAGCGAGGATGCTAGGGGCGTCGAGAGCCGTCTCGAAAGTGTTGTAACTCGTCGAAACCGGACCACTGAAACCGTGATCTGAAGCAGCGGGGATCTGGGAGGGGTCCGTGCCGTTGAGCAGGGCGTCGTCGCCTGTCCGGGGTGGTGTCCAAGTCTCGGTCCTCTGAAAGTATGGGAGGAGACCTGCGAAGGTCCACCCGTTGCCGTTGCCGAACGAGTTTCCCCATGCGTCGTATTCCTCTTGCTCGCCTCGTTGCCAGGCCATCGCGTTGATCGCTGTCGAACCACCGAGTACTTTGCCGCTGCAAGAATTTAGATCATTCAGCACGCTACATTCTGTCAAATCCGTGGAGCAAAATATACCGGGGGTAGTCCAAGATACGGTTATTCAAAGCCGCTTGGGGCACGGACTGAAACATCCAATCGTACTGCGGGTTGCCGATGGTCGACATGCTCGAGTTGTTTAGTATTATGCTGCCCGAGTTGTAGATGGGCACGTCGATGAGCGGGTCGCCATTGGGGTTGAATGTCCCCGCATCGACGACGCCGACTTTCAGCGAAGGACTCGTCGAGGCAGAGAGACGGTTCGCGAGGACCATGCCAGCCGTGCCGCCTCCGACGATGATGACATCGAATTGGTATTCGGCGAAAGCGGAGGGTGTGACTTCCGTGAAGGCTTCTGCCGATTCGAAGGTGCTCGTGGGGCCTTGCACAAGATGCGAAGCTTGGGCTCGCGCTGCTACTCCACTGGGGATGGAGAAGCTCACACCGAGGGAGATCGCGGTGGTGCACAGCTGAAGAAGGCTACTGGAAGAGTGGCGCATATTGATTATGCGGGAGGCAGAAAGCTAGTGCACTCCCTCGCATTTTCGGTTCTGCTTTTATACGCAGCCTTCCCCCTCCGTAAGAGTCAGGCATCGCTATGTCGGTGTCCACACTCCAGGCGGATACAGCTGAGGCATGAAGCGAGATGATTTTGCAGTTTGGCGGGTTGAATTAGACCGACGCGCATCGCCGGCGTAGCTTAGAATGGAGGATCCACTCCAATCCCGATCCCGGACGTTACTCTGCAGGGTACTCTACTTGGATGGATATAAGCAGAAAATGGAGACCTAGACAGTATTACTCACTGCACGTTAACAGAGCTTGCCGAGTTTCAGCAGCATGTAAAAATAGCAGATAAGCACATTAGCGCTCAGGTACAGCTGCATCATGCACATCGGAGTGCTGCGGGTGCTGAGCCCTGATATTGTCCCCTCGGATTATTCCCAGAGTCGAGGGCCTAGTGTGATTCACCACGGTACCGAATGTGCAGAGAAAAAGAACCCAGGCCTTGAGTTAGTCATAATATCGCTCAACAGACTCGGTCGAACGGTACTTACTGTTGGCCGGCAGTTGTAGATGAGTAAATATACTTACCGCCTTTCAGTTCCATGTGCACAACCACAGCGCCGGGAGGTATACGGAGATTTCACCACCTCCATCATGTAGTATGATCCGCCAGATGGAGTCTCATCCCGCTCCCAGCGAATTTCGAACTTCCGGGGCACTGTGTCAGGATATAGCACGCAGCTGTGTCACCGCTCGTGATGACTTTCTGTATTCGAAACATTTTGGCCGGCAGAGCACAAGTATAGCTTCTATTAAGCTTTGAGCTGGAGCTGGATGGTTTGGAAGGGTCATAGACCGGTCAATATTCAACGATTCGAAGAGGAAACCTATAGGTAGCATTTCCCTCAGCGCTGTCCAATCCGCAAGTTTCAACCAACGTATCATACAATACTGCTAGCTTGCAGTTGAGTTATAGAGGTAGTATATGCTGTGAAATCATTCTGGGAAGGTAAGAGTGAAATTAGAACGTCTTCAAGTGGCGATCATTGGTTGTGGGCAAAAATAAATAGGGGTCGTGGGAGAAACCTGCGAACATGCACAGGCATCCAACGTCGATGTCCAACAACTTCAACCCTCCCGTTTCACGCCTCGAGCCCCAACGGATCCCTAGGGCCCTAATCCTCGTGCACGTTGCCTTTAACCTCAGTTGACTTGGACGAAATTATAGTTTGATTCTATCACACCCCCTAGGGCGTCAAGAGGAAAACGGCAGTTGACGATCAAGACGGAGAAAAAAGCGGAATGCAGACGCGTACGAGGTGCACAGAGCAGTGCTGGTGGTGTCCAGTGCGCTCCGTGACGGGCCTATAAGTAGAAGGTGCGCAGTCGACGTGAAATGTAGAGTGGATTTCCGTAGCTGATCCTTCTTCTGTAGATCTGACTCGTGAGCGCTTGAGCGCTGATACTCTCTCCAACTCGCCCTCTCCGCAGAGGAATCAGGAATTAATTCACGCACAAGTTCGTCCCTAAAACTGGGCGTGTATATGTGCAGGAACTCAGTTGGTGTCGGGCCCTCCTCAGTCTGGGGTGGTCGAGGGCGCCGGCGAGGTGTCGGACAAATGGGGTTGGAAATGAGGTCGTACCACATCCTCAAGCGTTTTATACGCGTCTTCCTTGACCGCCTTCTTCCAATATCCACCTTCGAATGAGGGGATATCATCCGTCTCGCGTTCAAGTTGGACGACAACAATGGAGGCAATCCATGTGGTGCGTTTCAGGTGTAGTTTGGAGACGGTGCTTGAAGAAAGTGAAAGCGAGGTATGCATGCACTACACCACGCACTCCGTTCCTTCCACTTATATCTCTTGGTCCCTGCTTCGTTTTAGTCGACGCTGGACGTCCATCTAGCACCCCGTCGTCCTTTGAGATCATATCGTGGCCGCAAACTTATAGGCCCCACCCTCCGGATTGCCTATAGAGCATCGCGGATAGGAGCAAGCGCGTCCACGATTCTTCCCTCCACTTCGCATCATGGTACTCCCCGAACACCTGCCTTCCAACTTCCGGTCGGTCGACACCGACCAACACTCCAAACGTACGACGCCCAACTCGGCAACGCGCAGGAAATATCATCTAAACGGTCGACGTCCTCGATATGTTCAGGATACACCTCCCTCTTCTCCTGCCAGCTCTTACACCCCTCGTCTTGTCCACAACCCTTACCTCCATCCTCATCTACCTCTCGCATGTCTGCGATACAGACCTTGGAAGACACTAAAGACTTTGACATGAAGAATGAACACCCGGTTACCCTATGGACACTCTTCGTGATCACAGCTCTTGGGTACTTCCTCTTCTTCCTGTTGTTCGTTGTTTGCTTGTTGTGGCTGTTTGGAGGGATGTTGTGTGGGAGGGAGGAGGTGATAGAAGACGAGCAGGATTGAATATTAAGGAATGATGATTGTTGTCGACGATTCACGAGTACTCACGACTCACGACACTACTAACATAATTTGTCCACGAAATGCGCTAGTACTAGAAATAGTTTAAAAATATTTAAATGTAAATTCGACGCTGCACTAGATTTAAGCGCTGAAAACCGTTCGAACCCATTCGACTCTACGTTCAGTTCCAACATGAAGGGAAGTTCTTACGTCTCCTTAAACCGGGCTGAACCGAACTTTGACAGTACTCATCACTCCCTCTACCCAGGAAATACTGAGTCTGACCAGTGCGCTCTGTGATGGACGAGATCCCCATACCGCCCCTCCGTCACTCCATCCACGTTCTCCATCGACCTCCTCCATCCTGTTCTCCGACAACCGTCCAGCCCGCCCTCCATCGACCTCCATATGTCGACCTCCATATGTCGACCTCCATATGTCGACCTCCATCACCTTTATCCAGCCCAGCTCTCCGACCTCTGGCTGCTGGTTAACATAGGCATTTCAATATCATTGCCACAAATCTCAATCTATTTCTACGATAAATTCTACCGCAAATAGAGACGTTCTGAAGGCTGAGGCGCACGACTCACGAGCGGTCCCGAGTTGTTCGCTGTTCATGGAGAATGTGTACGTCAGGGCATCCAGCCTGGCCTTCAAGTTACAGCTCGGTATAGGCGCCGATGGATGCTCGCTTCTTCTATCTCCCCGTATGACATAATGTTGCTCCCGGCTTCGTCATTTAAGACCTCGGCTTGTGGTCGGCATCTGCATTTGCAATGCAGAATCTAGGGTTATATTCGGAAGAGGGACCCCTACCCCCCCCCTGCAGTTAAAGGCTTCGGAGCTCGACACTCTTTCCGGGGTCCTCATAAATTGATGGAAACTACCTTACATGGCTCGCTTAATCATCAATCTCGATATTTCCGTATTTCTAAATGCTGCAAGAATTCACTGATCAATGCAGGATGAAAATACCAGTGGGACCCCTAGTATTAGTAAAACCCCAAAATCAGAATGAGCTTCTAGGGAGGTTGCCAAAATCGGCAACCCGATACCCATAAATTACAAGTAGCTATAATCTGGGTCATAAAAACTCGAATCGTCGAGAAACAGAGATCTAAATAATGTTTCTCATCAGAATCTGCAACAACGTGGAGACGAGAGACTATCACCTCTAAGCTTCTGCAGTGAGGGAAGTCTTCTTCCTTGAAGTTTTCAGAAAATCTTCCTGGCGTTAAACCCACATTCCTGTACTTATAAATCACGTCGAAACGATCCAAATGTGGAAGCAGGGTCTGTGCGGAGAACAACGCGTCATCGAAGGTGCGCCAGTCGTGGATTCTCACTTCGGCTTCATGCATCATGAGGTAGCGATTCTCGGCATGAAAGATGAGGGTAATGCTGCGGACTTGGGAGTCGACTGGAAGGGATCGAACTATCTGAATCGCTTGGTTACACCTTTCTTCATGGCTTGCGTTCGAGTAATATGCGAGCGATAGGTCGAGTCTAAGCGCCGCAAGCCTCTCGAGCGGTAGGAGGTTGGGCAACTCGGCGCCGGCCGCTAGTTGACCGGGGGTCAACTGTAAGTCTGGACTTTTGAGTAAGGGTTGAGGTTGCACTCACCTATGTTCGAGTTATACCCCAGCGTGAGATTCACCAGCGCAGGCGCACAGAATCGAAGCAACCTGGATATCGGATTAGCTCCGGTCGAGTCGGTGGGGTCACGGAGACTTAGAGATTTAAGCTCTCCTAGTTCCAAGGTGCTGTCAGGGTGGTCCAGACAATAGTTCACGAACCGCTCTGGACAGCGGCCTGTCGCAAAGTAGTACATCAACGACTCCACCACACATTTCCTTCTCGGGTTCGGGTCGAAGGAAGATGACTCTTGGTTGAGAAAGGTAAGTGGTTCTCGCGTGACCAGGACCGACCGCAACTCCAACCTTCGAATGTGAGATGCGGCGCTGACGAAGGCGAGGTCGAAATTCCGCAAAGCCTTGACGGTGACGCGCTCGAATGTCGCTACGTGCTGGAATGCAGCTAGTAGAGCGGCCTTGGGCCCATTCGATACGGCGTGATCTTCCTTCCAGTCTACCGCGCCATCGGGGGACAGGGATAAAAGGTGGATGGTGTGGATGTTTGGGAGATTGGGTAGGAGCTGTGTGATGAGGGGCATGGCGCCGTCTGGGTACCTCGTTATGGCTGTAGGGTCATCAGGAGGTCCGAGAAAGACCCAGAACTGGCGAATGTAGGCGGCGACATGGGGAGAGGCTCGTACGAGGTCCGCCAGTCGTCTGACGTTCAAAATGGTCCTCACCTCAGTCTCATCTCTCGGATCCCAATGTGCAAACAGCAGGGCTTGGCTCCGGGGCGAAAAGCGACGGCACACTTGGGAGCATGCGTTGAGTGCCTTCTTGTCGTCGGCCAAGTGCTCGATGGCGAGCTCCCATATTTCTTGAGGTGCTCGAGCGGATCCAAGGCGGTTAGAAGTTGCTGTCGAAATTGTGAGGCTGTCTGCCATCTGGTCTTCAGGATGGCGATGAAATCGGTGAAGGATTCGGGATGGAGAGTTGAAGGATTCGAGACGGAGAGTCGAGGTCTTACCAAACGACGCCTGAGATAATATACCATTCGGGGCAGGAAAGGCAAATAACAGAGCCATCTCCTCGAAGATATCTCTGCATTCAGAGCAACCTTCGTTTGTTTATTTGGTAGGCCCAATCGATACCTCCTGATGCAGTCGATGCTTAAAGCCTTTAATCCTTGAGGAGGATAGTAACTCGGCCCATGATGCTGCCTTGCACGAGAATTCTCATGGTCGACGATAGTCGCATTTTGGATGGCTGCATGTGACGAAATAGTGCAGGGCAATCTTGCGCCATTCGAGGTTTAAAGTAATCCATAACCTCGATACAATGATAGCATTAGTTTCGAGGAACGGAGTCCTGCAGCCGTAACAAATGTACGCCTGTACGGAGAAAATGAGCCTGAGACGTCAGAAATTCACGGACCTCGTACCTTCAATCGTAGGGCTAAAACACCATTTTTAGGAATCTCCATCGCCGACGGGTTCAGGCCATTGCTTCCATACAAAAAGGTAAAAGAATTCGGGCATAATCCAAGGCTTTTTCCTGGTCCCGAAAAACCTGCCTTGGGTCCGTGCGCTAACCCGGATCGAGGTTCTGCCCAACCTGGACAATTTTTTCCCCGACGTCCGTGCTAGATCCCGGACAGGACGGGCGAAAACTTGGGGGTCGCGTTCCGGACAAATTTTGGCGTGGGTCGCTAACCGAAGAACTTTTGGAGGTCTTGAACTGCCAGAAACACGTAGATTTGATCATCAAAATCAACTATCTGTACTAATCTCAGCGATTTTGGGCTTTTTGGACATGGGAGAACCCGGATAAAAACCGAGATTGTGGCACCCACCTCTGTAAGATCCTGCCTTGGATCGCCATCAAAATTTGTGTATGACCGCGATAACTTGAACGAATCCATGTTTACATGGGTAGTACGCCCAATCGAACAAGAATCGCAATTTGAGGGTAAAGACGTTCGTGAGTAACTCCAGAGTTGGTTGATGAGTGAGGTTAGCTGCTGGAAGCCTTCTGTAAAGCAGGAAGAGATATCGAGGTCGACAACAAAAATCCAGGCTTTCTTCTGACAATTTAGAACCTGAATATCCAGACATGTGGTTTGGAAAGTGCGGAAGAGAAAGGCAGGGAGCGCAGAGATTCAGGATGGTGCCCACAGACGGGCATTCGGAAACAGCTCCGAACTAGCTTGAGGCCCGAGGACATATCCTCGCGTTGAACATCTCAACGCCCGCGAAAAATCAGGGACAGCGCAGAAGGGATTGGGGGAGGTCGTGGTTGAAGAGAGAAGGTGCGCAGTGTGCGCTTCTGATAACTGCCGGAAATGGATGTTCAACGTCAACCACAACATGATCTCACATTGGCCAGAGCACCGGGATCCCTTCCGGCCATATGTCGCATGCTGTTCGAACCTGTGCAGGGGATGCATTGGGCTTATACTCAGGCCCACGCACCTCGCATTCGCTCTGGATTCAAGGCAAGACCGAAATGGACATGGCGCAAAACTGCATGATGGGTGCCGGTGGGGCTGCATTCGTCATCGTCTGCACCAATCGTATCTGAACGTCTGGCTAGCTCTACCACGATATCAAGATGACGTGTCTTGTCATCCTCACCTGACCATCGATGTTCTCCCCCAGCAGAAAGGCCTCGTCACCCAGGAAAAGTTCGTGATTCCGTGTTGGCAGAAACAGAGCGATACAAACCTGGCGTCGGTTCTTATCAAGATACAAAAGGTAGCGCTCAATCCAGCAGATTGGAAGATCCAGAGATGAGGATTAGGCGATGAATTCCCTATGATCCTCGGAATAGACCTTGCCGGCGACGTGGAGGAAGTTGGCGAGGATATCGTCGAACTGAAGGAAGGAGGTCAAGTGTGAGTGGATCCTCCTCCCTGGAAGTGTAGAGTCAATAATATTGCGTGAATACAGTTTCTGTCAGAGTCAATGGGACAGGAAAACCGCTGGTTTTCAGCAGTATGCGCTCGGTCTGGCCGCGACAACAGGTGAGTCAGGACGTCAAATATCGGCTTTGCTTGCTCATCTTTCTCAGGATCCCAGCCAATCTCTCGTACGACGAGGCAGCGACTCGACCTATGGCGCTTTCGACGGCCTTTGTTGGTCTTTTCAACCAGAATCTACATGGGGCCGGTTTGTCCGCACCAATTACCCAAGCTGAAGAAGGCGAATACGGCGGCGGACCTCTCGTCGTCCTCGGCGGAGCCAGCTCTGTCGGCCAATCGACGATCCAGCCTGCCAAATTCGTGGGGTTCTCGCCTATCGTCGTCACAGCAGCTCTAAAGCATAGGGACTTCCTGCAGTCGCGGAGCGACTAGCATGCTCGATTGGTTCCTCCCACTTGACGCGCTCAAGGGGGTCAATAAGGCTGCCGCCGGCAAGTCAATCAAGATCGTCTATGATGCGATTTCTCTCGAGGTTACCCAGCAGGCGGGCGTGGCCTTGCTCGCCCCGGAAGGCCAGCTGATCATCGACCTTCCCCCAGCGGTGAAGGCTGAGGGCGACAAGACAATCGTGAAGGTGCTCTCTGGACTCAGGATGCCGCACAACCGAATGCTCCTAGAGACCTTGTACCACGACAAGATCACAGCTTTCCTGGAAAGAGGCGTCATCAAGGTGTGTCTTGCTTACACACTTTCGCAACAACTCGGAGTTGTTATTCGTGCCCCCTAGCCCAACAGATTTGAAGTTCTACCGAATGGTCTCGCTGGAATTCCGGATAGTTTGAAGAGGATCAGATATCAAGCTTGAAGTTGCCCACCCACAAGAGACTCCTTGAATTCTATATTGGTGTGTACTTAATCTTTTGAGTTATTTACGTGGCATTCGTTTCTTGCTTTCCGGTTGAAATCAAAAGGCTGCAAATTGTGGATTTTTAAGGTGTGAATCAATCGTGCTAATACTTGCCTTTCTCATGCGAATAGTGCTCATTAACATTACGGCGAACTCGAGAGCGGTGATGCCCCAAGCTATGAGTCGGAAGGTCAAAGAAGGCTGTTGGTACTACGTTATCCAAGAACGAGATGAAATAGTCTTACTAGCCCACCTCTCTTGTCCTGAAAGGGTCTCGCTAGCGCCGAATGACTTCGCACACCTAAGTAGTTCGCAGATCATAGAAACAGGAGATATCCTTTGTCATCCACCTCGATCACCTCGAGGAAAGAGGGCCGCGTAGCAGAAACGTAAGCAGGAGATCGTGACCGATTGTCTAGCCAATCGGGCTACTTACCTGATCCCGGACCGCTCATGCCGAAGATAAGTCCCACGCTTACACTCGCCCTTGCAGCCACCTCCCTCGATGCCCAGCTCTCCGTCCCGCATAGAGATATACCTATGCAATCTATTTCCCCATGTACCCATCGCTTCGTAGTACTCTATACAAGAGACAGCTTGGTTCCAGAGGCCCACGTGCAGTTTTTGGGGCTCCCTCAAGTGAAGAGACCCAGAAACTGACAATGCCTCCTCTGTCTTGTGTGCTGAAGGTCCGACTTACGCCAAAACGGTGTTTAACACATTCTCTTCTGCATATATTGATATAGAAATAATTTTGAACCTTGGTGGTCCATCCCTCGACTCCTGGATGGCCGGTCATAGATACTTACCGTGGCTCATGGGCGCTTAATCTGTTCACTGGCGTAAAATGACTCTATATTTATGTCATATTAGTGACAATATTCCAGTGACAACGTCAATTTCTCCCTGTATCTCTAATTCATCAAGCTGGAACCACTTGCAATAGTGGTTGCACTCATGATCTGTAGGGCTATGGCATGATATGAATCGGCCTCTCGATGTGTGAGTCACTTCCTGGTTGTGTTGGCATCTCATCATTCACCTCGTAAACATCTAGACTTGTTTTCCTCTGGGTTTTAATCCCTTGGCTTCAGGTCCTTAATGCCTGGGCTGACCGCGTGAATAACTCCCGAAAACGAGCGGATCGTAACAAGATCCTTCCTCAAATGAGCAGGATGATTGGTAGAGCACCCAGACGTTTCTATGCAATATTTCCATCAGGGACACTTTTTTTTACATTCCCATGCATTTTATTCATTTATCTGTGCTCTTCTTTACGCCCCCGTGTGACTGGATTCTCCATCGGAAGACAGGTGCTAGCTCGGTGCGCATGCTCAGCGCCGGCTACCTACCACCCAGAGCCCGAGGGATGAGCCACTAAGGTATAAAAAGTACCAAAAAGTGTATATCTTGTTATTGTCGTCTCAATGGCTTATTTTGGTGTACGTCAGGCTCTTGGAACACAAAGGGGAGCAGCTGCTATCATTCTCCTGTCTTGTCACTTGAGGGAAGTGCCAAAACTGCGTCGCATGATACAGACGCAGACTATTTATTTAAACGAGTACTATATAATAGTGGGTCCATGGGAAAATAGGTTGTATACGTATATCTACGAGGGATGGAGTGCTGGGCGTCGAGGGAGGTGGCTGCAAGGGCGAGGGTAAGCGTGGGACTTATCCTCGGCGAGCGGTCCGGGGTCAACTAGCCAATCGGTCGCTGCCCTCTTTCGTCGTTCCCGCTCTCCTTGAGGTGTCGAGGTCCCGCCGCCCTCATCACCCTTTCGCCTGCCGCTGGTAATATAATCCCGCCATCAGTTTGGCACTCACTTACTTGCCAGTCCGGGTTTCCATATCAGAGAGGCTCGCTGTTTAAGAGCGTCTAAGGAAACAATTTATACAGGCATCGTGGAGCTGAAGAACAGAGGAACGAAGGCTGTCGAAAACAAAAGAACGAGAACAGGGGGCAATAATGGACATGGAGGTAGCGCCAGGGCAAGGAATTAATACCGACAATATCAAGAGGAAAAAGACAAGTACATCCAATGAACCGCATACTTTACGAAGACTTGATAATACATGAAACACCACAGGACACTCGCATACATACGCTTTCTGCCGATAAGCAACTACTACGACCATAATTTCGGATCGTGTCTAAGGGGTTAGAATGGAGTGCAATAATAACAAGGCTACTTTGCCCGTTAATACTAGCCTTCCGTTGTTTTTTAAGAAAAGAGTTCAAATGGTGCACTACGGAGATAAAACAATAAGAATCAGCCAATATGTTTGGCAAGATGCGTAACGATGCTGAACGCGCGACGAACGGCAGGCCGAGAGCCCATCTTGGAGTGGAGAGAAAAGAAGTACGAAGTCTGCACAACTCATTAGTCAGTGCATGATGCAAAGTTCAATGTTCAGAATCCGTCCTTCGTCACGACCACATAGTCTCGCAGACAAAGGATCTCGGTGAAGGGGATGTGTATCTGAAAGCCCACCTTGACCGACGACCATCGGACCACGACATCTTGGATACGCTCACGCAGCGCTTGCTGGCAACCTGTGCAGTCGACCTGGTGCATGAGCGGGTTGAGAACAGCCAGTATCGAGGGAGTTGAGAGATCTGAGGGTTATTAAAAGGACCAAAACAACAATCGACATTGGCAAATACCTGGTCTGGCATCCCACACGAGGGAGGCACTGGCAATCGCCCACGCCCGAGTCAGCTTGTTCTGCTGGACGATGCTGCACTCTTCTGCCGGCGCGTGCAATTCGGGAGGCTGCAGGAGGATGTTCTTCAGCTCCGTCACACGACCGAAGTGAAGCATCGCCAGCCGTTTAAGGTATATGGCGCCGATACGCCTGACCTGTTCGTCTGTGACGTTCTGAAGCCGATGTGAGAGTAGATGCGAGGAAGTCTTCACCGCGAGAGAATCCAAGCCGTGGCTTGCGGCGAGTGAATAGAGTTCGAAGGGGTGGTAGGGAACGTGGGAGAGAAGCAGGATATGAAGGCTTGATGAAGGCACGATATGCTCTTTCGGTGTTATCGAATAACTTGGCATGCGGTCTATGGCGTTGATTAGGGTTTCCAGCGAGGGTGAGTTGATCGCACAAGAAGAGCCATAGAGCATGTGGAAGACGACATTAAGCTCTTGGGAAGGTCCATCGAGATCTATGGGCTCCAGGCGAAATTTCGGATCATTCAGGCTCCCACCGATGTACGTGTTAAAGGCGTTGGGGCAGGCGGAGAGTATGGTCGACGAGCTGATGTAGAAGAACACGGCATCTGATGAACGGAAGACGGTATCGCAGGGAGGGAGGTGAGGATGCGCTTGAGGATGGAAGGCAGTCGAAATGGCCAGTTGAACATTGTCGTATTCTGGCTCAGGTGGGGGGAAAAGTGACCCGCTTGACGAAGACGACATGCCGCTGTAGGTAGAGATACCGGTGGGAGGCCACAGACACGAATTGAGATCCGGCGCCATCGGCGCCACTTGTCCTGGAGTTGCTGGAGAGGTATTCTGTAGTGGGGTAAGGTCACGAAACATAAGTCAAGTATATGTAGTAGACCGCTCACCATGAGGGATATCGTTTGATAAGGCTCATAATAAGAGTCGCCATACGGAGGATACAGATCTGCCTGCGGGTCATAATAGGAGTAGTGGGCGATTGAACTGCCAGACGTCGAGGGATCTGGTTGCGGGGTGTCGTCGTCGGTGTATCCCATCCATACCTGATGCTGAGATTGAGCGGAATGTTGGGGATTCATCGTGGTCGCTGGCCTGAAGATGACAGTGAAACTGCAGATAGTGCGGTCACTCTTATACTAAGCTCCACAAAACTGAATGGGGTAGATTATTGCAATGGATCGCCTTCTCTGTCTGCCCCGGTGCCCATCTTCGGTAAACCTCCCACGAAATTTGTCTGTAGCCTTTCTCGAGGTGTGTCGAGATGCGTCTTTGCGGCAACGGCGTGGGACTCGGCCATACATGGATCCGGGGAACGACACGACGGCGCTCCTCGACAAATCTTAGCGACTGGTAGTCGTCGTCGTCCATCGGTCCTCAGACCTAAATGACCACCGACCCACTCCCAACGACCCACTCAGCCCTCGTGTCGTCGACGTAAGGTCCTGCTTGCTTCTCAGTTCGACCATGCGCGAGTTTCCTGGATTGGGAGGGGGGCAGGCGCGAGAGGATGTCGGCGTCGAACACCACGGGGTCGACATGGGTGCGAGTATAGGAGAGAGGGAGGTGGTAGTAGTGGTAAGTAGGATGGATGGGGTGAACCGACAGGGCTCGACGTCGGGGGTGGATGATTTGACGAAGATTTGCCTGAAAAGAGCGGGAAAAGGGACATTAGAAGCTGTAGAAGTCCGGGATGGAGATGGGGAGCAGGTGAAGGGGGAGAGGGCGAAAGTGAAGAACGGAGAGCGCATGTACGAGGCCAGAAAAGTAGAATACTCACTCGCCGCACGCCCCGATCCGGACCCGGCCTGTGCCGTCGTTTGTCCAGGAGGAGTGGCGCCACCATCACTTGATGACGTCAGCTCTGACGAAGTGATGACGCAGTGATGACGCAGGGGAGAGACCCTCACTTGGCTAGTCGTTGCGGTAGCATGGCATTCGAAGGATCTTCATGCTGGCAGCAGCCTACACTTCCTCGTACAAGACCACTCGAGCGGCAGCTCAAAGTAGGCAGGGAGGAAGACGACATAGGAATCTGGTCCGTGAAGGGCAGAACCTTGCCATTACTTGCGATGACGATGAGGGGGTTTGGGCTTCGAAGCACTGCAGCCTGTAGGTGAGCTAGGCAAGTTTTGGATTTAGGAGAAGGGGAGGCGGAGAGAGGATAAGCACTGACGAGGGATATCTTGAGCTCGGGGTCGCGTAGCGTAGCGTACATGATTTCAAGGAGGTGTCGTAGATGGAGGCGAACAGGATGGAGGGGCTCTTAGCTGGACAGAAAAGAAAGCCGTCGAAGTGTGAAACGGGGTCTATGCAGCAAAAAAATAAATAACAAGAGACGCACATTTGTCCTTGTTCGACAATAACACGGACATATACCAACCAGATACTTTTTTCTCGACCACCTCCTCACCCATAGGATCTCCTCACACCATTCGGCCGCGGTGGGTGGCCCCGTTCGCATCCCATGAGTTGTTGACGAGATTTGAGACCTTTTGGGCGGTAATTGACGCGTTTAGTTCGAAGAAGTTGGCGTCGGGTGTGTTGGGCGCGGGTGGCGCTGACTTTGGTACGGGCTCGATGCGGACGTGTTGAGAGAGAAAGCCATCGAGAATGACGTCGACGATGAGCATCAACTTGATGGCGGCACGTGACTGGCTACTGCCCGGGTTCGTTCGGATTCCGGAATACATTACACTGCCTGCGACGCCATCCTACTCGACGCGTTTCCGAGCCCGCGTTTCCGAGAGCGCATCTGGCCCACTCCAATGGGATGAAATATTACCTGGGGAGATGGAAACTGCATGCTGCTAGCAGCAAACACTCTCTTCAAGGTGCGTACCACCATGTTGCTATCATGCCGCTTATACTTACATTCGACCGTGGACTATGGATCCAAAGGTTTTACTCTCCGGGGCATCCGATACGCCTGCTTTTTGAGCCATGTTTGGACGCAGGGACGGTCCCCAGCTTTTCAGACAAAAGTCCACTCGAGTTCAACGATTTTGCCGATGATAATGCGGTCTGCTTGCATTGTAAGTCCAACAAGTTGAGATATCTTCTGCAGTTAATGCAACTGCGGTGTCTTTATTGATAAAGCACTGCCGCCCGCAAGCTAGCCACTAGATGGCGCAGCACGGGGTCATCGAATTCCTCTCACAGTCCGCATGCAATGGGCGATGAGCAAATGTATGCGTCTTTGGATGACGTCATACTCGGCACGACGGGGTGGTCTACTACTTAAAGATTCAATATTCAATATTCATCCCTCACTACTGTCTCGAGTTTCGCGGCAGAAACTCTCATTGCACCAGCTCGAAGAGCCATCCAATCTGCGGATAAAGTACTCTATCAACCAAGAAATCTCACAACCAACAAGTGAGTTTCCGTCTCTTGTCCTCGTCGACCGGTTCACCAGTCATGCGCCACAGTCTTCTATAATGGTCGAAGCGTAGCTCGGTGAACCAGCTCTCCGTGCAGGCTCCCATCCTTGTTTCGCTGGACACGACGGTTAGTATGGCACGTGCGTGGCTTCCACATGCTTGTCTCGTCGCGTCTTAATCTTGTCGACGCAGGCTCCGATACCCTTCTTTCATTTCCGTTCCCTCTTCCGTCTTTGTTATACCGGTTCCTTACTTTCTTATATAGACCCCGACTTCGGTTCTCCCCACCCCTCTCGAAATTTTGCAGGTATGTCTTCTCTTCCGCCTTGTGTGCTCTTGCTAATTTCGCGCAGAGCTTTCTGACCATTCAGCTGCCTTCACCTCGAATATAATCGCCGCAGACAGAGACATCTCTGCCAGTTATATAGACATCTCCGATTACATGCCTGGTGATGATAGCAACGGCCAAATGGCAGATCGTCCGATATCAGACCTCGTTAACCCTTCGCCTCACCGTCGACACTCTCACATGCAGCCGACACATCCTCGGCACCATCCCTCCCAGTCATCGGGTCATGGCCGCTTCCTTTCTTCCCCGATTTCTTCCTCTCAAAATGTTCACCAACATCCTCCCGCCGGACTTCAAGGACCATCACTCAGCTACGCCTCTGTGCCGGTGCCATATGCTCAAAGGCCCAGCTACGGGGGACAGTACGCGACATTCCACCACCCTGCTCCAAAGACAACGGCACCGTACGCGTTTCCCCACACCTATCACTTTCCGGCGGTGCCAGAGAGCAGCGCGGAATTGCAGAGCGCACACACCAACTATCAGTTACAACACCACGCACCGATTTATTCGTACCAATCCCCGTCGCCGGAAGGAGGCTCGTCATCGCATCCTACGTTCTCCTTGTATCCCCTTTATCAATCCAGCTCGTCCACGGCCCCGACATCACCCCACATGGCCTCAACCTCGAGCCAGAGCAGCCCTGTCTCGACGTCGTTCGTTGGACCAGGCCTCCCATCCATACACTACCCCTCGCTCATGTCGCCGACACCATACCTATACCCCACCCAGTCGTATCAAGCTTCACCTATGTACCAATCCCAATATCATCCTCCCTACGGTCAACACAGCCCGGCAGCTGTTGGGGCCGAGCCTCAAGGAACATGGCACTACATACCCCATTCCAACCCTACGTCCTCGCCGGATGGTGTACAACCATACTACTCTCCAGTCGATGGCTCCTATTTTCCGGGTCCCTCTCTGTCGACTGCCAGCCCGTCCGCTCATGCAGACTTCGCCTCGCCCAGTAGCCAGCGCCTTTCCCAGCACGCAATGGAATGACATGCGGCTTTGGACTCCCCGCGCGCCTCTAGGACAGGGCTTGCCGCTCCTGTCGCAGACAGTGCATCTTCCAGCAGCACTAGACCACCACCAATCGCCGACAAACCCATGGTTCGACGGTCATACCATCCGAAGCCACCTGCGCACCGCTCGGAATGGGTGATGTGGGTGGGGAACGTGGCCTCGGACGCGACGCACGACGAGCTCTTGTGGTTTTTTAACCGGGCGTCGGACGGGCATGTAGTCAGTGGCGGTGGCGACCACCGGTCTCGGGCGGAGAACGCGAGCTCGAGTTCGACTGCTGTCAAGTCGATCTTTCTAATCTCGCACTCGAGCTGTGCATTTGTCAACTACGAGAGCGAGCAGTCCCTGCAGGAGGCGATTGAGAGGTTCAACGGGGTACCGCTACGCGCCAATGACCCACGGCGTGCGCGCTTAGTGTGCCGGGTGCGGAAGAAGAATGACGATCTGAAGGCGGGGGTGGGTGGGCAGAGGGGAACGGGAATGCACAGCAGATACGTAAAGGAGCAAAAGGGCAAGGGAAGGGAATCGCCTACGAAGATCGCGAGCCGCTTAGCTGCGGCTATCTCGACCGTGTCAATATCTAACGACGAGGGCGAACCCGGACCGGGGGACAACCTAAAGCGCCCGAGCAGCTCAGAGTCGTCTGCATCCACGAGCTCCAGTGTTCTTACGCGCCACTTCCCCAGACGTTATTTCATCCTCAAGTCTTTGACGAAGGTGCGACACTTTTCTGGCTGCCGACGGGAGTCTCCGAATCTGATCGTCTTTCTTACAGTCTGACTTGGATCTCAGCGTCCGGACGGGGTTGTGGGCGACTCAGAAGCACAATGAGGAGGTTTTGGATCGGGCTTTCCGGACAAGCAAGGAAGTGTATCTAATTTTTGGGGTCAACAAGAGTGGTGAATTTTATGGGTACGCGAAGTACGTCATTAGTCTGGCTCGTTTTCTTTCCTTGTTTATTGACATCTCATAGGATGGCTGGCCCCGTTCGACAAGGCGAACAAGGCGTCTCATGGGCACCGCATTCGTCGCGGTCCCGGCTTTCTACCCGCCCCGTGGCGCCTACGAGTACACCCGCAGAGCCATCCTTCTCGCCATTGCCTGTGGATAGGGCTTCGCCAACACTACGAATGGCCGTGTCTCGTGAGCACACCTTTGCACCTGCTCTCCTGGGCGAAGGCTATAAACTGCCCGCTATCGAGACACCGAAGACAAGGCACAGTCTTGACGACCGTTTACAGGTGGATATGGCCACGAGGCGCGATGAGTCTTCCCCAGAGTCCGAGCTGGATGCTAGCGCAGCACCGAAGACGCTGCGTTCAGTCGAAGAGCCGGAGGCGACGGAAGATTCCTGGGGAAACAGCTTCGCAGTTGAGTGGATACGCCAGGAAAGGCTACCGTTCCCGCGAACAATGCATCTCCGGAACCCGTGGAACCATGAACGAGAGGTCAGGGTGTCTCGAGATGGGACGGAGCTGGAACCGACTGTTGGACAGCGCCTGACAGAGGAGTGGGATGCACTTCAGAACGAAGCTTTTGAATGACAGGTCATTATTTTTGTACTGATGTTTGTCGATTACATTGCCGTTTTCCCTTGAGGGAGAGCTTAAGCCATCGATGCATACTGAGTCTGAACCACCAATCTCACTTCATAACTCTGTTGCTGTGTCAATGCATTCTGTATTTCATGCGATTGCCTCTGAATCTGACACCACCATCAAAAAAAGTGGACGTTCGTGCGCCGCACAGTGGCCATAATTCGCGATAATTCCCCCGAAGATATTGAAGAATTTGATGCTCGCGAGCCTGAGGTCGGGGATGGCAGACGTCCCAGTGAGCCTTGCGGTGGTTATTCTGCTCTCAATAAGTCTCATTCCAACCCCGGAATGCCGCAAGTTTGATACGGAAGAGATCGACGGTCGCGCACCACGCGGTCGAAATACCATTTCGGAGAATAGGTAGGTGTCGAGTGTTGGGACGTAGTAAAAAGGACGTCGGAACTTGGGGTGCTAGACACTGTGGGAAGCGTTGGCGGTTTTTAAAACTGCATCGGCCGAAACTGCCCAGGAATGGCGGTTCCTTTAACCGTTTGAGGAAATGTAAAATTAAATGCGTCTAAAAATAGCGAAATAGCTGCCAATCGGGAGTTAAATTCCCCATCATCATGACGTCGTGACACTTATACACGCGCAGGCCGCGGCCTTTCATGACCACGCCAATCGATCGTGCACAACTTCTCTCGGCAGAAGGACGGTGCCATCACGTGGCTTAGCGCGAGAGCTAAGGCTCCAACCATTACTGTCTGTATACTGTATACTTACAGTAGTACTGTAACTGTAACTGTAACTGGTTAGGGCTTAAGAGAGAAACAGCGGTAGAGAGTATACTTACGGTTTACAGTTTACACATACGGTTCTCTGGAGCTCGAAACCCCGCACCCCTCGGACTAGTTCAATCAAAGCCAAGATGCTTGGCTTTCGGGAAGCAAGCGTGATATCAGGGTGCCGAGCGCAACATCACCTCTAAAGGCTAATGGACAGCCACTCCCCGCACCTCCAGGACGCTCAGACGCTCTCAAATATAACGTATGCGAGCTTTCAAGACACTAGAATGTGGGTCCCCATCTGCAGGACAAGGCACAGTGGACTCCATTGTGCAGGATTCCTGAAAGACTCCTGGTTACCTCCTACCTCGTGGATTGCAATATATTGGTGATCATGCATGCGTGTTCCAGGCTGTAAAATTTTTGTGCCAGCTCTCTGGCCTCTCCCCCTACCTACCATGTCCCTCAGTGACGCATACCTCGATTTTATTCAACGTCTAAATATTTTGGATGCACTCATGAAGAAGATTCCGAGCACTATTCCAATCGCGTCCAAGAATGACCGCATTTCTGAGGTCTTCAAGAACATCCCAATGCCAAAGAAGCCTGAGGAACATTGGGAGGTTTTCAACCGCAGGATGGATGCCTTGTTTGGGGAGGATATGCGCAATGAGAATGGTCGCCTCAAGCACATCCGTCGTGGAGCTCTCGGAATGGAAGCCGTCGTCAAATACATCTCGAAAGCAGCAGAACTTGGCTCACTGACCTGGGATCTCGCACAAATCAAGGTTGATAGGTTGATCACGGAGATAAATACCCTGATGTGCGTTATATTTTTCAAATAACTTTGATTGCAGTCCTGACTTTTGGGTCGAGTGAGAAGGGCGAGCAGAGTGTGGATCCCCAACAAAAGGCATCCACCAAAACGGCGAAACGTAGTGGCGGAAAGACAAGCCTGATTAATGCAACTTTTGCTGAGCTCGATGACGACGATGACGACGAATACAATCCTCCAAAGCGAGCCTGTGAGGAGCCAGACTCGGCCCCAGAAGAGATCTTCGATCCAGACGGGAATGAGATCATACATGACACAGAACTCGGTGCTAGATTGGTGAGAATGAACTTCTAGCATTCAAAGATCGCGCTAGCTCATTCAATTTATGACTCTTCAGAAGGACAAGCGTGCTCGTGCAAAGGCGAACGCACATGAAGCTGGTGAGGAGACATCAAACGCGAGATCTAAATTAAAGGTACATGCTTCAGTGCCCTAGACCTGAAATCAAAGTAACTCCTTGCTTGTTTCTTATTTCTCAGGGGAGAACCCCCAAGGTGTTCAATGCCAATGATTCCGGCCATGAGTCAGATGGAAATTCTGCCCTTCGAAGAGTTGAAGAAGCTGAACAGTCTCAGAAGAACACTGGCCACCGCGGTCCTCAAAATCAGAGTATGATTCACTATCATGACCCTGTTCCAATGAAAGACAAGTCCACGGGGAAACTACGATGGTCGTTCAGCTGTAAATTTTGCAATAGGTGCGTTAACATTCATTGTGGGATCCGAGCTTTTGAGTCTTGACTTATAGTCATGTTCGAAGCGTCCGGACTGTTGATCGTACAGTGAAAGGGAAAGACCCGAAATGGGAGGATGAGCCCAAGCTGCCAAAGATGAACAATCTTGTGAGCCACCTCAAAGAATGCAAAGTCAAAAACTCACCGGAAGATAGCACTGACAGCGGTGATGAGGGCACCTCCATAAATTCCAAGTTTAACCTCAAGAGAAGTGCGGATATGATAGGAGAGTACCTAAAGGAGGGTGAGAAGAATCCGCAGGTTATTCCGACACAGAAGGGGTTCTTACGTCTTTTTTCGGCCTGGATCCTCGATGAAAGTGTTCCTTGGACGACTGGAGAATCTCCAAGCCTTGCTGCCCTGTTTAAGTATCTGAAGATCACATTCAACCTTCCATCCAACACAACAGTACGCAATCAGCTTGCTCACATCTTTCATGATTTGCACACAAAAGTCGTTCACGAGTTCTCGGTGAGCTAGATCTTCTTTATCTTATCACCTTTCTCAAGCCGAGCATTTACAGGAAGTGAAATCGAGGATCTCCTATTCAGCCGATACATGGACCACACCTCAGATGGTCTACTCGTTTGCCTGTAGTATTGCGCACTTTATCGATGATGACTGGAATTTGATTGAACGGGTTGTTGACTTTGTCCAACTCGAGGACAAGGAGCACGAGGGCTTCTATGGTGGACTTGCATTCCTCAACGGAGCCCATGAGCGAGGCGGTCTTGATAAGATAAGTACCCTAAAGCTTTATTTCATACAATGAACTTACCTCATTGTATATCTACTTTATGGCCCTCATGACGGCCAATGCATCCGTCAATGATGTCCTTGTTAAGACTGTCGCCCGTTACATACTTGCACGTTACACCATTCCGTACACCCCTGACATGCATGTCCGATGTGTTGCTCACATTATCAATCTGGTAGTGCAGGCCTTTCTTGCAGGCTTAGATGAGGCACCGGATCTGGATGAAGAAGATCTATTCGATGTCATCGAGGACTACCCGATCCACTATGATGTTGAGAAAGATGAAGTGCACAAAGCGATGGAGGATGAGATTGTCGATACAGAGGAGTTGAAGAAGAAGGATATCCAAATTGACGAAGATGAGGTGGCGACGATGGGAGAGGCAAGCCCGCTGAAACGAGTGAGTTTATTCAATCCTTCCCGTATTGCCTCTGAATTAAATCACCTTCAATGATTGGTAGCTACGGTACATTGTCATGAAAATAACCTCTTCACCTCAACGGCGGGAGAAATTCAGGAAGATTGCTCGATCCAAGTATGGAGAGCAGGACCGTTGAGGACGGCTCATGGTCATTAAGGATGTCAGGACACGATGGAATTACACGCATGCGATGATTGAGCGAGCTGATCTGCTTGAAGATGTGAGTCTTTTCTACTCATTGGGGATGGAGACCACTCATGCTGTCAATTTTTGACAGGTTGTCAATACCTGGTTCTTTGAGACGAAGGAACTTCATGGTGTGATGCTCTCGGTGGCTGATTGGAAGTCATTGAAGCAGATTGGTGCCATTCTCGAGGTTCTTATCTCCCCTCAGCATAACCTGACCATCTGACCATCTATTTCAGGAATTCACGAAGGCAACGTTCAAGATCTCACACAGCGGAATGCCAACTATCCCTTTTGCCCTGCCGGTCTTCGTCGCAATGGAATTTCATCTCAAGAAGTTCTCCGATGACGCTCAGGCCTTTTCATACAAAGTCCGTGCAGGAGCAAAGGCAGGGCTTGCTAAGCTTAAGATCTACGCAGATCGTGCATTCTCGAACCAATACTATCTCCTTGGGACAGGTAAGTAAATTATTTCGCTGAGAGAGCGAGCTGATCCTTACATTTCTTCAGTCCTTCACCCCAATCTCCGCACCCGTTGGTTTTCCAAACTCGGACAAGGCAAGCCCGACGAGTCGAGGGTTGAGGCCTTGCTCCATCACGTTGCCGAGACCTACAAAGAAGAACATCCAGCCCAGAACAACCACGAAGACACCTCCACTTTTACTGGCTTGAAAAGCTTAGCGGCAAGATCGCGCGACATCCTTGAGGACATCTGTGATGTTGACATACCCGAGGCGACAAAAATAACCAGCCAGCAAACAGCTCTCGAGGACGAGATCAAGCGCTACATCAAATTTGAAGGTGGGAAGGGAAATCTTTATGACCCTCTTGCTTGGTGGAAGGCACGTACTCCCAAATCCTCAGTGGTATTTTCCTGTCTAACTACATGATCTCCACAATGCAGATTCACGGCGCAGCATTTCCAACGCTTGCTCGGATGGCACGGGACTTCCTTGCCATTCCGGCTACCAGTGTCTCCATGGAGAGGGTCTTCTCGCAGTCTCGTCACATCTGTCGAGATCTCAGGTCATCCTTGAAGGCTGCAACAATCCGTGAGGCACTTTTGTCAAAGGCCTGGATTAGATGTGGTCTTCTTGAGCCCGATCAGCCTCTACATCCCCGGAAAAAGCAAAAATTAATGTAATTCTGCCAACCGTATGTAATAACTGTATAACCGTATATATACAGTATGTAAACTGTTTAATACCATAACCATAAGTTTACAGCTGCCTCCGTATACAGTTACGATACGGTTGGAGCCTTAGCGAGAGCTGACGTGTCACTCTGATGCACGGTTCGACCTGTCACGGAACGGTCACCTTCCCGGATAGGAAGGCATGAGGGCTCTCGGCCCAGGGCCTGTCACTTGGCTTTGCCTCTGTTTCGTTCAGCCGCTGTCGCTCTCGGGGCAGCGCCTAGCTGTTTTGGTTCTATCTCCCTGCTCGCCGAACCACGACGCTAATCGACATATATTTCAGCTCCGTCGTTGATCCCCTTCTGTCCTGGCCCACGGATGGTGCTCTGAGGCTGCTGGCGGTGATCGGGGCTCATCTGCCATGCTCAGCTCTCGGGGGTGCCTGTCTCAGCTCCAGCAGCGGTGACCACAACCTCGTTGCTCAACACCTCGTTCATATCAGCATTGCCACCACCGCCGCCGCTGCCCTCCTCCTCCTCCTGCTGTTTCGCTGTCGTCTCGGAAGGCCCATCATGGACGTTGACATGTTTGACAATGAAACCGCCAGCAAGGAGATGGTTGTCGACTTGCAGGAGACGGCTGAATCACCACCCAGCAACTGCAACAATGGAAGGCTATCCTTGCCTGCCCAGCTCCCTGATGGCCAGCTGACGGTTCAGTTCTATGATATGTGAGTAGTGACCATGTCCTTTCTGCTGCGATTACTGACTCAGTCAACGAAAATGCAGTGACTCGATGCGGCATGTTCAATTGAGCGACTTATGTCGAATCTACAAGCTCCCCCACTCTGGAACCATCCCAAAGCTGAAGGAACGTCTGCGGAAGTTTAGTCGAGACCCACAGGCAGCAGACAGGTAAGTATGGGATCTCGTTCTGATATATATATCAGCTTCACATTCCTTTGACAGCAGGAAGCCCTACACCCGCAATTCTCATCTCGGACCAAAGACTGGGAACACATCATCTCAGAAGAAGAAGTCCGCCCAACGGTGTGAAGCCCTCTTCGAGAATGTCCCTCCACCCAGCACCACACTTGGTTTGCCTGTTCTCTTGTCGACTGCGGTGTCCCTGAAGCAGAGGGAGCATGATCTTGCATGGGTAGGTGCTGATGTGTTGCTATCTACACGGAAACTGATCAATCCTTCAGGCTTCGAGTATCGTTCAGAGATATCCCTACCGTACGAAAGAGATGCACCTCAAGATTGCCAAGGGAAGGCTTGCAGCGAGGACATACCTTCGGGGCTCAGATGTGAGTGCCATCCTTGATTCATGCTGTCTCTGTCTCTCAACACCTGTATTTTCTGATCCAGGGCAGCATTGAATGTGCCACCGACCAGTCAATCAAGAAGGGACTCGATGACGCCAACACCAATATTACGAAGCTGCTCGACTACATTACGACTGGCCCACTGGCTGATCGCACAGCGAACACCATCGACAACACAGGGACGTCTCACTTTCACAGCCCCACCACCAACGATCAACAACTTGCAAACCCTGTATCCACATTCAGCCTACCTGTTGCCCTCTCGCTGCCTCCGACCGAAGGTCTATCAACGTCGTCCACAACAAGAACAATTGTTCTTCATAGTGGGCTTACCCTGACATTCACAGAAGCTGAGGTTCCTCCACCGCCAGCCATCTCCTTTGCGAAGAACCTGCCCTCCCTCAATCGGATGTGGGATGACCACTCTGAACATTGGGATTGCCAGTCGGTTCTCGTAATCAAAGGAATCCCAATCCCAATATGTTACTGGAAGGACATCTACACATCGAAAGGGTCACCCAAGGGTTGTCCATGGAAGCAGAATCAGTGGAAGGGGCTCAAGGGTCGGTGGTTTGAATGGAAGGTACATCTTTTCACAAGTTCTGCACATGAAGTCGTTATTGACACGATCCAGGTGCTCATCAAGGAGTGGCAGCGAGGCAGCCCAGACGAATTCTGGGCACACTTTGTGGTCGATGGGAAACCACTCGGGTATAAGGCAATTCTGGACAAGTTGGCGGAGTGGCGAGGAGTGGAGAATAACATGCTATGCGAGAGGGCAAAGCTGGAATACAGTGAGCAGTTTTCTTCCATCTTCTCTTACACTAAAAATGGCAGGAAATGTGTAAAGACCAAGGCTTCCAATGTCGCGAAGCAGTACCACGAGCTACAAGGAATCCAGGACAATGATGATGACGATGAGTAGTTAGATTGGTACATCAGGTAGCTGGTATGAGAGACTCCTATGTTACATGGCCTCCATATTTTTCATACACAACTTGTTACATAAGATACAACTAATCCAGTTCATTTAATTCTTGACAATATTATGCACAATGACAGCTTCTCCCACAGTGGTAGCATTTGAGAGCAGGTGGTCGTGTTGGATTGAACAAATCCTCGCGGCGTTCGGTAGGATTGTCGTTCCATGAAATGAGATAACGGACAATAGTGAGGTTCGAGAATTCGAGGCTCCAGCCACCCCAGCTGCAGATCTGGCGTATTGTCCACCGGCGCTGAGATGCTAGATATTGACACCCACCACGCCGGAATGAGTGAGTGCCATAAGGATAAGGGTCAATATCAAGATCCAGCAGATTGTTTCGGAACATCTCGAGGAATTGTTCAGAGGTCTAATGAATCATTCAGTTTGTATGTCAGACAGGTAGTAAATTGACTAGTTGGAGGGGGGATATCAGGACTTAGTACTTACCATTGGTATATCCTGGGAGGATGGCCAGTCACCGGAAACTATTTTTCGAAACATGTACCCTGTCATTATCTTACTGGCATTCATCCACTCGCCGAGTGCACGGACAGGGCAGAGATGTGCTTCCTCCTCCGGTAGGGCTTGAATAGGGAATGGTTGAATCCCTGCCAACAATTTAAAATGGAGTCAAATTGTAAAGCAGGAATAATCCTCACCTCCATCCTTATGAGTCTTGCGAAACGGTAAGGTGAGTGTCACCCCATTCTTGTTGAACTCAATGTATTCACGTCGTATTTTCAAGACTTCGTCTGACCGGAGCAAGCACAGAAAGGTGATGGCATAGATTGCACTCAACGCATGTCGAGCAAGTGGTCCACCCCACTGGTGCAAGTTCTCCTTCTGCAAGCGAGATCGGGGATTGTAATCCTTGATGTTCCAGTTCTCGGGGAGATGATTGAAGTCAAATAGTTGTTCAAGAATGTCCTACAGATATAAATGGAAAGACAATGCCTCGAAATATCCAAACTCACTGAAGTGATTGCACAGGCGCTTGTGGGTGTTTCTCTGGCATGGACCTGCCGCTACTGTAACTAATCACCAAGGCTTCAGAGAAAATAACCAAATACCTTTCGTGTCCTGAGGCTCGTCATGTATGTTGCAACCGTCTCAGATATTGAGGGGTTGCCAGTCATGAGCCCTGTAACATCACTCCTCTGCCATGGTCGTGATCCGAGCCCATGGACCCTACCAAATATGTAGGTCATTGCCGCTCGCATCTTTTGAGCATATGAATAGGTATCTCGTGGGGCATCTCTGCTCTTTTTGTTTCCGTCGAGATCAATCTCATCACACCTGTCCAGACATCTTGTTACTGCAGCCTCGTGCATAAGATAGTGGAATACACACTGATTCATGATCCACGCAACAATGTACAGCGGCGCGTTTTCAGGTGGATTAGAACAGAAAAATTCTTCAGCATTTTGAATGAGCTCTTTGGAAACCTGTCACGACCCGTTCCGTGCCGAAGACATCCGAGAGACATCCGTTCATAGCTGTTTCGGTTCTTCAATTATATTGTTCTTTTGTTTGTTATTTGTCTTTGATTTTCCTAGCGTACACATGCCTCATTATTCTATGGTCATTAGCGTACACGTTCCCTCCACGAGTGAGACAGCCAACGGCTCATTGTCATAGGTAGTCCATTATTCGTTGTAGTATTTAAGGGACTGCAGGACGACCGAGTCTGGCAGTCTGAATATCATACTCGACTTCTAATCTCCTCCTCTCGTTCTCATCCGTTCTCATCCGCTCGCATCCGTTCGACATCCGACACCGGCCTAAAAGCCTATACTCTGAAATCGGACTTAGACTATCTCGAGGGCGCAACGCACGAACGTTGAAGCCAAAAGTCCACATCTGAAATCTCTTCCGAAGCACATCCGAACGCACCCGGTCTCCAGCACACCTCGGCTCAGCACAGGTCGTAACAGTATATTCAGACTACAAGCTCAAATAGTCTGTCTACATGGCTACAGGTCAGCCTCATCAAACAAGGACTGCCCAACAAGCTGGTATTCAAGAAACCATGCTTTCCTTCACCCGTCATCGTCGTCCAATGGTTCCAACACTCCAACAACCTCTCCAACCTTCTCCAACCTTCTCCACGAAACCCTTTCACTCTTTATCTTACACCCATGGCACAGCTCTACCCGGAAACACCAACTCGCGCCCCGGCCTCCGTATCTGCACCGTACCTCGATAACCCATGGGCACCCAAGCCGCAAGGTCCTCTCAGTCCTCTGCAAACACCCGCTCATTTTCCACCGGCTGAAAGCACTTACCTGAGGACTGGAACGTACCAACCCACAGGTTTCCATACCCCGGTTCCTCTCTCTCCGGCTCTTCCAACTGTTCTTGAACAAATGGAGACGGAAAGCACGGATCATTCAGGAAGTGAACCTGCTGAAATTCGTTTCCTTCGGAACCAAACTCAGCTCACGGAAGCCATCCACCTCATGGCCAGGAACATGTCGAATATGCCCATGATGCAGCCGCATCAAGAGCCGACTCCTCGGCCCAAGTTGAAGGCTCCGGATGTGTTCGACGGTACAAGCGCCCAAAAGTTGGATCCCTTCCTCGTCCAGTGCATGATGTATATTTTGCTCCGGCCCCACGAGTTCACCACCGAAGACTCCAAGGTCGGCTTCATTATGTCGTACTTATCCGGCTCCCCCTACAACTGGTTCCAATCACAAATCACTGCCGCCCTCGAAACCGGTATGACCCAGCCGCTTCCGTGGCTTTCGGATGTTGCGCTCTTCATTCAGGAGCTCAAGCAACTTTTCGGCCCACGAGATCTGGTTGCGGATGCCGTTAACCACCTCGAGAATCTCACCTTCCGAGACTCCGGCAAAGCAACGCGATACACCTTGGAATTCAACCAGTATGCGGGTCGCACAGGATGGAACGAACGAGCCCTTTATCATCAGTACTACAAAGGACTTCCGAACCGGATCAAGGATGAA